AAAGTTAATAAAGAACTAAAGTATAAAAATACTAGTCCTAAATTACTATCTATACTTCCCCTAGAACTATAAGATTTTTAAGATATATTTAATCCCTAAGAAGTAGAGAAGCTACTACTATATTAATTATATAATTATAATATCAAGATTTAAGAAGGAAAATAGTCCCTATTTAATAAATTATACCTAATATTACGAGTATAATTAATTACTCTAAAGGAATAGCTAGAAAAAAATCTAAAGAAAGATTTTATATATTCTAGCTTATTTCTAACTATCTCTCCTATCCTATTTATTAATAAACCTAGAAGTAGCCTCCACCTATATATAGATTACTAAAGACTAAATACTATATTAGTTAAGGATTATTACTTATTACCCCTAATTAAAGAAATTCTAAATAACCTATAAGGAATATAGTACTTTTCTAAGATTAATCTAATAGCTACCTTTAATAATATCTATATTAAGAAGGGGTTAGAGTACCTAACTACTTTTTAAACTTATTTTAGGCTATATAAGTTTTTAGTTATACTATTTAGTCTAACTAGTACTCTAGTTACTTTTTAATATTTTATAAATAATATTTTATAATAATATATAGATATATTTTATAATATATTTCTAGATAATATCCTAATTTATAATTATATAAAAAAAAAATATACTAAATACCTAAGGTAAATATTATAAATCTTGAGAGATAATAACCTATATATAAAGATATTTAAGTATAAATTTTACTAACTAGAAGTTAAGTTTTTAAGTATTATTATTAAAAGAGAAGGCACCTATATAGATCCTGAGAAGATTAAGATTATAGTAGATTAGAAGTTACCTAAGATAATTACTAATATTAAGAATTTTATAGAATTTACTAGATTCTATTAATACTTTATTAAAGGATTCTTATAAATTCTCGCACCTATTACTATTTTAAAGAAAAAAAGAACCCTATTCTTATAAATTTTAACCTACTAGACTACTTTTAAAATATTAAAAATAAAATTTATTAAAGAACTAATACTAAGGTTCTTTAATTAAGACTAACTAATTATTTTAGAAACTAATACCTTAGACTTTATATTTATTAGAGTATTATTATAATATAATAATAATAAAATTCTATACTTAATAAGATTCTACTTGAAGAAAATAACTTTAATTAAATATAATTATAAGATATATAATAAGGAGTTGCTAGTAATTATTTATTATTTAAAAGAATAGACTCTAGAACTAGAAGGATACTAGTATCTAATTAAGATTATAACTAATTATAAAAATCTAGAGTATTTTATAATAACTAAGATATTAAATTAATAATAAGCCTAATAATCTAAATTCCTATCTTACTTTAACTTTATAATTAATTATTGCCCGGGCAAGTATAGAATAAAACTAGATAATTTAACTAGAAGATTATAGGATCTCCCTAAGGAAGGGGATAAATACTTATTATACTAGAGTTAAATAATATTAAAAAGAGAAAACTTAATAAGCTTCCTGCTTAAATATTTAGAGAAGTTATAGAGCTAGTAGATATTATAATTAATCTAGCTCTAAGCTACTACTAGAAAAAAGTTAGTATATTTCTAACTATTTAAGTCTAAAAAAAAAGAGATTATCTAGCTCCCTAAATAACTAAGAAAGTACTTAAATAGGGGTTATAAATAAGATCTAGCTCCTAATAATATTTTAGAAAGCCTAGAAAAAAGCTATAATTACTATTTATTAATTATATTATTTAAGTATACCTGCTATTCTAGACTCCTATTTTATTATAATTAACTATATATTCCTAATATAAAAGAATTAAAGGTAAAACTAATATATAAATACTATAAAAATATAGTTACTAGCTACTAAAATAAATTAAAGACTTATAAATTACTATTATAATTATATTACTAGCCTAGAATATTATAATTTATAAAGTAATAAGTTTATAATTACTATACTTATAAATAATCTATACTCTACTAAAATAGGTATTAAGAAGTACTCTATTCCTTACTTATACTTAAGAGTCCCTAAAAAAATATATCTATTAATTTTATTATATATTTACTTTAAAGCTTAGGCTTTAATATTATTATAGTAATAATTAACTAGTTAATAAAATTTTAATACTATATTCCTTATAATAGCACCTATAATACTAAGGGAGCTACCTACTTATTTTAAAACTATATTTAGAGATTTTATAAATTTCCTAAGTCTATTATATTTAATTAAGGACTCTAGTTTATATTAGTATTTTAGATATATCTAAATTATACTCTAAAAATAAAATTACTTCTATTTACTATTTATTACTTTAAAACTAATAGGCAAATTAAATATATAAATACTATTTTAAAATAATATTTATAAGTTTATATTAACTACTTATAAAATAATTAGGCTAAATAGCTACCTATAGTAGAATTTACTATTAATAATACTAATTTTAAGACTACTAGATACTTCTTATTCTTTACTTTATATAGTTTTAATCCTTATATAAGATTTAAGCCTATTCTACCTAATTATTATCTATAAATTTATAATACTTACTAATTTACCCTAATTATAAAGTAGATATAGGAATATTACTATGCTACTATAATTACTACTTAAGCCTGCTATAAATACTATACTAACTAGAAATACTACCCTGCTAGATACTATATTAAGGGCTAATTAGTTTAATTAAATACTAAGAATATCACAACCCTGTACCCCTAAAAGAAATTAAATTAGAAAAATCTAAGCTCCTTCCCTATTAGAAGGGTTATTAGTCCTTATACCTATAAACTAGACCTGCCTAAGAGCATAAAAATATATCTAGTATTTTATATTAAATTATTATACCTAACTACTAAAGATCTATTATCTAGATAAGAGGAAACTAAACCCCTATATATTAAAGTTAATAGTATTAAGGAATAGAAGATTAAGGAAGTAATTAACTCCTACTAGGACTATTATAGTTAAGGTAGCTACCTATATTTAAAGTATATTATTAAGTAAGTTAAATACCCTACTATTATTAAAATCCCTACTAGCTATCTAGAGAATACTACTAAATATATTACTACCTATTACTACTACTACCTTAAAAAGCCTGGACCCTAGGAATACTTTACTAAAGCTTAGCCTAAGAAAGGGAATACTATCATGGTATAGTTATATATCTATCTAGTTAGATTCTGCCCTAACTATCTACCTTTATTCCTATATTTAAGCTATATTACCCCTAATCCTGTTATAGCTCTTCGAGCTACGTCCTTATCCTGACCTAACCCCTACCTGTTGTACCTGTACGCAGATAGCCTGAATATACACCCTGCCGTTAGCTACACCTACTGCCTGCCTGCTCCCTGTGACAGTAGCGGCCTAATTTAATCTAGAATTAAAGTAATATAATATTATAAATATATTTATTAATATAGATAATAATAAGGAAATATACATAGAAATACCTTTAGGATATTAAAAATTAGGTAAAGTATTAAAGCTAAAGAAAGCACTATATAGACTTAAATAGTCTCCTTACCTATAGTAGATAACTCTCTAAAAGATCCTAAAGTTACTAGAATATAAACCTATCCTATATAAATCATATTATATTACTAGAGGCAGGATCCTAATATTCTTTTATATAGATAATATTATATTTGCCTATTACTAAAAATTATTAGTATAAATATAGACCACTATATAAGAGCTTTAGGACTAGTTTAAAATAATAGGAGGAAATGACCTGCAATAGTTTCTAGGAATAGAGATTACCTGGGATAGAGAGAATAAGCTTATCTAGCTAGGTTAGTTAGTATATATTAACAAGATTACTAACCTAGTAGATAGAAAGGAAGGTCTAGATACTACTCTTATATTAGTAAAAATAGTGCCCTAAAAAGATTAAGATAGAGTATCTTACTTATATACCTAATAATATTAATAGAAGGTAGGATCTATAATATATATAATAGTTATAACTTAACTAGATATTATATTTATAGTATTCTAGTTATTTTAGTGCCTTATAAACCCTAGTAAAAAATATTATACTAAAATAGATTAATATTTATAATATCTAAAAAGAATAAATAAACTTACTCTATAACTTAGAGATTTAGATAACTACCTGTTATATAGTAATACCTTATTTATAGATAATCAGGACTAGAGAAGCTTGCAGGAATATATTATAAAGTTATTTAGAGGTATAATAGGGTAGAAAGCTAGTAAGTAGGTAACTATAATAATCTCTATAATTAAAGTAGAATTATTAGTATTATTATATATAGTAAAGAAAGGAATCTTTACTAAGTATCTATTAAATAAAATCTAGGTAGAGTTGGAGAATCTAACTATTAATATTTAATATAATAATATGTAAATTATCTAACTAGTAAATAAGGAAATTAACTACTTAAATATAAGGCTATGCCATGTAGATATCTATAACTACTAGATTAGGTAAGAAGCCTAGAAGGGAAGGATAAAAGTATTATATTATCCTATTACTAAGATAATTATAGATAGGTTAACCAAGGTACTACCCTACTAAAGCTTTGAGGTATTCATGAAGGATTTGGGGATAGTAGAGAGACTAAAGTTAATGAATAACCTACTACTAGATATAGTTTAAACCTATCCAGGATAAGGATAGTATCTTAAATTATATAATTGCAGGTTTAAACTAGATAAAATCCTTTAAACCTGAGGGGGTATGTTGAATTAAAGGGGTATCTCGTGATGTACTTAATAAGCAAAGGGGGGTTATTACCCTATATTAAGGCCTTAGGCAAGCACACAACCCCCTAATAGACACACACATCAATATATCCGATCACCTGCTTCCATTGAGCTACCCCTAGGATCATCATATATCCGACAGTATGTCATGTTGCGTTGTTCGTGAGAATTCAGACAGATAATATCAACTATCAATCACTTATCCTAAGCGCGTCGTCTTCTTTTCTTGTCTGATCAGGATAGAATCGTTCGTTGGATGGATCAGATCTAAGTAGGGCTCTCTCTCTCTCTCTCTCTCTCTCCACGTACGACTACGGACAAGTAAATAAAAATATAATGAGATAATACTCGATACTCTAGATAACTGTATACAATGCAGCAAGCGAAGGAGAGATCTAGTCCGTTTACAGCTCGTCCTTGCGTCTTGGAGCCACATTTCCTGGCTCCTCTCCACCAGCGCACACGGCCGGCGTGGTAACAAGCATCGAATACACACATTTCTCGTCCTCCGCGATCTTCAGAATCTCATTTTCCTCGCCACATTCTAGGACAACAGTTGTCGACCGTGCGGGTCCGTTCCAACAGCCCTGGCCTCTGGTATACTTCAGGGAGATTTTCTGGACTGGAACGATTTCCCCGGCCTCGTTGAGTTCATCGACCTCAACCGATCCGAGGCCGGCAAAGCTGCCCATCCGCACAGAGGAACCGCCCTTCTTGGGAATCTGCTTGGTCTGGTCAAGGAAGCAATGTTCGTAGGTGTACTCGCCGGCATCCTTTGAGATGCAGACATTCTTGAGAGCACGGAAGATAGAAGCCACGCCGTAGTCGGTGTCGATGTCTGCCTTGTGGTCCTTCAGCTGAGATTTTAAATCTTCCAGGCTCTTTTCGGCGGCTTGAACAGCCTCCCGAGCCTCCGCTACCGCCTTGGATTCCGAGGTCGAGGGTTCCTCCTTGCGAGGCAGGTAGCCAGTGGTCTCAAGGAAGCTCACGACAGCGTTCACTTTGCCTTCGATGAAAGTGACAAGAGATGGGGGCAGGTATGCCGCCAGCCTGTAGACTGCATTATTCTTTTAGCGTTGTCTTTTTTTTTTTTTTTTTTTTCTTCTCCCCTAGGAAACTGGAAAACAGAAGACCTACTGGTATCAGGTTCAGCTGATTCAACCTCGTTCTCCCACTGCTCCCAGTTAATGCCGGACTCTTCATCGTCCGGCTTGGAAATAGTAGCCCAATCACCATCGCGCGCACTGTTCACGATGGTGTCGACAGTTCCTTTGGCGGCATAGTCCTCCCAGCTGCGAACGGCGCGCTTGACTCCTTCATCGTTGAAGTTGGGATTGTATTCGATCTTGAACTTGGACAAAATATCCTCAAGCTCCTGCACACGGGATTTGATCTCATCCCTTTCCTTGCGCACCTCCACCAGGGCGTTTCGGAGTTCCTCAACCCGGCCCTTGGCCAGTGCAGCAAGCACGTTGACCTTGCCTGCTTTCTTACCCTTGACGACCTTGCTCTCCTCCCGCTTCTTGATGGCCTCCAGGTCAGCCTCTAGGTTCTTCACCTTGATCTCCTCGCCCTCGATCTCAGCTTCGAGTCTGAGGATGTGGTCTTCGACCTCCTTCTGCTGTCTCCCTGCATCAACAAGGAGGTCTCTCTTCTTCTTCAGCGCGGCCGTCATTGCCTTGTGCCGCTTCTCCTCCCTTTTGCGCCACTCTTTCCCGATTTCCTTGCATTTGTCCTCGCATTTTGTGCCTCCAACACGAGCCCACTCATCACTTCCATCACAGCAGAGCTCATAGTCGCAAATACCGTCGTTGACCCGTTGGAATGGAATATATGACGGCTTGTGTCCCTTGTTCTTACAGTAGAAACCGGGCAGTGCCGCCTTGAGCTCCTGATCACCGTGGCCCGGACGGTCTGCGACAGACAGCGGAGAGTTACCAGACAAATGAGCACAGGCGGCTGTACCAGGCTCGTCACTTCCATCGGGACAATCGCAGAAATCGTCGTTCACAGCGGAATAGGGAATCTTGACTGACGGATGGGAAATGCAAGTGAATGTCGTGGTGTCCTTGTAGAAATTCGCAACTGTCCAGATCAAGCAAAGCGAGGGTCAGCCAGTTAAGTCGGGGATTCTCAAACCCGGTATAATAATTCCACAGCACAATGAAGCATTGGACGTATTTATTTTGTCTATATAATCAAACAGCACCGCGACTCGTATACTCACATTCTGGTCCAACTCCGCGGGGTCGAGCGGAGCCGTCATCGCCAGCGGCCACCAGGGACGAGCATGCTGCTAAGCTCACCAGGAGGAGCGATTTCCGTGAAAGGGTCATGGCTACCGCATTGAGGTTTTTTCTCCAATGCCAGGGTAACTGAGAAAGGAAAAAAAAAACAGAAAAAAGTACCGAGAGAAAGCCCGATACTTCTAGGGACCAACCAAACAATAATAAATGAAGGAACTTCTGGCCAGCTGTTGATAAACCTGGAATCGGGATCGGAGCTAATCTGGGGAACTATGCGCTGAGTCATCATCGCTCCTCTCCAGCCTTCTTTTGTGGCAAAGCGCAATCAATCAGGTTTGTCCTGTCTCTTGTCTTTTTCTTTCCCGCTCAGCATACTTTTTATAGATTCTCATAGACTCTCTATAGTCATGGGTAATGACGGTGGCAGGTAAGTGGCTACTTCTCTAGGATAATCCGAAAAACAAGCAGTACTGACCCAGGGGCCAGCATCCCAACCCGCCGCGAGCTCGTCCGCGAAGCCGCCCGCAACCCTAGCACGGCGCAAGTCAAAGAAGCGCAGCGCGAGCGTCAAGAACATTGCTGGACGACCTGCTCACTCTCTCACAACCCGTTGATGCGCCCGATTGTCTCCGACTGCGCCGGGAACTTGTACAACAAGGATGCGGTTCTGAAATTCCTTCTCCCCGGCGACGAGGTCGAGGGGATCAGCTCCAAGGCCGATTGCGAAGAGATTCTTGCTGGTCGCGTCAAGGGTCTTAGGGACGTGGTTGAGCTAAAGTTTGAGATCGATACCGAGCGCGATGGACACCCGAGTACCAATAAGGTCGAGAAGCGCGAGAGCTGGATTTGTCCTGTCACGGCGAAGCAGCTAGGGCCGGGCGTCAAGTCGGTTTATCTCGTGCCTTGTGGGCATGTATTTTCGGAGGAGGCGATTCGCCAGTTAAAGGAGGATAAATGTTTGCAGGTATGTTCTCTCTCTCTCTCTCTTTCCGTTCCATTTTGTAATTTGTGGGTGGCTTGGGATGAAATTCATACTTGATGTCAGTGCAATGAACCATACACGGAAGACAACGTCATTCCCATCCTCCCTATAAAGGAAACCGACAAGGAAAGATTAGTTACCCGGATCCAACGACTCGCCGAGCAGGGTCTCGCCCATTCGCTAAAGAAGACACCCGGGTCCAAGAAGCGCAAGAAGAACGGTACCAGCGATGCTGCTGCATCTTCCGAGACGAAAGCTCTCAACGGAGACACCTCCTCTTCCTCCTCCCACAAGGAACAATCCACAGCAAATAGCCGCCGAAGCAACACGTCTACTCCGACCCCGTCTGCGCCAAGTGGAATCAAGAATGCGGCAACAGCTCTGCTCACTGCGCGAGTGCTAGAAGAGGAGAACGAAAAGAAGAAGCGCCGAAAACTGATGGGGGGGAACGACAATTTGAGTAGTCTGTTTACCAAGGAGTCCAAGGATGGGAAATATAAAAATACAGACTTTATGACGAGAGGGTTCACTCTTCCTGCAACGGCTAGGAAGTGATGCAGTCTTCTTTCCTTCCTTCCTTCTTTCTTTCTTTCTTGTTCTTTTTTTTTTTTTTTTTTTTTTTTTCATGGCGTTTGTGTTGAACTGGGATTTTATATCGGCTACGGACCACCACCCTTTCTCCTTTCTTCTTTTTTTTCTCCTCGTTATTGTTCTGCAATAATTGGTAAATAAATGTACATATTTATATCATTCCAATGATTCAAGTAAAGGGTTTTTGCTTCTATTGTACACAAAAAAAGTATCAGAAATAAAAAGAAAAGATAAGAAAATGCTATAGGAACAAGATAAGTAAAGTAAGAAAAACTCAAGGCTGCTCATGCTCATCAATTCAAAGGATGAGACCGCGTTCACGGAGCTCAGCGTCAATAAGCTTCTTCCGGCCGAGCTCTTCGTCCTTGTTGGAGGGCTTCTGCCTCTTCACGAAGATCTTCACATTGGGCAGGCTCTGCAGGGTCTCGTCGGCGGCTAGAACCTCGGCGATTTTCTTAGGCTTGGGGCTCAGAGAAAGCTTGACTTGGTCTAGGACCTGCTTGACGGAGGTAATGGTTGGGATGACAGGGTCGGGGAAGAAGTGGCCGCTCAGTTGAGAGAATCTCTTCAGGAACTATATAGCGCAGTTACCAAGTCAGTGACAAGCCCAGATTAAACCTGTAAGCCGGGGGGGGACTTACAGCGAACTTGGTCACCGGGTCCTCGAGCGAAAGAGCAAGGTAGCCCTTCTCCTTGACATCGGCGTACCCGAAGAAAGGTGACGTCTTCTGCTGGGGGTGAGATTCTTCAGCTTCAGCTTCAGCTTCAATTTCCTCGACATCCATCTCCTCGGTCTGTTCGGCAGCAGCCTCCACCTCGGGAGCCACGGCCTCCTGCGGAGTTCCAATCTGCTCAAAGATATACGCAAGAGCCTCTTCGGTCTCCTTGTCCGGGTATACCAAGGCGGAATCCCACTCGCCTTTCGAGTTCGGCTGGATCTTGCAGTTCCAAAGCAGCTTGAAAACGGGCTTCTCGTGTTCGACGACGTCGCAAATACTGGTGAGCGGTTTGTTCAGTGCGTGGAGTAGGCAAAGCTCAACGGCTGCTTGATGAGCAGCGAGGGACAGATGTGCCGGTTTAGTGAATCTCCGGTTCATAGAGAATCTAATGAAACAAAATTAGCAATTGCTTCTCAATCCAATTGACGAGAGAGAGAGAGAGAAAACAGGACGCCTGCTAGAGAAACATACGAATTATACTCATCCGCTTCAACCGCGGGAAGATCACTCCATCTCCCCAAATGTCCCACACGCTGAAGTTCCGCCCAAGTTGTCGCTGGCTCATACGAACCATCCACAGCCTCAGCCTCACTCTGGGTCGCTTCCACGGCACCCGCGTCCGCGTCCGCCGCCGCCGCATCTCCCTCCTGCTCTCCCTGACGAGCCGCCGCCTGGCCCTTCTTGAACTTCCGCTCAAAGACACCCTCGCCGCCATACGGATCCTTCAGGCCGGGCGGGTTATCAGTTCCCCAGATCTTGCGGCGCACGCGTTCCGTAATCGGGGTTGCTGCATTGGAGGAGGACGAGGACGACGAGGAAGCATTGCGTAGAAACTGGCGAGCGACGAATGGCCGAGGACGTGCTTCTTGTCTGCAGACCGAGCAGACGTAGAGAGCCCTGGAACCCTGGAGGGAGGGGGCCTCCAGGTTCAACAATCGCAACGAAGGACGCATGGTCGCGATGTTATTTCGGGGGAGATTGTTGTTGTTGTTGTTGTGCCAATTTCGTTCCGGCTGTCCTGTTGTATTTTTTTTTTTTTTTTCCCTTGGGGAAAGGTTTGGGGACTTCCGAGATAGTATCACGTGAGATGGTTCTTGGCGCGGTCCGTCCGAATTGGGTAATTTAGATGACACGACTTTTTTTTTTATGTGTATTTCCCTGGTTCTACGCAGTACTCTCCTTGAAGAGATTTGTAGGTATATATGTATGTATCAAATTGTGTATATACAATGCGGTGTACGCTAAAAGTATCATGCAGAAAAGAGAACCATAATTTTGTGGTTTTTTTTTTTACTCGCGAACGAACATGCCGGCCATGCCCATACCGGTTCCAATACACATGCTAACAACACCAATCTCCTGGCCCGTACGCTCAAGCTCGGGGAGAAGAGTCGCGACCTGTCTAGCACCAGTAGCACCAAGAGGATGGCCGATCGCAATGGCACCACCCTTGGGGTTAATCTTGGCCTCGTCAATGCCTAGCTGACGAGCGCAGTACAGAGCCTGCGAGGCAAAGGCTTCGTTGAGTTCCCAGATTCCAACGTCGGCGACCTCGACGCCGAGGAGCTCAAGCAGCTTGGGGATGGCAACGGCGGGACCAACGCCCATCTCATCGGGGGCGCATCCGGCAACCGCGGTGCCAACCCAGCGAGCCTTGATGGAGGAAGTCAGGCCGAGTTCGGTGGCGGTAGAACGGCGCATCAGCAGGGTTGCAGCAGCGCCGTCGCTGACCTGGGAGCTGTTTCCTGCCGTGCTGGCTCCCGTGGGGGAGAAGGCGGGCTTCAGGGACGCCATCTTCTCGACGGAGATATTGGCACGGATCCCATCATCCCTAGCGACGGTGACCTCCTTGGGGGCCGCCTCTGGGTTCTCGGGATCGTAGGAGAGAGTCTTGACGGGGACGATTTCGGCATCGAACAACCCGGCGGCCTGGGCGGCGGCGGCCTTTTTGTGGGAGTTGGCAGCAAAGACATCCTGGTCCGCCCTGCTGATGCCGTAGCGAGAAGCAACATTCTCGGAGGTGAGACCCATGGGCATGATGCAGTCCCGAGAATCCTGGGATGGGGATTCCTTGAGCTCCGGCCACAGGACAGTAGGGATGGCGCGGGATCCGTAGTTACGGGTCATGGATTCCATTCCTCCGCCAATACCGACATTCAGCGCACCTGCGCGAATGCCGTTTCCGATGGTCGAAATAGCCGCGAGACCGGACGAACATTGTCTGTTGATGGTGTGGAAGGGAACGCTGTGCGGGAACCCGGCGTGAATCTGGGCCATACGGCCGGCTTTGGCACCACCCAATTCCTGGAGCACGGAGCCAATCGCGACATCTTCAATCACGGCGGGGTCAAGGTTGGGGTTTGCCTCCAGGGTTGCTTTCAGCACATGGGCCAGAAGCTCTTCCGGGTAAGCATCCTTGAATCCGCCCTTCTTTGCGCGAGTAACGGGAGTGCGGAGTGCGGAGAGGATAACGATATCTGAAGGAGATTTCTGGAGGACCTGACGAAGGCCGCGGGGAACCGGAGAAGCCATATCGCGTATATAGTATTATTTCCTGGTTTTAATTGTATTTCCTTTCTGGAGGTTGATGATCACCAAAGAGTTGAGCAAATGTCAGTAGTAGTTGCGTTCCCAGTTGGAGTTAGTGATTCGGAAGCGTAACGGAGATGTAGAAATCCAATGCGTCCACCTCGCAAATCAGACAGGGGATCGAAGAATACTTATATTATTTCCAGAAAAAAAAAAAAAAAAAAAAGATCCATCGGACTAGATTCCCAGGGCCCGGAATCCATCATTTAAGCAACCAGAGCCATTCATTCCAATGTGCCCATCGAACTGCCGACAATGAAGATCGGATAAGCGCTCTGCCGCCCCGAAAGAAAACCTGGGGCAGATGTGGGGGAGGTGATCTTAGCCGGCAAATCGCTTCAGGAAGACAGACGGCTTACAACTTCTTCAACTGCGTTATTAGACCTTTCTAGTACTTGCTTGAATTTCGACGCTTTCTCGGGGTTGGAGAAGTGCTTCAACGCATCTGTTATGAAGCTTTTCGGCCAGGAATGATATCGGATGTGGGCGATTATATCAGCCGTTTCGGAACAAGATATCGGAAGCTGTCGGATTTCTCCACCAGAACGACGGCGGATAGTGGACTGCGTTTAGAGCTGCTTGAGGCTTGAGCTACTTACTCCACATGCAGAGAATAAGGCTTAAGCTGCTTGGATTCTGCGGGGTGATCCTTCGAGGCGTGTTGGGGACTTCGATGTGTGTCTTGTAGAAATATTATTGTGCCAACTGGCTCGTGACTGGATATCTAATAGAATTCATAGTGTATGTACAACCTGGACATATCTTTCAAGGCCTCTCATGAATAACACCAAGTCAATGGCCTGCGCAGAAAGTCCCCCCCAACCTTCCCAATAAAAATAACGCCGTACCGGTGTAATGCATGGTATCATAGAAATAAAGTAGTGATGTTTAAATTGCCGCATGGGAGCTCGTCATGAAGCAGAAGAGCGTAAAAAGTGGCGACCTCCAAGTCACCCGCTTCGAATAATATGACTGTAATGTCCAGGGACTCTGCGCCGACATTTATCACAGTCAGTGCGATAGCCCATCGAAAACGCCGGTTTCTTGTTGGTCTTGGGGGTAGAAAAGGGACCTCTGTGCCTTTGGTCGGGTAGGTCCAAGAATGACATCTGCTCCTCGACATCAGCTGCGTCGCCCCCCATGCGATATGTGGGAGGAGAAGCGGGGAGAGATGTGTTAAATGTCATATCCGCATCGCTGGGGGTGTCTTTGCCGCTTGTCATAGCATCCCCACTCTCGCTCACTGGACTAGGTAGACGGGGACTACGCCACCAGGGAGAGTCTGGGGCGATTCCAGAGTTGAAATCCCCTTTGTGGTCCATCGCTGTCGCCGAATATGTCGCGTTCTGTCGATGAGCATGAGCGGACATCATGTGGCTGTCTGGGCGGTTAGATCCACTAGCTGGAAGGAGGCTATTCGCAACATGTTTGGCCGTCCGTTGTACATCTTCACAGGCATCTATCTCCATGGGCGTGTCGAGAGCAACCGGAGGCGCAGGGGAGTCTATCCGGGGTTGTTGAACGCTGGTATGACCCGAGTTGGAAAGGAATTGTTTGTTGAGATCCACTTCATCGTCCGAGGACTCCACAGGTGTCAGGGCTGAGATGGCGATCGAGGGCGCGATATCACCCGCTTGGCTGAAGCTAAAGCGCTGGCCGGTTTTCGGAGACGTGCGAAGGGGAAGAGCGCGGTGTTTCTATATGTACAGAGTACGGTCAGGAGGACCTCAGGAGATGGGGGACTATCCAGGTGAAATACAAACCTTCTTCTCATGGATCAAGTCCTCGCTATAGTCCGCTAGCTCCTCGTGTTCCCTCTGGCGCTTGAAGGCATGATAGGCCATGGTGCCTTGGGTGTTGGAGTGACCAAAGGGCAGTGAAGGTTGAATAGGCCACTCCATTAGCCAGGAATACAGGCCCGAGTCGTTCCCGATGGAAACAAGTAGAGGAGATCGCCAGTGGATCCACACCGGCAGCGAAGGGAGGACAGGCGTTGGAACTGTCGAATCACAAATAAATCATAATTAATTAGAAGACCATAATAGAACGTGGCTGACGGGTTGGAAGCTGTTCTTCCCAGAAAGGGCAACTCTCTTGGACAGTTGGACCTGCAGGCAAGGTACGGTTTGTATGTCGGTCGTACGGTTTTGTGTGATACGCTGTTCGTTCGATATTCCGTTGCTCCTGTATCGGACAGGACTTGCTCCGTTACTTCCAGACCCAGAGGCAAAAATCAGTAAACGCTCCAAATCGGAGGTCAATATTACCTTATTGTCAGAGTCGGAAGAGGAGCAGATATGTCTTGTATATGATCGATGGAATTGCTAACTTAATCCCGATTTTGCACATTCTCTCAGCCCCAGTATGTGTGTGGCCTACGAATGACGTCATTTCGAATCCAGTCTTAAAATGCCAATTACAGCCAAACTTGCATAGTTGAGCGTTTCATTCATTTAAATGGCACCATTGCAATCTGGATTTGCAGTCATAACTCCTGCTTCGAGAGGAATTGGCTTTGCCCTCGCACATCAGCTGCTGGCAAATACAAGTATTCCTCTTATCGCGACTGCACGTAAGAATTGTGACCAAGTCCGACATGATCTCCTCGACAAAGTCAAAGACAACGCTCCAAATGCAAAGGAGAGGCTGCAGGTTTTGGATGTCGATGTAACTGGTATTATTCATATCTTGTACACGAACTGGATGGTTGGGGGTTAAACCTTCTTCTGGCTGAATACTCTCCTAGACGAATCCACCGTATCCGCCATGGCTTCGACAATTCGACAGTTCTACCCACGAGCTTTCCTCCGTCTGGCCATTACTGTTCCTGGAGTCCTACATGTTGAAAAGTCGCCAATGCAGATCGATGCAGAGACGGCTCTACATAGCTTCAAAGTCAACGCTTTGGGTCCAATGCTGGTAATGAAACATCTGTCTCCATTTTTGCCGAACAGATCGTCCCCGCCATTTCAGGATGACCAGGAGACCTGCAGGTCTGCCGAGTGCCAATGGAATCTGCCAACCTCACATGCAATCTATGCGATGATGGCAGCTCGAGTTGGATCCATATCAGACAATGCATCCGGAGGGTGGTATTCTTATCGCGCCAGTAAGGCGTCGGTTTTTCAACTCGCAAAGACATTCGATCTATACCTGCAAATACGGAGCCAGGAACGTGCCATGGCCATTGCTCTGCACCCTGGAACCGTCCAAACCGATTTTACCATGGATTACCGGAATGGGCGAAAAATGCTGCAGCCAGAGGACGCTGCGACTAAACTGTTACAGGTCCTGTGTACTATGAAAACTGGGGTTGATGAAGGACGTGGTCGATGTTGGGACTGGAGGGGAAATGAGGTTTTGCCGTAAATTGGGACGACTTGGATAGAACCAACGAGATCAATACAGTAAAGCAAGGGCTTCCCTACTAGTTCAATTCCCGAGTCCATATCCAGAGAACGAGATTGACACATGGGGTGGTTCGAGAATGTCAAAGGGCGGAACAGTGATACAATACAGGACTGACAATACGGTATGATACGGTTCTGTCAGAAAACGCATGAATTTTCTGTGTGAATCATTCGGTGGCCCACAACTGAAGATGCATTGTGGCCCATTCAGTCACCGAGACGTTTTTTTTTTTGGTGGGTGGCATAATCGAGTCATCTTTCTATGCTTCTCTCTCTCTCTGTTCCATTCTTATGTTCTTGAATTAATACCTCTCTCTTCGTTCGTCATCTGGGTCTGCCTCTATTTTTTGCCAGGCTCTGTATACCGTCGTCTACTACCCTCCTCTAGCTCCTCCACTCTATATCCTACTTGGTCTATACCCCGCCATTCTCCGAGTCTACAACAGTAGTTGTCTGCTTCAATTCCAGCAATGCCTCTTGTCAACACTACAGAAGTCAGCGAGGACACTCGCGGTGAGTATCGACGTCCTTTTGAGTCGACGGGACTTGGCTAATCTACTTCTCTCTACCAGTCCTGGGCTATGATCCCCTCCTCTCCCCTCAGTTCCTTCAGTCCGAAGTCCCAGCTGTGAGTCATTCCCATTCCCAAGTCTTCTGGCAATTGAGATACACACAAGACACCCTTTGCATCGCCAATTGTTTTGCACGTTAGGTATCGTTTCTCTAACAAGAACTTCATTAGCCCCCCCATGCCATCGATACCGTCCGCTCCGGCCGTAACCAGGCAATCGAGATCATTGAACAGCGCGATGACCGGTTGCTAGTCATTGTTGGGCCCTGCTCCATCCATGACCCCGAGACTGCCCTTGAATACGCCAATCGTCTCAAGGAGGTGGCTCAGCGCCTCTCCTCCGACCTCTGCATCATCATGCGTGCCTATCTCGAAAAGCCCCGCACCACGGTGGGATGGAAAGGTCTGATCAATGACCCGGATATCGACGAGTCCTTCAACATCAACAAGGGTCTCCGCGTCTCCCGTAAGCTCTACGCCGATCTCACCGGCATGGGTATGCCTATTGCCAGCGAAATGCTCGACACCATCTCCCCCCAGTTCCTGGCCGATCTCATCTCGCTCGGAGCCATCGGAGCCAGAACAACCGAGTCCCAACTGCACCGTGAGCTGGCTTCCGGTCTTTCTTTCCCCATCGGTTACAAGAATGGCACCGACGGCAACCTGACCGTCGCCATTGACGCCATCGGTGCGGCAGCCCACCCCCACCGCTTCCTCGGTGTGACCAAGCAGGGTCTCGCCGCTATCACCAAGACCTCAGGCAACGAGCACGGCTTCGTCATCCTGCGCGGCGGCAACAGGGGCACCAACTACGATCGCGAGAGCATCAAGAATGCCCGCGAGGCCCTGCGCGGCAAGAAGCAGCGCGAAGTGGTCATGGTCGATTGCTCGCACGGAAACTCCAACAAGAACCACCGCAACCAGCCGATCGTCGCGAAGGAGGTTGCCGACCAGCTCCGCGAGGGCCAGGACGCCATCATCGGTGTCATGATCGAATCTAACATCAACGAGGGTAACCAGAAGGTGCCTCCCGAGGGTCCCTCCGGTCTCCTCAAGGGTGTCAGCATCACCGATGCCTGCATCAACTGGGAAACCACCGTCACCGTCCTGGACGACCTTGCGGATGCCGTTCGCGCCCGACGAACCCTCAAGGCCCAGACCACAAACAGTGCTTCTCATTAAATGAGATATACCTTGGACTTGGCTTTTTTTTTTTTTTTTTTTTTTTTTTTCAAAAAACTTGATACTCGATCAACTTTTCTTCTGATCCCATACTATCCTATCCTATCCTATCTTGTATCCTATCCTATCCTCCTCAACGATAAACTTTTTTTTTTTTTTTTGATTTAGATACCATAGCCAGAGTGCTTTTGTTTATTACCTCGTTCTTTTCACCATGACTTCTTCTTCCCTCGAACTCTAAAAGTACGACATGTATGTCTTTTCGGTATCTGTTGCTGCGGCAAGTGATTTGATCGCTTTCCGGTTCTTGATGCTATGATGCTCTCAGAAGTTGGCTTATCCTTCTTCTAAAAAAAAAAAGGAAAGAAAAGAAAGAAAAGAAATTTGAACCTGATGATTTTCCGTTATGATCTGCTTATTTATGTATGTATGTATGTATCTATTTTGGATTTCATTGCACTACCTAGGTAGGTAGGTACTAACTATAGTATAGGTAAAGGAAGCACCTCTTCTTTATTTCATCACATCGACCATAATAGTCTTATACTAAAGGAGATACGGAGTAAATGGCATTGTGTAACATAAAGAGAGGTGAAAGTGAAATAAAAATAGAACAAGACTACTCCGTACTAGGATTTTATAACCAATATCATGGGGGAAAAAAGGATATGTATATATGTACATAATATAGTTAACCCGGACCCAGTAGTGATAAGTACATGGGTTCGAAAAAAGAAAGAAAGAAAGAAGGAAAAAACTTTCAAATCAGATATCCGGATAGACGCCGCAACCCCGAGTTGGTGTGGAGTACAAGGGAGATGGATGGATGACACAATATGCGACGATACAAAACAAACAGTTCAACACGCACGCTTTTCGTCAAAGGGACGAGATGAGACAGACGGCACACAGCAATATTTCTTCTACTTCTACTTCTTCTTTTCGTATCATTTCGCTTTCTTACTCGCGTACTCGGTCATTTACCGACCGGTCAACCAGCTCTTCCAACTTCGCGTTGTCTGCTTTGCGGCCCCCTCCGCGTTGTCGGCAAGGATATCCAGCTGTCCTGGTTGCGGCGACGACGACGACGAAGCCGAAGACGACTGTGTGAGCTTAGGATCTGCTGCGTTGAGAGCCTCCAGCACACCAGGTTTCCTGCTATCGTTGACAGCGGCGTCGATCTTCAGGGCGGCGGGTTCCGATGATGCAGGTTCGTCGGTCTTCAACCCACCCAGGAGATACTGCTTGGCTTTGTTCCAGGGCCGCTGGGCCTTCTCCTCCTCCCGCTTCTGCTTGACAATCTCGCCGATCTGTTCGTTCTTCAGCAACTCCAATTGCTCCGCTGTAGCGGTTCCGCTGGTGTAGGCCGTCTTTGCGTCCTGCAGGGTCTGCATCTCCTTTTCGATCCATAGAGCGCGCTGGCGACGGTTGTATAGCGTAAGAGAAACCATCGAGTAAACCGTAAGAGCGCCGCAGATACCTAGCACGAATGCGTTAGTTCGGGTCTTTCAAGAACTTTAATCAGGCAAACAAAAGCTGTTACAACTTCCGAACCGCGAGAAACGCCAGGAAAGACAAGAATAGCACATACCCGACGCAGCAATAAGCGTGTAAACCATCGTCTTATGGGCCTTGTTCGCAAACCTCCGGCCAAAATCAATCATGGTATCCACGCGCGAAGTCGACTGTGCTATCCGGGATGCCCGAGCCTGTGCGCGTAGCCGTTCCACCTTCTCCTTGGGCGTTTCTTGTCTCTGGCCTCCGGGCCCCGTAGATTGCGAGTTCGACGCTGCCGAGTTCGCCATGAAGCCGGGGAGCTTGTACGGGGCTGCACTGGGCTTAGAGCTGGCGTAGGGCCCCGTGGCCGTAAACCTAGTGGCGTCTGCGGCGGATCGGGACATGGTGTGTTGTGGAAGGCGTAAGAGAAGAGAGAGAGAGAAGAGAGAGAGAGAACAAGGTAGATATATGTATGGAATGAAAACAATCCAATTGAGTACGAGGTACCGTCAGCGAGAGTCAAAGAGATGATAGAGTGTTGTGGTGGAGGAGAGCTTTGACGGGTGGATGGGAGTTCGAGTATGCGGGAAATTTTCAGCGGAGGAAATCATGGGATGGGACGATGACCGCCTCTCATTCTCTTCTCCGGTTAGTGTCCATTAGCCTCCATCTTCCTGTCAACTCTCACCAGGCTTAATCCATCGAACTCTGGATATAATTTTATCATTATCATCATTATTATTCCCTTCTCTCATAATTAACTCAACAGACCGATATCATGCACAACACACCCGACTTAAACTCCATCCTCCGGACTCTCTCTACATTCTCCAAGCAACCCCAATCACCATTAGCAGAGGACCACGACTCTTATGAACCACCAGAAGCACTTCTTCCTTCTTCTTCTTATGCGTCTGCGTCTGCATCTGCATCTACATCTAGAACCCATCAAGGCCATGCTGGCCCTCAAAAGCCCACCACAACCCCCAATACCCATACCAATACCACCAGCACAGACCCAGCAACAATAACCACCTGGCCCCCCGCCCTGAAACAGGTAATGCGCGCCGTAAGCCAGAACGAGGAGATGCAGCGCCGCATCCGCTTCCTGATCCAGCGCCAACATGACCACGAAAAACAGTGGTGGGCGGGCCGCGAAGCTCTCGTCGCGAAGCAACGAGCTCGAGCCGAGAAGAAGAAGGAGTTGGATGCTGTTTTGTGCGTTGTCTTTCCTATACACTTACTTACTCATATATATATATATATATATATCTAATGAATACATACATACATACAGACTCTCCGTCGGCGCACCAATAGATACTAAACAAGTTTCTGTATCCCCCCTTCCTTTCCTTTCCTTTCCTACCATGAAAAAAAAAAAAGAGAGAGAGAGAGAGAGAGACAAGAGAAAAAAATCAACTAATCCACCAAAAGACAGCAGAAGAAGACCGCGCCGAGGTCAAAAACTACGACGCCAAAGTCTACAAAGCCTCCACCCAAATGGCACACGCAATGCAGACGGAACTCCGCTCGCTGAATGTTCCGTTTTTCTGTCTCCGGTCGGATCTCATCGATCCCATCGCGGACGGGGCGGCTGCAGAGGCCAAGACAGGGGGCGGCGGGTCATTCACGCTGAACCCGGCGTTATCTGGGAGGCTTCCTCGGGATGAAGTGCTGGGGTTTCAGCGACGGATGCTAGATTTGCTTCAGGATCTTTGTAAGGAGTGAGTGGGTGGGTTTGATCAGACTGGCTGGTGGCTCTTCTATTTTATGGAGAGGGTAGGCTTCAACACTGTCGTTGTCATGTCCTTCCCTTCGGGTGGTTTATTTGAATTGAAATGGCCTCCTCGACTCAGCAGATTCTTTGAATTTATCATTATATACAATCCAACCCATATTGATATTTCTATCCCAGTCATCAGGTGCAATCTATTCCTATCGCCTAGGATGAATGATGTAATAACGTGAATGATAAAACGATGAATACTCCTGAATCGGAATCTCGAAGCCGATATATGCATGCATGCAAGTGACCGAACATCGCGCAATGAAGGATGATGATGGCCTCATACTCTTTAAAATTGTTTCAGAGGACCAAAAAAAAAAAAAAAAAAAATCTAGCAGTAATAACCCGAACCCCCCTAGCGTATACCATTGCAAAGCGCAACCCATACCATTAGAACACCGGAAATGCAAGTTTAGTTCATTTTTTTTTTTTCAAAAAGTTAAAGAGGGACGGATGGGATGGATGAATAAACATAACCGGCTGGCTGCAGGGCTTAACATTGAGATACAAAAAAAAAAAAAAAAATAAATGTTGCCATTCATTCCCCTTTCTTGTCGTTCACTGCGACTGCGACTGCAACGGCTGCGCCTAAGATTGCGCTTTCCGGCGCAAGCTCCAAACGGACACAAGGATCGTCGTCTGCGTGGAGGCATGCTTGGGTAGAGTTGGTTTCCTGGGTCAACTGGTTGAGGTAATGCTGGCAACGGTCCCTGAATCCAGGGTACTTGTTGATGACGCTTCCGTCGCACGCAATTGACAAACTTAGAGGGTTGCTGCTCTCGCTCTCGGTCACGGTAAGCTCTTCGACAACTTTGTTTGGTGATACGCCCAAGCGGGCAGCATCGGAGAATTCAGCGTCATTGCAAAGACACCACACGCTGTGGATTGCCGTGGCCAGGTATCCGGCGGCGCGTTTGGAAACGGTCTGGCACACCCGCTTCAGGAATTTGAGGTCGTCTGGGGACGGGGGGATGAGGAAGGAGTGTTCCTTTTGGAGAAGAGCCGCAGAAGACGAGAGCAATGGCGATGTATCCGCCTCGATAAAGGCGACGATGCTGGTGTCGAATGAATAGGCGTCGCGCATGGAGTGTGGAAGTTCTCCGCCAAACAGTTTGGTGTTCTCAACGGCTTCGACCACAATCAGTCGGATGATTTCGCCAAGATACCGGCCGGTGATCATATACTCCAAGGGTTGGTAATCTGGTCGCAGGTGGGTACGGTTGAGGGTCTCGTCCCATCGAGTCATCGGCAGTACTCCCCCACCGAACATGCTCATCTCGCTATTGATAATGACGTGCTTCGCATAATCGAACCATCCGGACGGCCTCGTGCCAAACTTTGTCAATCCGATTGCATGGACCGGGAAATGGATGGCCACATTGGTTCCGGTTCCCAGAATTAAGGACATGCGGGTCGTAGGGTCAACGTACGCTCGGGAAAGCAAAGTGGCGGAGCTATCGTTGACGATTGCGTCCACTTGCACGTTGAGATTGCGCTTTCGGCATGATTGAACAATGAGGTCTCCCAGTTCTTGTCCGACAGTCCCGTTAGAGCACAGGAACCCCTTACCCATATGGATTACCAGGCCACTACTGATGGAGGTTTGTTCAATAGGAAACGACCAAGACAGACCCATAGAGAGCGGAGTGATTTCACGTCCATAGTTGGCGCCAACCTCGCGCAGCATTGCTTCGATCTTCTCCGCCATCCAGTCAAAGAACATAGTTCCCTCCAGCAGCTTCACCTGGTTATCAATTTGAGAAGATGATACCCGGAGAATTTCCATGTCACCTTCCCCGCGCAGCTCAATCAAGGCCACTCGGAAGGTTGATCCTCCTACATCGAGGGCTAGGAATGTTCCGGTCTCCTTTCCCGACGGCAGGGCATGATTATACGAGGGCAACATAGATACCGGGCTGGACTGTAGACATGTTGTGAACTGTTCGCGGATCTTCTCTGACATTGCGATCATGTTTTGCATAGAGAGTGGGGCAGTAAAGAGGCGATCGACCTCATCCGCAAAGGCATTCAGGCCGCGGCGTCGCCAGTACTCTCCCTGGAAAGACCTCCGTTGCCCATCAGAAGCATCCCGGAACAAGGAGGGAAACAGCAGCATTGCCTCCAGGGCGGCAACGATGTTAGAGAAGAGGGTCTGCATCCTGTGCAGGACCTTTGCTAGAGGGCTTGACATGATTGAAGAAGGGGGGGGTTATGAGGTGGATTATCACGACAGAGGGCGAGAGGCAATCAAAGTCAATTCGATAGGCTCATCAGGACATGCATCCGAATTAAAAAGCCATGAATGACATTCAAATAAACGCAGAGATGCCAAGATGCGCGACGTTGGAGTTGGGTATAGGATAGGGTAGTATCAAGATTGACAGTAGCAGCAGCCAACGCGAGTCGGATCCCCTAGAGGGTCACGTATGGGTATTACCATCCAGTCTGCAGGAATGTAGCAGACAACTTACTTAGTACGGAGTACTAGAGTTGAGTTGAGTTGCATTTTCGACATAAAATACAAGTCGTGCCTGATCCGGGTAAATTACGGGTTGAGTATGGTACTAGTAATACCTACTCAGGTACCTACCTACTCAGGTATGTACTAGGTACTCTGTACTTAGTACAGTAGTAGTTAGGTATGGTATCTTTTGGATGTGACCAAATGGGTGCAACGGTGGTAATCAGAATGACGGAACTGTTACAATCTTGATAAGGGGATACAACTCTGGATTCACAGTCCACGTGATGGCCCCTTTCATCGGATCTGAAAATTAGTTGTTCGTGAGCAACGACGCGTCAGTCCTGCAGATTACCCCCTCCAGCTACCCCGACCATCCTTTTATATGGTCGTATATCCATATTCAGGGGCAGGACTTAAGAAGGGACTGGTCCTCAGGACGGCGTATCCACGTGGGCAATTCTGCAGAAGGACTCAAGGAGTGACTTACTCCGTACAGAGGAGGAATGCTGTCGACAGTCGACGTACCGGCTGAATGGACTCCATGGAGTGGTCTATCGCTCCACTAAGGATGGTGCCAAGAGGGTTGGCTTCGTTCGATCGTCAGCTTCCATCTCAGCACTTACGTTGTCACTGGATGCATTCACGACGGTTTTCTGGTGGAGATTGATTGCCTCGTTCATAATGTTCTCTGACAGGACTGGATCTTTGTCCCTGAAAATTTCTCTTCTGGATTTTGGTGGTTGTTGATAACTTTGTGGACTCGTTTTGATTGGGAAGGGTTCTTCCTAGCCGCTCTTGCAATACCTATGTTCTTCTCGTGGGCTCTATTATCTATGGCTATGGCCAGTGGCCTGGCAGCAGCGGAAGCTGAAAACCACGACGATTTACTATCTTTTGTCACAGTATGGCCTCTTGAACCATGGATGACATGTCCGCTGGCTGGCTGATCCCTTCTAGCTCCCCAATGTACGAGCGTTAAAGTTCGACGTCGCCTACCGTGACCGCGAGAGGGTAGCTCCTGGCTACTGGTTTGTCGCACCGTACGGCGTGATTGATCCCGAGGTCCCGACGCACCAGTGGAAACCGTGCCAGGTTGGCCCATACATCTACGATGCAGATGGAGTACGTTCCGCTTCTGAATGGGAAAAACCCAAGCTCTTGACCAACTCACAATGATTATAGGGCCTTGTTTGGGCTGGGTCTTGCATGTTTGACAACCGGAATATATTCGACTTCAAAGCGGCCAACAACATTGATGACCAACCGCACCTTTCGTTCATCTTACAGCGGGCTTTCAACGACGATGGCTCGGACAAGGGCTATGGTTACGTGCTGGATCAGCACTACCAGGAGGAGTACAAGGTGCCCGTGGTCAACGACCTCGGGTCTTTCAACATGCATGAGTTTAATGTTCTGGACGGTGGAAAGTCGGCTCTGGCTTGTCTGTACCGGTCTGAGGAAACCGACCTGTCTACGATCGGCCGGCCAGACGAACGCAGCTGGATCGTCGCGGGCGGTCTCCTTGAGCTGGATACGCAGACTGGCGAGGTGCTTTTCGAATGGAGCTCGTACCAGCAAGTCCAGGTCGACGAGTCTGTCAAGGTGTATCCCGACTCTCGGCCGTCGGATAGGCCTGGGTGGGATTATGTCCACGTCAACTCGGCCGACAAGAACGCGGTGGGCGACTACCTTTTGTCCGCGCGATTCGCCAGCACAATCTACTACATTTCCGGGCAAGACGGGAGCATTGTGTGGCGGCTGGGCGGGAAGCGCTCCGACTTTGCGCTGGATTTCACGTTCTCGAAGCAGCACCACGCGCGGTTTGTGGAGTCGAACGGAACGCACCACCTGATATCGTTTCTGAACAACGCCTCGGACGAGGCGGAGCAGGAGGAGAACGTGTCCTCGGCGCTCTTCGTGCAAATCGATACGACGGCCACGCCGATGACGGCGACGCTGGTCAAGCGCATCGAGCGGCCGGACGGAGGTCTCACGCGGCTGCGGGGGAACGTGCAGAGCCTGGGCAACGGCAACACCTTTGTTGGCTGGAGCGAGTGGGGGTACCAGAGCGAACACGACGCCGACGGAGAGTTGCTGATGGAAGCCAAGTTTGGATCGACGCGGTTTTCCTCGTACCGGTCGTACAAGTTTCCATTTGTCGGGCGTCCGGCCACGCCGCCGGACGTGGTTGCGTCTGTCTACGGGACCGACGCGACGGATCTGAGCACGATTTTCCACGTCAGCTGGAACGGGGCGACGGACATTGCAGGGTGGAGGTTCTACGCGCGGTCGTCGGCGGACGGAGTTCCGGTGCTGATCGGCAACACGACCAAGCGCAGTTTCGAGACGATGTTCATTGCGGATGGATATGTGGACTGGGTGTCGGTGCAGGCGGTAGACCAGGACGAGCAGGTGCTGGGGGAGTCGGAGGTGCACCGTACGCAGACGCCGGATGACTGGGGACAGGCGGGGTTCCAGGGGACGGAGCCGAAGCCAGAGGAGCCGTATTGGAGGGGGGAGGAGGAGGAGGAGGAGGAGGAGGAGGAGGAAGGGCGGGCGGAGCGTCAAGTGCTCAAGGCGTACGAGGTGGTGCGGGGAGTCGGGGGGTTTCTGATCTTGATACTGGGGGGGTGTACGTTAGGGGGGGTGATGTACTGTGGATGTGGACGTGGTATGCGGGCATACCAAGCAGTGCCTGACAGAGTATAGTTTCGTATCTACTTTAGTTAATATCAGGTGTATCTACTTTAGTTAATATCATGTGTATCTACTTTAGTTAATATCAGGTGTATCTACTTTAGTTAATATCAGGTGTATCTACTTTAGTTATTAATATCATGTGTATATCTACTCTGTATACTCTGTATACTCTGTATACTCTGTAGTACAAGTTATTATATGTAGGTCAGGCTAACCCAAACCGGAAAGAAACTCCATTATCCATTAACTACCTCCCGGAATCAAAACACCAACTGTCGTAAAGTAAGGTAAACCATCCAATGTCGAACCACCGAGTTCTCAGCGCTCGCCCCTATTCCACCACGTCTCGCTCGCAGTACAGCCGGTCGCAGTTCAAGGTGCTCCCATTCGTGACGATACTATTGATCGGGACAGGATCGTATATGTTTCTAGTGAAATCACGAACAGGACAGCAGCGTGCCACCACCACTACCAACCAATAACCAACGTATGTACCTACCTACCTACCTACCTACCTACTCTACTCTACTCTACTCTACTCTACTCTACTCTACTCTACTCTACTCTACTCTACTCTACTCTACTCTACTCTACCCTACTCTACTCTACTATATACCCACTCTAAAGAACAAGTTAACTCATTCTTAAAGAAGAAGAAGAAAAAAAAAAAAATGACCCCCCGCTTCTCCCCCCACTCCACAACCGTGGTCTTCCTCCTCGGCGGGCCCGGCAGCGGCAAAGGCACACAATCCACCAACCTCGTGCGCGACTACGGATTCACCCACCTGTCCGCCGGCGACCTGCTCCGCGCCGAGCAGATCCGCCCGGGCAGCGAATACGGCGAGCTGATCCGGTCTTATATCCGGGAGGGCCAGATTGTTCCGATGGAGATCACGGTGGCGCTGTTGTCGAATGCGATGGCCGCAGCCGCGAGCGAAGCAGCAGCAGCAGCAGCAGCAGCAGCAGCAGCAACAAGCAGCGCCAGCGATGAACAAGAAAAAGAAGAACAAAACGTCGATGCGAGAGCGAAACGATTCCTCATCGATGGCTTCCCGCGACAACTCGACCAGGCCGTGTTCTTCGAGGCAACCGTGTGTCCCAGCGACTTCACGCTGTTCCTTGACTGCCCCGAGCAGGTGATGGAGGCGCGGCTGCTGAAGCGCGGCGAGACCTCCGGGCGCGACGACGACAACGCCGACTCGATCCGGAAGCGGTTCCGCACGTTTGTGCAGACCAGTATGCCTGTGGTCGAGGCCTTTGCGGGCCAGGACAAGGTGGTTTCGGTTTCGGCTGTGGGCGGGGTGGATGAGGTTTATGCGAGGATTCGGGGGGCTTTGGAGGGGAGGGGGGTTATGGCTGTTTAAGTTTTTTTTTTTATTTTTTTTTTGTTTATATTTTGTTTTGTTTACTTTGTTGTGTGTGTGGTAGCTACTGTTGTCATACGTATACTTTATACAGAACAGATATAGAGAGAGAGAGAGAGAGAGATTTGTACTGTCATTACATTGTCTCCGTATGATTCATCGGAAAAAAAAGGAAAGTAAAGAAAAGGAAAGTAAAAAGAAAACTACTCGGCTAATAATACCTCACGTCGACGCTCAATCCGGTTCTTCTCGTTCCTCTCCTTCTCGCTTCTCTCGCTCCTCTCCTTCTCGTTCTTCTCCTCAGTCCCAGCCGCCGGGATTCCTTCCCGCACATATCGCTCCCGCTCACTCCGCACCACGCCCAGCACGCGTTCCAGGCTCCGGCGCCACACCATCAGCCGGCCCTGCACCTCGGCCCACTGCTTCTCGCCAAACACCCGGTACGTGGCGCGGTGTACCAGGAACTCCGACCGCAGCTGCGACAGCTTCCCCTCCACCAGTCCCGCCCGGATCGTGTCAATCACCCACTTCTCCACATCCGACGCCGGCACCCGCAGCGCCGACGCGATCGTGGCATACGACAGGGACCGCGCCGACGCCGTGGTGGTGGTGGTCGCGGCCGCCGCGAGCGAGGCCAGCGTCAGCAGCCGCATCTTGGTCTGCAGGGCGTCCGCGTGTGGCACCAGGGCATCATCGTTGGCGACGACGATGCTGGAGACGGGAGTGGCCGCGAGGAAGTCCTCGTAGGCGTCGAGCGTGTCGGAGGTGAAGATTTCGAGCAGCTCAAAGAGCGCCGCGTCGCTGGTCCGCAGGGCCTGCACGGCGTCCGCGGCGGTCAGCGGCGTGAAATCAAAGACGGCCGGGTGGGTGAGGGCGGCGGTCAGGGCGCGGACGGCGAGCTCGCGCGCGGCGGGGGAGGCCGCGTCCGCGGCGGGGATGGTCTGCAGGGCCTCGACGACGTGTGTCTGGGCCCAGTCGAGGTCCCCGGCGGCCTGGGCGGCGTCGGCGATGGCCAGATGCAGGCGCTGGGCCTCTTCGGGGTCGAGTTCCCAGGCGGTGCGCCAGGTGGGGAGTTGGGCGGTCAATTGCGGCTTCAGGGCGTCAAAGGCCACGCTGGACGCGGACTGGCGGATGACGGCGACAATGGCCAGGAGGACATGGAAGCGACTGGAGTCGGAGGGGGTGAGGGTGTTGAAGATGGTGGACAGGATGGCGATGGCGACGGAGGGGCCGAACTGGGGGGAGGAGGAGACGGGTTTTTTGGCGAGGTAGGTACAGATGCGCGAGAGGAACATGTCTGGGTCGGAGGCATGCTGCACCAGATGGATGAGGAGGTTATAGGCGGGGGTGATTTCTATACAATATATATATATATATATATATATATATATATATCTATGAATTAATTTTCATTTTTCCACACGAGGTCAAGGGATGAAAAGTAACGCACCCTTTTCCGGAGCGGTGTTCAAGACATCGGCCGCCACGACCAACTTTTTCAGCACCTCATCCCGCTGACTCTGATCGATCTGGGTATCATTCTGTTCCTGTTGACGGAGGGGTTGCAAGAGCGGGGTGAGTTCGGACTGGAGCGAGGGCTGGTCGGGCTGGCGAAGAGCATCGAGATAGACGGCGAATTCCTCGGCGAGTTCGGAGAAGGAGCCCTCGATCAAGAGGGTGGTCGAGGGAGCGGGCATGATGAAGAGGAGGATGGAGAGGAGGAGGATGGAGAGAAGAAGAAGAAGAAGAAGAAGATGAAGATGAAGATGAAGCGAGAAGTTGGCGATGATTTTTGGCGGTGGAGAAATTTTGGAATGTGGGCAAAAAAAGTCTTGGCACGAACTGACGAGTTTTTCTTGTTTATTTATGATTATTCTTCAAAAAATCGGAATTGGATCGAAAGTGGATCGAAATTGTAGAGAATATTATTATTGCTACGTCTGGGTCTCAATTATCATCGTCTCATTGATCCATCCAGGTTCCTCGAGGAAAGAAAGAAAAAAAAAAAAACAAAACTACAGAGCCCCCACCAACACGCCCAACATCACCGTGGCAAAGACAGCCACTCCATGATTCTGCAGCAGCTGGACAGCGGCACCGGTATGGGTAGTCGAAGCGGCAGTGGTGGTGGTGCTGGCGGAATCCGTCGCGGTTGAAGTCTGCGTGGCCGTGGTGGTGGTGCTGCTGCTGGTGCTGGTGCTGGTGCTGGTGCTGACACTGGACGCGTTCAAGGTCCCGCACTCACTGAGACCTTCTTTACAGGTCGCATCTTCCTCCTGAGTGGAGGAACGGGCGATACACTGACCGTAGTTGGCCTGGCAGACATAAAAGGGGATGGTCTGTTGATACAGGGCTACATCGGCGGTTGAGCCATTGGAGCAGGTGCAAGTGAAATCCAGCGTCGACTATTGGCATATCTTAGCGACCGAATTCCAGGGAAAGGGGGGGGGAAAGAAACATACCGAATCGCAGTGATTGACCTGGGCAGAACCACCACAGAGCTCTGGACACGAATTAAGCTCCCCCAAACACCAGGAGGCTAAAAGGGTTTAGAGACGAGATGAAGAGAGAGACGTGAGAGAACAGAAAGTACCTTTGGTGTTGGCGGAAATCTCGCTCACGTCGAAGCCGGTGGGGAAGGTATAATTGGCGAGGATGGGGGAGAAGAGGGAGAAGAGGAGGAGGGAATACATATTGGAAGAAGAGAGAATCTGATCTGAACTGAACTGAATCTGAATCTGAGCAAGTGGAAGAAGAGAAGAAGAGAAGAAGAGAAAAGAAGGAGAGAAAAGAAGGGGAAAGAGAGAAAGACAGAAAGAGAGGGAATCACCGACTAACCGGACTCTCAGTCTTAATTAACGAGTTTTGCACCGGCAACTATTGAATTCCAATCAATTGATTCGATTAATTGCATTATCTGCATTTCTATGGAATCTGATTGATTGTATAAATTATCTCCATTATAGTCGCTCATTCTGCAGCAAGAATCCAACATAAACAACGTTGGTTTCTAAGGAAACAATATAATATACCGAGTCATACAGAGTATAATAATAAGAATAAGAATAAGAATAATAATACATTAATTCTTCATCGTCGTCTGCGCCAACCGCTCCAGACATCCAACCACTCCTGTAACTCCGTGGCCCATCGTCGCTCGTGCTTCGGTCCTGCGCGTCCCCAAAGTCACCGTCATCACATACTCCACGCCTCCAGAGCTCGCTAATTTGTTCGCCCACCGAAAGATTGGCTCATCATCACGATCCCCCCCAATCGCCAACAGAAAATCCACTCCTCCTCCTCCTCCTCCAGAATTCATCGCACGCCATACCACGTCGGCCGCCGTCGCCTTATTCGTGTCGCGCGGCTCCACCACCAACACCCCCTCCACCAATACCGCATGCACTACCCCCTGGCTGGCACACGCGTCGTTGATGTGGTCCGCACACTCCGACGCCAGGCGACACGCCGCCGCTTGGTCCTCCGCCGCCTCGTAGTGGAAAACCAGCGAGCAGTGTCGCTGTTCGATCCAACTCCCCTCCGCCCGCTGCTGGTAGTACGCGAGAATCTGTCGCACCGCCGCTTGCCACGCCTGCCGGGTCGACGACTCCGGAAATGTGCTGGTCCACGCCTCGCCGCCGTGGGGCTCACGCACAAAGCATCCGTTCTCGGCTATCAACCCGACGCCGCCCACGAGGCGGAACAGCCGCGCTAACTCCTCGGGCGTACGCGAGCTCATGACGTACACCACGTTCTTCGGGTCGTCCGTCAGCTCGGCCAGCGCGGTGATCGCGCGCTGCGGCGTCGTCGTCGTCGTCGTCGTCACGATCATCATACTCCTGGGCGACCCCCACGACGCCAACGTCCCCTCGTAATCCAGGATGATCAGCCGCCGCGTCGTCGACTGCCGGTACCGTGCCTCCAACTGATCCAGCCGCAGGCGCGGAACCGCCATGATCTCGCGCGACGATTGCTCGTGCCACACGCGCCGCAACGTCGCACTGAACGACGCCACCCAGTTGGACGTCGAGTTCTGCAGCACCGCCTGATGCAGCTGCTGCCACACCGCCCGCCGTTCGGCCTCCCCCCGCGAGAGCGCCGTGTGGATGGCCTCGGCGCACTGGCGATAGTCCCACGGATTGACCAGGAGCGCGTGATGGCCAAAGACCGACGCACTGCCCGTGAACTCGCTCAGAATCAGGGATCCGTACTGCTGCCGTCCGTACTTCCCGTCCTGGCAGTACACGAACTCGTGGCTCGTCAGATTCATCCCCTCCCGTAGACTCGTGATCATCAGAGCATCCGCCACCGAAATCAGCGCCAGGTATTGCGGGAACGCAAGGTCTTGCTTGAGAAACACCAGCGGCTGATGCGCCAGCGTCGAATGCGTCGAGTTGATGCGCATGGCAATGTCCGAGATCGTGGCCTCCAGTTCCGGCTGCTCCGTCGTGCTGGTCGCCACCTGGATCAGAACCACCTGCTCCCGCCATTCGGGATACGTGTTGAGGAAGAGTTCGTAGCTGAGCAGCTTTTGGCGGATGCCGCGCACCTGGTCAATCTTGTCCCGCGAGACAATCAACCGCTTGCCCGCATAGCGATCCGAGATGGTTTGGATCCACTGCTCCACATCCGCCGCCTTGCGTCGTTTATCCCACGAGAGCGGATCAATGCCAATCGGGAACTTGCCCACGTTCACAACCCGATCCTCCAGCTGAAGCCCTTCGTTGGTCGCTTCGACGCTGAGGATCCGACTGCACGTCTGCAGGAAGTGCCGGCAGTATTCCTCCGTCTGGAACCCGACCAGGTTTGCCCCGAGCATCCCCTCCAGCAGCTCTTTGCGCGGCGCCAGGCATCGGAACACCTCCGACGACGGGAACGCAACATGGAGGAAAAACCCGATCTGCGCATCGGGGAGGAGCTGCCGCAGCATCGCGGGCACCAGCAGCAAGTGATAGTCCTGAATCCAGATAGAATCCGTCCGTTTCCAGTTGCGCGCAATCCGGTCCGCAAAGGCTTGGTTAAGCTTGACATAGTATACCCACGAGTGGTCCTCATAGGCCTTGCTTTTCGGATTATCCGGGATCTGATAGTGAAACACGGGCCAGAGGATGGTTTTGCAGAAGTGCGTGTAATGGCCATCGAAATCAATGTCACTCACATCAACCATCAGCGAATCATACTCTCCCTCTAGCTTTTCCGAGATAGCTGCCTTGGTGTACTGCGTCAGAGCATCGGTAGGGATGCCCAAGGTGCCGACCCAAACCTTGTCTTGTAGCTGTCCGGTCTCGGCAGCAGACCGCACGGCATTGCGCAGCCCCCCATTCCCCTGCTCCGCTGTCGTGATAGTCCAGTCTGCTTCGCAGAACGATCCTTTCCGGGTACCATGATACGAAGGTTTCAGATATTTTGCAGGGACTAATGGCGCTTCCCTCACGGGAGCTGGCTCTGGTACGGCGATCGGATCCTGATGTCTGAGAATCGACGGAGACGCTACGAATGCGGACTGTGGTTTGGGCTGGTTGAGGGCTGTTCTCGCGCCCCATGCTGGCGAGTGTGCTTCACTCTCTGTCAAGAGATGTTGATGATGATGGGTTCCTTCCGCGGCTTCCTTGGGGCTAGCAGAGAAGATACGTTCATGGTCAGTCGTAGCACCCGGAGTAAGGCCAACACTTGGATCACCATTCTGCCGTTCAAACAAGCTAGTTGCTGTTGCTGTTGCTGTTGCTGTTGCTACTGTTTCTGGCGTATGCTTAGTAGGCGCCGAGGTAGCGAGTTGCTTCTCCGGTTGGGACTCTGCAAAGCGATCCTGGGACGTAGGAGCGCGAAATCGCACAGTATGCGGAAGAAACCTACCACCAGAGAATATCAGCAAGACTAAAGAGAAAAAAAAAAAAATAAAAAATAAAAAAAAGATCAATTAAGTATTCAGGGCTTATACAGTGAAGCGATATAGACCGTCATCTTGCTACAACCGCAAATAGTCGATGAGGAAAGAGAAAAGAAGGGAAAAGAAAAATGGATTTAAAACGAGAGACAAGTAAACACTGTACAAGAGAAGAAGTCCATTAGGGAAGAGAATTCATTGATTATTGATAATCGAGACGATGATATGAGGACAGAGAAAGAATACTGAAGTGAAAGAAAAGAAAGAAAAAAAAACCAGGCGAGGAAATCATGACATGACACTGTCCCCTCCTTGCGACGTACGTCATGAAGCTCTCCCCTCATCTAAGTAGATCTCTCTCTCTCTCTATTCATCCCAACTCCCAAAACCGCAACTCCAATCATCATCATCATCATCATTATCATGAGAACATAATACATAAGAAATAAGATCTACTCTTTGGCCACGGAAAAAAAAAAAAAGAAAATAAATGCCAACTTCTCTCCTCCGCTCCTCTCCTCATCCCTTCATCCTCCTCCCCGATCATCCCTCCCTCGGCAACAACAACACCACCACCACCACCACCACCTTACGTCCCCCCCTTCGAAACTTCCTCCATACCACCCTCACAGAAGCCCAGACCCTCCTGGCGTCCGTACCGGGAACCTTCAAACCCATCCACCGGAAACCGCGCGCCTCTGCCCCATCCACCGCACCAGTCCAGCTCTTGTCCCGCACGGTGCCGGAAACCGGGGACTTCTGGGTCTGTCGCAAGAGCATTCACGAGGATGCAGCGATTCCCGGTTCCGCATCGTGGGAGGAGTTCCGCGCCGGACTGAGGGAAACCCACGCCGAGAATGAGATGGATTATACGCCGAGTGTGACCTCCGTCGAGACATTGCTGGGTTGGCCCGTTGAGGGGGAGATAGAGGGGGGTTGGAAGGGGGTTGAGATGCATGGTAAGTGTGAGTGGGTTGTCTATATCTATATCTACTATATCTTGATCTATCTTATCTGTCTATGGTTCGGAGGTAAACATTTTTTTTTTTTTTCTCTAGTAAATATCATCACTCATACCTTTCATCCGACCCTCTTGATTTCCCCGCGCTCCTTTGTGGTTCTCTCCATCTCGGCGGATCAGCTTGCTGCTTCTTCTCCTCCCTCCGACAACGGCTTCGTCACCATCCAGGTTCCGCTTGATGCAACCTCCCCCGATTCTATGCCTCCTGCTCTACGCGAAAAACTCGCCTCGGCCCTACCGCCATCGACTATCTTCGCCTCCTACGCCAGTGTAGAACAGGTGAGACTGACCTCGACGGGAATCGAATGGGTCATGGCAACCACCTCCAATGCAGGCGGCGCCATCCCCCAATGGGTGCAACGAAGTTGGACCATGGGTGGCGTTCCTAAAGCAGTGGTGGCAGATGTTGGTTTATTTCTAGCATGGACGGCACGGCGAAGATCTCAAAATCCATAGACTGATCGCATGGTGATTATTGAACTAGGTATCATGCTAAAGAGAAAACAAAAAAAAAAAAAAAAGGGAAGAGAGATTGATACACTTCCAGTATCAACAAACCAGTCAAGCCATTCGTGTCCCCAATTTCAGTAAAGGGACTGCTGAAGAGAAAAGAAAGAAAAAAAAAAAAAAAAAAACCAAGTTTTGCCCACCAAACTCCCCGCTCCTGTGATCCCGGAAACAGAATGCTGATTGATGGCGTATAGAACATGCGGTGGGATAATGTTGGAACCAAAAGAAATGATAATAGGGGCGACGAAGAAAATGTAAACGAATAGAAAACCCCTGTACATGATAAAAGACCAAATATCCACAAGTGTATCGATGGTATAGGAAGGAGACAAAATATAAAGGGAAAAGCTTAAGGAAAGCTTGGGAGAAAGATCTTCAATCCAAGTAAAAAAGAAACACGAACTCAAGAAAAAAAAGGGACAAGGGGGGCTTAAGGATGAAGAATGATGACCTCCGTTGGGAGCAGTAGGTTTGACATCATTAAGGGCATCAAGGTAATAATAACAAAAATAAAAACACACATCTGAAAGGCAAAATCATGACACAAGGAAACATATCCGCCGTGGCATCGGAAAAGCGTATTAAATTGGGAATTCTGTTTTTTAAAGGGCGCTGTTTCAAGGGCCCTGGCCCGTAGAAGCCCAGGAAATCATCGCTGCACAGAGCCGACGATTCCTGCCTCAACTGGAGATGGCGCAACCGCCGAGTTGGGCGCTGCCAGCGTATTTACAGTGGCCGACGCAATTTGGGCTCTGAGGGCAGCTACCTCGGTCCTTAGTCCACTCAATTCGTCGTGGACGGAACGAATGTATGCCCAAAGCTTATCCTCTCGATCGCGTTGCTGGTCATGAAGAGTGGGGTCATGCGGAAGCGCAGGATGGATATTATTGCCCGAAATTGCTTCTAGGCCGGCTTTGGAGGATAATGGACCGCCATGGCTGCTGGAGTGACTGTGTGACGGGGTATGTTTCGCGGCCGTTGAAGAAGATGGCGGTACCGCGCTCTGAGCGTGAAGAGAGAAGCGAGGTTCTGCTGAAGCCATACCTGGCGGCGGGGGAAGTTGCGGGGCGCCAGGCTGAGGTGGGGGAAGGCCCAAAGTCGACGCGGTGGGGTTGGAGAGGGACGTTGGAGAGGGACCTGCCCTGTTATATTGGGGTTGCGTGAATGACTGCGCCATTCCTGGAGAGTGAGGACGGTGGTGGACCTGCACATTGTTTTCCGGGCCGTGCCCTAGGGCGTGGGAAGACAGGGCATTTGGTGAGAGCGGCCTGGGACTTTCAGTCATGTTTGGAGGTGCAAAGACCGCAGTGCCGGAAGGCTGGCCAGCAGGCGGGAAGGTCAGGTTGCCAGATGATGGGATGGGGGAAGGAGAGCCGCTCGAACCACCATGGCTTGCTGGGGGAGGGAAAAGCCCACCGGGGGATGGCCTACTAGCCGCAATCGGGGGGTATGTGCTCGGCTGGCGCGGTTGGTAACTGCTCACACTGTTGGAACGGGCCAGAGAATCTGATGGAATATCATGCTTCTTGATACTGGGCGCATTAAACCGGCGTTCTTCTTCCTCGTCCATGCGCTCCGGTTCGGCGTAGACAAGACCCTCCATAGAATCTTCTGCACCCGGTACACCCACGTCACCATAGTCATCCTCCGGCGCATAACTTCCCATACTTGCCCTACGTCCAGCGCAACCGCCCTGGCCTTTGTTATGGCGGGCGAGAGCATCGCCACGGGCAAATCTGCGTCCACACTTGGGACAGATGTGCGGTCGTTCACCGGTGTGGAGTTTCATATGTCGCTTGAGGTCATGAAGCCTACGGAAACGCGATTGACAGGTCTGGCATACAAATGGCTTTTCTTGGCTATGTGTAAGCAGATGACTCTTCAGATTATGATGCCGGGTGAATTCTGTCGAGCAGTATGGGCAACGATGCTTCTTGGCCGATGGTGATCGTTGACCAGCCTTGTGAAGACCAGAAGTCGGCAAGCTTAGGCCACGTCGCGGGTCGTTGAGGCCTCCCGTGGGCATAGGGTAGGAGAATGCCTTGTGGCTCGAGTCTTGATGGAGATCGCTGTCATCTCGATGGCGGGGTCGATCACCATCCTGGGAGATCGAGTCTTCTATTGGGCCGGGACTCGCAACGGTGGAGGTGTTCATCAAGGATGTACTGTTGTCGGCCGTGCTGAAGGTGTCGGGAGCATTTCCCGAGACGGGATGGGAGTCTACTTGCATTTGATCGGAGGACATCACTAGCGAGTCACTGACAACGCCGGTTTGTTGCTTCTCACTAGCGCCAAGAGCCTCCCTCGCTACTTGCGAGCTGTTCTGTTCTGACTCTCGTTGGGGCTCAAGCGGTCGTTCCGTCGAGCCACCAGCGCTTGGTGCAGTGGTGGACATTGTAGACAATGACTCCTTTGATCGTGAGACGTTCAGACCAGCACTGGCGATAGAAGTCAAGTTCGGGTCGGGTTTGGATTGTTTCAGGAACCCGAGAGATTCGGAGGAGTTCGAGGTAATGAGATTTGATGGTCCAGGTAAAGGATTTGAGATAGAGATATGCTCCTTATTCGATTGCATCAACGCAGCCATCGATAATGGACGACTCACACCGGCCTGAAACGGGTGGTGAAAAAACGTAGGAGCTAGTTCGACGGAACTCATGTTAGCGGGACTGGATAATCTTTTCGGGAGAGATGCAGGATGATCGCAGGTTCAGAGCACAACAGCAGGGCGATCCAGTAAGATAAAGGGCAACAAATTCACAGAGAAAACGATGCAATAAAGAAGATACTAGTAGGACAAGGGGATGAAGAGATGCATCAGAGAGGCACTGTCGCGTGGGGCGCTCACCTAGAACCGAGTGTGGCGCAAGCTGACCGGGGGGGGGGGGGGGGGGGTTCAGCCTTCGCGAAGTCTTACGATCTGGTCCCAAAAAAAAAAACCAGATGGACCTTGCAGGCGGGTAAAAATAGCGGTCAGCCTTGTTGGTTGAATTGAAATATATTTTATTTTATCCACTTGGTCGGGATCTATAGTGGATTAATCCATCGGTGGAAAGCCTGCGAGAGGATCGTGGCGGATGCGCGGCGAAATAATGATGCCTTTTAACTAGGCTGCAGAGGATGGTACAACCCACAATGATCGGAGGAGCGCTGGTCCAGGGGATGGATGTGCAATTCCCTGTCACTGACACGCGGTCAACGTATGAGGGACGGAGAAGAGAATAAAGCACAGAGATAAGGCAAGGGGGAGGTGGAAGAAGAAATTCGGGTTCGGAGGATGAAGCGCTGAGTTGGTGCCTGAGGACAGGAAGTTGGACAAGCAGCGCGCAAGAAAACGAGAAATCGTCACAGGCAGTAGGAGGGAATGAAAGGCGCAAAAGGATGAATATCAGTTGGTGTCGGTGGGTTGAGTATAGATTGGTAACCCGATGCAGGGAAAGGGAGAGAAAGAGAAAGAGAGAGGCTGAGAGATACAGGAGAGGTAAGTTGCCGGTCGTCACTGTAGGAGGTGGAATGTTTGGTGGGTAAGGTTGGTTTGCGTCGGATAATTATGGGGGTTTTCTTCTGGTCTCGAGAAAACGCCAAAAGCAGATTAAAAAAAAAAGGGAAGGGAAGGAAGGGACTGCACGGGAGAGAAAAGAAGTGCAAGACAGAGATGTAGAGAAAAGATCATCAAGAACAAGCGTGGAGCTCTCTTTTGTTGTGGCGAAGCGAAAGTAAAGAGAGAAAGAGAGAAAAGAAAGAGAGAGAGAGAGAGAGAGAGAGAGAGAGAGAGAGTGAGAGGAACACGAGGAAGTGGCTGGAACAATGGACCAATACAGTTCAAAACAGAAATACAGGCGGCTCTATAACGGTTTTAGTGGCAAAAGGGACCAGGCTGGTGTAATTGACAATACGACTATCCCAAAATAGCCCAAAACCAGGAAAACATCCCCTTTTCCTTCAGCCTGCAGGAGGGATGTACTGTACTGTACTCTGTCCTGCATTCACTGAACGCTTCAGATTCGATGTCAGATCAGATTAAAAGACTAATGATAACAATAATAGCAACCGAAGAATCCCAGTTCTTAATACAAGGCATATTCCGTGAAAAGGTTCTGACCGACCCTGGTTTCTAAATGTGGATTAGCATCAGAAGGGTGGCTCCGAACTGCGTCCGATATATCTACATTTGGCCCCATTCGAATCCAGAACTGTCCAGACATGTCTTGGTGAAGGCAATACTCCGTAGTACGGAGTACCTAGAATAATTGATCGTTGGGGGAGGGGGGGAAACACGGTGAACCCCGAGCATAACAGGCTGGATGTACCCTCTAGCAAACCTGAAATGACTCCTCTCCTGTCCGAGGAAGTGCGCAACATGGGATCTGAACCATAGACATTGGTGGCGTGTTATTGGCCTTGCAAATTTCTCTCGATTCCTCTAGTCCTGCGTGGTGAGTGGTACAGAAAACTCCCATACGACCGATGAACAAAGCATGTCGATCTTCCTAGGAGAATCTACGGAGTAAAGTCAGTTAAAGCCCCAAAAAGGAAATCCGGAGGGAGAAAAAAGCAAGAAATCCAGGGAAAACAAGGAATGAGGCGGTGTTTGTGTTTTTTCAGTGCTGAAACCTGAACCGTGGCTGGCGACTGACGCGGAGAAGCTGTCAAGAGTTGGCCACTCATATATACTACTATAATAATGAGTCGCCCAGTGGGGCTGTTGGAAACTTGGAAAGTGGCTGTGACCAGCTGACCGCCTGCCCATGTCGGAATTATAATGTTCCTGTAAGAAGATCTGGTTTTCTCGGCTCAGGGGACGAATCAATGCTATGCTATCTTTACATCCATGGAGGGATAATAGAGTCTATTTCCGAATTAGAAATAGTACAAGTGGACAGCCCAACATACACTGGGAGTACTCCGTACTCTGATTTACCTACTCGGGACAGAGTAGTTGTTCCCAGCCTCCAATTTGCCGGGTGCGCGCCTCATTGTTGCCCCTGTTATACCACCCAGATTGAACCTTGAATTCTGAATGGCCCGCAGCCGCTGGAAACGAACATGTGCGCTGGAAAAATGAGTAACTTGTCTGAATTGGCCTCGGTATCAGGTGATTGGCGGATTGCTACTGCGCCGCTTCTTCTCGGGCTGTTGAGGACTACTACCCGTCTGCATGCAATACATCTCGGTTCTATTGGTGCTAACCTCCCCATCGTCCTCCATATCTAGCAATTATCGCAGTACGATAATACCAAAGGAGCCCTTCAGATGATCCATCAACTCCACCAGACCCTATTTCAGCGACGCCTCCATTCTGGTGCAGAAAACTAAGAAATTGTCCAGCAGATAGACACCCAGATGTGGCGAGAGACAAAGTCATCAGCAATGTGTTTGAAAAGAAATTTCGGAGCTGAATAAGATTGGCATGTCTCTGAGCATCTCACCTACGACTCACAACATACTAGCTAGAGTTCGAAACACAGTCGGCAGTATTTTGTGAACCCGCACAAACGCAACTGAAGCAGAGGCAGTGGGTATCTCCAGAAATCCTAAATAATACCTCCGTCTCCAGCGCCTTCCAGGTGCTATCGCAAATGAAGGGACAAATCCGCCGAAGGGAGGTCTCTTTGGGCTGCAGATCCCTTCGCGGCCAAAGCGAAATTGTAATCAGAATACCCATACTAAGTATTATATGGCCATCGTACAGCTAATACAATGAGAAAGCACGATCATTCTAGGCTTCAATTTGAATTTTCGATTCTACATTCCGCGGCTCAAGGCCAAGGGAATATTACAGAACAAGAGAATCACATTAGGGCTTGGGGCACAAGAAGAGGAATTCCAGACTGTCCTACTTGTCCTCCCCTAGTAAGTATCAATTTCTCACTAAAATCGTCTGGCTACCAATCCTCTAGTACTTGCCTGGTTCCAGGTGAAATGAGTGGTCTTGGACGAGCCGGACATGAGATGAGGTACTCAAGATGTTGTTACTTTGAGCTGCCGTCTCCTACTCGCGCAACCCGGAGTCGAACCATTGCAATGAATTTGTTATGCGCATTGATGGAACCCCAGTGCATGTTAATAGGGCAAAAATATCCAGTTCATGCATATAAGGTTCCTTAAATATCGAATGGCTGTCAAGGACTTACCACTCTACAGCTCTATACCATTTGACTTCTATCGGCAAGGTGATCGCAGAGAACTCGTGAGAATCTTGATTAACCGTTTTCGATATCTAGCCGAAAGCAAACCCTGGCAACTACCAAGACACTATGGTGATGTGATGGTGTCGGTTAGGATTACAAGAGCTTATAAAGCCTTACTCCTCTATCAACAAAGACTTTCTGCTACTTTTTTGATAATGATTAATTAGACACGGCACAGCAGTTAACTAGTTACAGAGTGCGTGTGGTACTTCACAAGATACCTTCCCAAGTCTCACCAATCTTCATTTCTTACAGGGATTCCGGCTGAGAAGAGAGGATAGAAGTCAGACATCATACCACTCGTCTAATCCCTAACGAAGATCAATGATGTTTTAGGAATTTCAGACATCAAGGGCCGCTTACATCGCTGCTGATGCAGCTGTAACTACGTGGAGCTCCCGGCTCAGAAGGCCTGGATTGATACATGTTCCTCTCCAATAATTATCCCGCATACCCGTTCAGAGACAGATGTCCCCTCAAATCATCCTTCCCCTTCATGTGGTAACCGCCTTGCAAACGCCTATTATCCCATCCCCCGGGGGTCTACTCTGTACAGGGACAAGAATCAAGTATTTATAAACAGGGCAGTTTATCCGTGACACAACCCCTCCCAACATAATCAATTAATATCACACCACTTACTCTGTAGAGCCATTCTGTCCCCTTATCCATGAAATTAAAGACCATTGGACCACTCTACCAATTGCTATGCACGCAAACAAAGAGATGTGTGAAGGACTCTGCAGGAAGATGCTTAGTGTTGGTGGGACGGAGCCTAAGGCTGCTAGCACCCGCTCCCGTCACGGTTAAATCGACTCTTTCCAGTTTTCCTCTACCGAGTATGAGGAGTCCGTATGTCTTCTTCTTCATCTTCTCCTTCTTCTTTTCCTTCATTTACATCCTATATTAATATCCTTTCCACTTCATCCCATTTCTATCTTTGGATTTCCGGCGCCTGTATTCTGCTGCTCTCACTGGCCATCACTCGCAATCCTGCTAAAGCACCCCTCTTTGATGGCCAGCGGTTCTGCCCGTCCTATGGTTGGCTGGGCTAAGCCAGGGCATCAGACAACGCGATCTTTGGCTCTCATTCGCTCTCATTCGCTCTCTGAGTGACCAAACTTGCATGAAAAGCGTGAGAAGAGAAAGGTTAAACGACTCGCACCTGCGCTATCTCCGCTGTGATAGAGCAGGCTTCCCCTCTAGTGACCAGCCCGACATCCAGTCACAACGTCCCCCAACCATTTCTTCCTGCTGGCTTTACCTTCTGCCCATGTTCCTGGCCAACTACTAATTTCTGTTCTCCCCAATGATCTCCTCCGGCTTCGTTGCTCTGCATATTCCCGGGCGCTTAGCTGCCTCTTCACACGGTTGATGAGGTGCTTTGCGATATGCCCCCTCTCCACCTGCTAGGGAGGCCGGGACTGCCGCCCTTGATAGATAATCGATGTGGTCACGCCGTTCACAGGCTCTCTTGCTGTTGCTCCTCCGTCTCTCCTCTTGCTTCTAACGCAACAACCTTTCCTGGGATTGACCACTGGTCTATATCTTGGTTCAAGCAGCGCAGGACTCGCCGCTCTGTTTCCAAGAACTCAAAGCATCGGCCAGTTAAACAAAAAAAGGTGGTTTGAAGGTTGTTTTCGAACAGAGGTTTGTCTCTAAGGTCTTCGCCCCAGCGCTTAAACTGACAAGAGTTGTTCAGGCCTCAAAGTCGGCGATATCATCTCGACTGGAACCTATCCTGTATTCATAGCACGACGTGATCATCCTCGACCTAATGCTTCTCCTCTTCTGAACATTCGGGCCCATTTCTATATCCGTTGCAGAAAATTTGCGGTCGATCACCCCAAAATAAGAATAAATACAGAAAGAAAGAAAGAAAGAAAAAAAATTCCACAGGCTGAGAGCTGGCTCTCTTCAACTTGCTAATCCTTTGCAACGACCTGTTTTCTTTTGCCTCTGAGCCCTAAATCCAATGTCCCCACAATCCGTGAGTGCGGATAGCTCGCCCCAGACATACGAACCCGCTACCCCAAGGGAGTTTGTTGGTGGTCACAACCACGGAGCAATGGCTTTACCGATTCAGGATTCACCAGATATGGCTGCACCGTTAAAAAGCCCGCGGTCGGCTCGATTCGCGGAAGCAACTGCGGTTCACTCTCCCACTGATCCAAAGGACAGTAACCAATCCCCATTTGCAGATCCTCCGCATCAATCTCAGACCCCCCCTGATGTTTCTGATGTTGGTTTCGGCTATGTCAATGCTCAAGATACGTCCCACCATGTTCCACCAGCGTCGCCGCTGAAAAGCGCTTTGAAGGTACCAGGAACCCCTGGTCGGACGTTGAACCCTCTTAGCCCGACTTTCCGTGAAGAGTTCTACCTGGAGAAGCAAGAGAAGTCAGCAGAAAAAATGAACGCGAAGGACTTGGTGAGCAAAACCTAATCACGGTGCTTCGCTCTGTTCAGGTTTAGTACTAAACTTCCCCTTGCTAGGTCATCAAAACTCGTATCCGAGTGGCCAAGATCTTTCTTCGTTTCATCAGCTTTGGCTGCAGTATAATTGTGCTCGCTATTTTGTGTACGACGTTGACAATCTTCCATACGACCCGGAGTTTGCCCTCGCGCAGCGGCTTGACTCCGTGGTCCACGAACACAAACCCGTGGCCGCAGTATATGACGTTGGGCGTGGCGTGCCTGTCGTTATTGACCTGTCTTGTTGTCTTCTGGACTTGGAGAAAACGCGGCCACAAGCGTGCAGAAAAAGTTGCTACTTATTACACCATATTCTCCGTTGGCTTCTTCATATTCAGTCTAATTTTGTGGATTGTCGCAGTTGTGGTTTACCAGAACGCCAAGACAATCGGAAATGGCCAGGATATCTGGGGTTGGTCTTGTAAGAACAATAAGAGAGAGAAGGTGTACAGCAACGACATCGACTACGCCCTCCTATGTCGTCTTCAAGTAAGCCAACCCCCGACTTGAGATACATTCAGCAGTGGGCTAACCTTTTTTTTTTTTTTTTTTTTTTACCAGGATTGGGGATTGGTGTGCGCGGTTATAGAAGTTGTGATTGAAGTCCTGGTCATTCTCATCTACGCCGTTGCTTTCTATCGATTCTGGAGCAAGCGTCGACTCGCTAAATCTATGGATCGCCGAGACAAGGCTCGATCAGATCTGTACCTGGCACAGCTACGACTACAATCCGCGCCCAATACACCGGGATTCCCATACACCCCTAAGTCTCCCTGGGTATCAACAACCATGGTCAAAGACCCTTACTCCGCGGCCGAGAATGGCGAGGCAACTCCCACCCAGTTTGCATCTCCTCGATCGCCAACGAGACCTCAGCCGAGCTTTCAACTCCAAGCACCCCCAATCCGTGTGCACCACGCAACACCCAAGACAGAACAGGGTGAATTCTCAGCTCCCGTTCCGGCCCCCTCCCGCACTCCTTCCCAAGAGCACATGGGCGCTGCGCCGGGCGAGAAGACCTACGAATCCGTTCCTATTCCGGGGGCCTATGCTAGTCCGATGACATCGAGCTTTCCCCAGGGAACCCACCAGTAAGCCCGCGAGGATGTCATACACAGACACCTCTAACGCATACGGGGTATATATATCCTCTCTGAACCCAAACAAAAGCCAACTCAAAATCGAAAGAAAAAAAAAAAAAGAAAAAGGCATCAATGAAACCACAAACAAGGCTCGATGAGATTGATACGCACTCACTTTTATTCCGGAGTTGATTAGGAGGCTAGGGTTACGTATCTATCTATCTGCCTGTCTATCTGTCTATCTAACTTTTGTTTTTCTATTCTTGATGTACGAGTTAGAGTCAAGCAAGACCTTGACTGGATTTGGGCCGACGACCACTAACTACGAGGTACAACAACTTTTACTGCAATTAATACCCCTTTTTTTGTTTCATATTCTTTTATCCAACTTGGTTTTTTTATTGATTTGATGGATGAACGAGAAACAAATCCTCTCTCTATGTTTATTATATGTTTAGCTTTTGAGTTTTATTTTATTTATACCACTGAGCAAGCCCAACCCAACCCATTCTTTTATTTGTTTTTGTTTGTTTGTTCAGTCAGTCAGTCAGAACAGAGCAGAAATAACTAGTAGGGTACTAGTAGGATTAACACACATACATACCATGAATATCATGAATTTTCATGTTGTGTCAATGTGTCGATGCTAAAGATGTAAGCTTCACTGGATGCATTTAACTTTCAACTATTCGGTACAGTCATCAGGTATAGGTAGGTGTTTATAATTCTACAGTAATGGAAAATGAATTAAAAATGTATAGAAAGAAAACTAGAACCGAGCCAAAAAAAAAAAAAAAAAAAAAATCCCAATAGGACCTCCCATGCAAACAAACTCCTTCTGCGGTATAAATCTGAGTATGAAAAACTGGGTGGTGAAGCCATACATACATACACAACATTCCTCGTAAAGCATCTCGTAACGCGCGCAAGGAAGGATATTATCCATAGACACTGACTGTACATTCATGAATTTATGTGGGTGGTCCACGAACTCAACCTCACATGCCACCCTCTTGAACGACGGCGTTGGCGTCTCTCCGGACAAAGATCTCCTCCAGTGTGCCTTGGCCGAGATTATTGGAGCCGTCGTCATTTTGTAGCACGAGGCCCTGCTCGTTGGCCAGATGGAGTAGGCAAATGAAGCCAAAGGACGTGCTGATATCACGCAAAGCTTCCGTAGGATAGACCGTCTTGAGTGAGTTCATAATGTCTGTGAATCGTAGTTCGCCATCGTCTTTCAGGCTGTCTAGGTTCGGGCCCAGGGGTACGGTTTTATCCATTGGTGTTGGCGTAGGCGGGCCATCATCTTCCATCTCTTCATCGTCTGGGATCCTGTCCATAGTCCTGGTTGCGGGGCCAGAGTCCATGGAGGCTATCAACCTGTCACCCATGCCCTTCCACATTTCCTGTTTGAGTCGGCGAACATCAACCTTCTTGGCGACGCGAGCATAGGCAACATAGTCGGGACGTGCTCGTCGACCACCTTGCGTGACTAATTGCGATCCAAATCCTCCGGCACCGGACTGGAGGCTTGAACCACCAGGAGTCGCGCCCACCATGTTCAGGAGGGCAGCTAGTCCTGAAGCTCCACCGGATTCTCCCACTGATGTACCTGGGCGGCCATCAGCGGCGGGAGACAACATCTCTCTGGCATCGGCAAATGGAAGATTGTCGTCGTCGTCGTCTAAGCCGATGCCGTTCGGGAAGGCTAGACCATCGTCGTCCGCGAAGAAGTTGGCATCGTATGCTCCAGCAACAGCATCTTCATCGCCAGCAGGATTCTCTTCAGTTTTATGGTTGGCCCAGAATGCTTCATCCATCTCTCCATTGCCCGAAGTTTGCTCTTGTCGCCGTTGATTGAAACTGCGTGGGCCAATCAATTTTCTAGAGCCCATTCTGGCCTTTGGTTTGAGGAAAAGGCGCAGCAGTTGCCGCGAGTTGAAGTGCTTATCATCTGGAAGGAGATTGCGACCCTTCGTCTTCCATTGGGTCTTGGGGAGGGATATCGTGGAGTTGGAGCTTGCCGGAGTGTAGACTAGTTCAGCCACAGCTGGATCCAAAGGCGCACTGAAATCGATCTCAAATGGCTCTTTCTCCTTGCGGGGTTTTGGTCCTGCGTTTGCGGCAGTTGCGGCGGTGCTCTCCTTGATCCTGCGGATCTTCCAGTGTTCGGGACCAGCCCAGTTCTTCTGCAGTGCATTATCGAAATAGCTGAGGATGTTTTCATGGTCCCGGTTGCTCGGTTGATGGTTCAGGGATATGGCGTATGCATCATCATTATCAAGGTCCATTTCATCTCCCTTCTCGTCGCCTTCTAAATCCACACGATGTACTTTGAGCATCGGCTCCAAGGCTGCTTCACGGGCCCATGCCTCGCCACCATCACCAAACCCAGTGTCCCCGCTGAGATCAAAGCCAGTCAAGCTAGCATCATCATCATCGTCAAACCCGACAGCGTTATCATCATCAAGCATGATGCCAGATGTCTCGTTCGAGGGATGCCCGCCCTCATGCGCCTTGTCATGTCGCCATTCTTCGGGTGCTTTCAAAAGAGGGATATCCAAGGAGCCGCTTGGGTCTCCCAAGTCGAAGTTTTTAAGCGAAGGGCAGATATCTTGCGCGTCAAGGCGCTCCAGGTCCGGAAAGAATTGACTCGCTAGTGGAGTGATATCAATTTCCATATCATCTTCGAATATATCTGTACGGGCCTGCTTCGCAGGCGGGGGCTGGGGTGTAGAAGAACCCGATCGCTCAGGCTCCTCTGAATCCTGCCTAGCATCATCTGCGTCCTTCGAAGATTCCTCGGTGGCATCATCACTGCTGTCGAAAACAATACGTCCATGGCTATCGATCGATAGATGGTTGAGGAGCAGGCCTTTGGCACCACCCTCATCGAAATCTGCGGATGCTTTTTTGAAGAGCGGGTCGACGGAAAACTCGAGTTCGAACTTTTTCAACTGTAGGGAGGCAAAAGAGGGTGCAAGTGTGGCCTCATGTGAGCGCTGAAGATAAGGCAGTCTCTGGTTAGCCATCTCAAAATCTTCATCCAAGCTACCCACCACAACGGGAACCATACCTTTCGTCGCGACCTCCTGCTCGTCCCTCCCTCACCATCCTCCTCATCCTCCTCGCCACCTTCACCCTCAGCTTCGGTTTCGCGCGTTTTCCTATCCCGGCTATCGGCCAGACCACTCAAAAGTTTGCCTGTCTCAGTTGCAACACTGTCGACTCTGCTTGTATAAATCTTCACACATCCGTCCAGCGTACAACTGGCTTTTTGGAAATTCACACCGTCTCCTTCCTTCAGAAGAGACATATCATGGAAATAGTCAATCAGAGCAAAGTTCCAGGAATTATTCGCGTTAATTTTGTTGTCAGTAGCCATCTTCATCCATTCCTCAAAATTTGCCAGGATAGGCACCCGTTTCATCGGGGTCACGCCGCGGAGACCATCAGCGTCGCTTTCACGGTGGCGATGACCCGAGCCCCGTGGTGTCGCTGGACTCATGCTCCCTGCCCGGTCAAAGGCACTGTATCTTCGAGGCGGCATAGGCGTCTTCACGGCGGCCTTGATCTGATCCATCTGGCGGTCATGTCGGGCTTGACGGGCCTCCATACGGGCCGCCTTCTCTCCCATATCATCGTTGAGGGGGATCCTGGTCCACTCCATCAGCACCACTTTCAGTTAACATTACATATCTATCACAAAAGAAGGGCCCTACTTTAACGGTGAATTCTTATGGGGGGTGGAGGCGCCGTTGGAACGGCGGTGTTTCGAGACGCGGGGCATGGTGGATGGTTGATTTTCCCCCAGCAACAAGAGTAAGGGGTGGTTGAAATGCGCACAAACAGCGTCCCCAGAGCGAGGTTGGGGTTGAAACAGCGCCAGCTAAGAGAGAGGAGAGAACCGTGATCGACTAATCAGCGAAGGTAACGATGGAAAACCATGTCTTTGGGGATGGTATAGTTGGCTGCTGGACGTTGAGAACTGCGATAGATGGAGGAGGTGCCAAACACAAACATCAACAAACAGGAACCGTGCCACAGCAACCTCAGGCGCCCAGGTCACCTGACATTTACACCAGCCACGGCCTTGTGCTGCGCCACAGACTGCATACTCCTTGCAGCCGACAGGAATGAAGATTATTTTTATCCTTCCACCATCCATCTAACTGAGGAGGACATTCTTCCTGCCAGTCATCCAGATATCTACCTCTCGTGAGATTCCATCCCGTCTCCAAGTCCCCCCAATCTAGCCTGGGAAATTCGCACAGCCTCGCTCCCCTCAAGCCACCCACGGGCTATCTGACATCAGAGTACATCCAGGCGACCAGTCTGCGGCGTTCCCGTTGATTTCGCTGTGGAGAAAGCTTCCAATCACCCTTGTGATCACGGACAGCCTTGAGGATTTTCGCCTTCATCGCCTTCAATCTGGAATTAATCCGGGTTTGGGCCTTCCTCATATCTCCCGAGTCATTGCATCACGTCTTGGCAGCGTAACCCTCCTCCTTCCATCTCTCTCTCTTCTTTCTCCCCACATTCGACACCACTGCCCAGGATGATACCGGTACACATACAATCATGTTCCAAGAATTGACCGCAATCTTTCCTCGGGCTTCGGTTCGACGAAAGCGTCAATATTCTGTTAGACCCTTTTACGGGTCTCTCCTGGTCTTCACGGCTCTTGCTGCCCTGAGTTGGGGCTTCGGGCGTCTCAGGCCTTCACTAACGGAGGCCCCTCCCTTCTCTAGCCCCTCAGGTCGTGTGCTTGTCAAGCGGGATAGTGAACCAGAGGTATAGCGGATAATTTTACTCCCTTGTTGCCGCCAGATCGTCGGGAATCATTGCTAACGATCGATTCATTCTCTCTCCAGTGCCGTCTGGTGCGTAATGCGAAAGATCAATGCGCTTTTGTCCTTTTAAATTGCCCTGATTACGAAGATGGACTCTTCTCATATCTCCAATTCTACTACTGCACCCTAGCAGACGCAAAACCAGTCGCTTTCGCCATCATTATCCTCTGGCTATCCTTGCTGTTCAGCACTATTGGAATCGCCGCCAGTGACTTTCTCTGTATTGATCTGAGCACGCTGGCCAGTTTTCTTGGCTTGAGCGAAAGTCTGACGGGGGTCACGTTCCTCGCATTCGGAAATGGAAGCCCCGACGTTTTCTCAACCTTTGCAGCCATGAGGTCCAACAGTGGGAGTCTGGCAATTGGCGAGCTACTCGGCGCGGCAAGCTTTATAACTTCGGTCGTTGCAGGCTCGATGGCGCTGGTTCGTCCATTCAAAGTCGCCCGGAGGAGTTTCGTTCGTGACGTCGGATATTTTGTGATCGCCATTAGTTTCAGCATGCTTCTCTTAGCAGATGGCCACTTACACGTTTGGGAAGCTGCCACCATGGTTGCACTATATTGCTTCTATGTCGTACTTGTTGTAACATGGCACTGGTTCATTGTTCGACGGCGTCGAGTACATGAGAGAATCTTGGCCGCGAGGTCTCAGTACCATATCCCGGACAACCAGGAGCTGGATATCGAAGAGGTGGAAGAAGATGATCCAGGGGTAGCTTCGGAATCGACAAGTCTTCTCCGCGGCGCGTCTTCGGACGATTTTCACGCTCTGGAGCGCGGGGACGTACCGATTTGGAAGGACGGGGATGAGGACGACGAGACCCGCAATCGATATCTAGCAGAGATCCGAGACAACATGCATGTATATCGGCCCACGAGGCGCAGACGTAATACTTTGAATCCTATTCGGCCCAGTCTGGTCGGTGCATTAGAGTTTCAGTCCGTTCTTTCCTCGCTCCAACGCTCCAGAAGTCACCGTCAGAACCATTCCATCAGCCTTAGAAGGTATTCAGATGTTCCAGACAGCCAACAGGACCGGCACCAAGCGGACAACTTGTCTGTGGCTTCCCACCCTCGAAGTAGCCGCTCTAAAGCTGGCCATTTTCTGTCTCCTCACGATGGGACCGGTCCTGCTCGCGCCCGAGCCGTTTCTGCGAACGCTGCTGCGGGTCTGACGCTAGACACGAGTCTGTTCGGCGCCAATGCGCCATCACGCCCGCAATTAACCATCAGTCGGCCGTCTACTGACCATGAGCCTACGACGCTCATTCTCTCACACCCATCTGACTCGCAAAGAGGCCCAGAATTGATGATGTCACCGGTATCAACGGTGCTTTCATCCCGCAGCCCAAGCCCAAGTCCTGGAGAAGGACCTAGCCTGCAAAACTCTAGTCTGCTTGCCCCGCCGGACACATTCGGTTTTCCCAATTATGTCGATGCTACGCCTCATACCCGCTCTCCCACTCAGGTGTCTCCTCGGGGAACAATTTACGGTTCACCTCAGGACAATATGCTAAGTAGCCCTATCAGTCCATTTCCTCCTTTCTTGGAGGCTACTGGCCCACCATTCTCGAGACCACCAAGCGTGTACCCCTCCGCCCCCTTCAGTCCAACGCAGCCGTTGCAGATTCACCACAGCGTTCCGGATGGTAGCAGCAGTCGGTGTATGTCCCCAGCGGGGTGGTGGCCTCGGTCTCGCTCCATACTTCAGCCAGTCATTTCGATTCTCTTTCCAACCTTGGATGGGTGGAAGGGAAAGTCATTCTGGGAGAAATCCCTGGGGATTGTTGCGGCTCCGAGTGTGTTTCTTCTGACGATCACTCTTCCTGTTGTTGATCCTGTGCAACCCGACACCCCTCCCACTACAGTTCCTGTGATTGTAACTTCCGTAGATGGTGGAACTTCGCCAGCACCCATCGTGCGTCTCCCAGAAGACAGTCCACTCCTCCTGGCTCACGACCACCCGTCCCTTGTCGAACAAGCCGCGGAATATGGAACCCCATCTTTATCGGCTGAGGGACGACGACGATTCGACTCCGAGCTCCCCGTTGCCCAAGCTCCTGTAGGATCAGCAGCAGCGGCAGCAGCACCTCCAACCCGCGAATGGTGCCTCTGGCTGGTCTACTTACAGCTTTTCGCTGGGCCCTGCTTCGTCGCATTAATCGCTTGGACCGCGATAGACCCAGACTTCAAAGGCAGTACCCTCCTATTCTTCGGCCTCTGTGCGCTCCTCTTCTCCCTCACCTGCCACGGCGCCTTAACCATAAGCATGCGCCACAACAATGCTGCCTCGCAGCCACCCCGCACGTGGCGACCCATCCTCGCATTCCTGGGCTTCGTCGTCGCCATCTTCTGGATCGCAACCATCGCCACGGAAGTCGTCAACCTTCTCAAAACCCTCGGCGTCATCCTCAACATCAGCGACTCCCTGCTCGGGCTTACCGTCTTTGCTGTCGGAAACTCCCTCGGTGACCTCGTCGCAGACATTACCGTCGCCCGCCTCGGCTACCCAGTCATGGCACTAAGCGCTTGCTTTGGCGGGCCTATGCTCAACATCCTCCTCGGCATCGGCCTTGGAGGACTATACATGACCATGCACGCCAAATCAGAGACAATGATTTCGCGTACGGCGTCAGGGACCTCATACGATATCGCCGTCTCGAAGGTCCTCATCATCAGCGGTGCAACGCTTCTCATAACTCTAGTCGGGTTATTAATTGTCGTCCCGCTAAATAAATGGAGAATGGACCGCAAGATTGGCTGGGGTCTTGTTATTCTTTGGTGTGTAAGTACGCTGGGTAACGTCATCACTGAGTTGGCTTTCTGAGAGACCTCCATCCATCCCCTTCCCCTATGCATACATACATACATACATACATATATAATAATGCATGGCATGGCATGAAATAAAGACATGCACTCGATACATAAAATGCATCCATCCATCATCCATGCGTGTCCTTTGTCTTATGACTCGTACGACTCTACCTACTACTTTGAGATACCTATCTATCTATGCTCGCTCATTGCCCTTTTTTTTGCAAAGCCCAGCTATGCTTTTCTTTTCTTTCTATTCTCCTTTGGTTTCTTTCTTTCTTTCTTTTTTCTATATCCTTGATAACGATAGAGTAAACCCAGTAACTATAGTGCTGTCAAGCAATAACTAGTTAGTTAGTTCTTGATTTTCTTGGCCTTACATTCTATTCCGTAGGGTTGTTGCATTCTTCTTCTTCTTCTTCTTCTTATTTTATCCATGTTATATGTTATGTTATATCATATGGTCTGTAGTGGATAGAAGCGGGGTAGTCAACACATACGCATATAAATATAGAGAGAGAGAGAGAGAGAGAGAGAGAGAGAAAGAAACTCCTAGTAGTTGTAAGATCTTTACTGAGTGTTCTTTCATAGTAAAAATAAACATAAAATGATAGTTAGTGATAATGGATAATACCTAGCAAACAAAATTAGCTAACCTCAACTATGCAATTGATATCCGGCGTTCCATCTGCTATTTTACATCTCTCATCCTCTCATTGTTTTATTTTTCTCATTTCTCGCCCACTAATTTGTTACCAGGAAGGTCATTCCCATGCGTAGTGATTCAACTTGAGCAGTGCCGTCGATTTAAAAGTACATATAGAGGACATAATACGTAGTATGTACGGACTAAAGAGACACTGGATTGAAATACTATGTATATCCAAGAATATAAGGAAAGGAAACGGAGCGAAAGGAAAGGAAAGGGAAGGAAAAAGAAAGGAAAAAGAAAAGAAAGGGAAGAAGGTTTAATGATCAAGAAAAAAGAAATAGAAAAAGAAAGAAACCCAACACCAGCCCTGCCTGCTCGAATACCCCCCCCCCGCCCTTATAGCACACGGCCCGCAGAGGAACTGCTGCTTCGATCATTTGTCTGAACCTTCCGGAGCCCCTTCCCTGCTTGGATTGAAGCTAGCAAAGCACCATGGTCACCGGTTCCCCTTGGCGCAGCGGTAGGAGGACCAGGTGGTGGTGGAGGGCCAGGGGGAGGAGGGGCAGGAGGTGCCATCGGCGGTGGTGGGGGTGGAGGAGCCCCAGGAGCAGAGTCAAGATTTGGGATAGAGGGTGCTGCTGCTGCTGGTGGCGGGGGAGGGGGAGGAGGAGGAGGAGGTGGTGGTGGTGGTGGAGGAGCAGCAGCACCAGGAACAGGTAGTGCTATTTGAGGAACTGGTGGGACAGGAGGGATGGCCGGGGTCTCCTGTATAGGTGTAGAGGATTTTGAAGGGGACTTGTCATCCATGGCGCTCAGGGGTCGCGGAGGCGCCATAGTACCGAAGAGGATGCTCGCAAGTTGTTTTGCGCTGCCGCCCCCTGCACGATCATCTTCGTCATCTGACGAGTCGGCATCAGATCCAGCTACGGACCAGTCATCATCATCCTCAGGACGGGCACGGGTCTTGCGCATGGTGGGGCCAGGAGCAGTGAACGCGGGTTTCGCAGGCTCTTGCGGTTGGGTGAAGCGGTGGAATGGGTTAGTAGATGGAGCATCTGCCTTAGGAGTGACAACAGCCGGAGCCGCTGGGACCTCTGGGGGAGAAGCAGGTGCATGATCCGTAGAATGGCTCAAAGTCCTAAAGTAAGGATTCTTGGACTCGGTTTCCGGGCTAAAACTAGCCGTCGGGGCAGCTCGGCTGCTTGCGGGGGAGCTGGGCTCGGCTGGAACAGGTGGAGCAGTAACTGAAGGCGACGGTTCAGGGAGGACTTGGCTCTGGGTAGGTGTGCTGTCCTGGGGAGTTGTGATATCTACAGGGCCTTCTTCATCGGAAGAGCTCTCATTCAAGCCTTCTAGTTCAAGCTGAAGCTGGCGTTCCCGCTCTCTAGCCGCGTCCAATTCCGCTCGTTGACGTGCAAGTTTTGCTTCCTGGTCCGCTGCAGCCCGCTTGGCTTCCTCTTTGCGGCGCTTCTCTTCCTGCTTCTTGATCTTTCCCTGTTTGACTTGCTCTTCCAGTGCATGGAGACGTGCCTGCTGTGCTTCTTGTTCCCTCTGGATTTCCTCTTCATGTTGTCTAGCCTCGAATCTAAAAAAAAAAAAAAAAAAAGAGGTCAGTAAAGCCGACTAGGCATGGGTTATACAAAAAGTGGCACATACTCTAGACGCTTGGTCTCTTGTTCCTGGGCCTGTTGTTCCTCCCTTAAAGCTTGCTCACGGGCAGCCTGCTCAGCCTTCGCTGTCTCATCCGCGGCTCTCTTCGCATCCGCTTGGCCAGTGCTGTCGGTTCGGCCCTTGCGCGATGGTGGTGCTGGGGGAGGTTTCTTGCCTGTTGGCTTGGTGGCCTGCGTTATGGGACCGTGCTGCTCTTCGGCAATGCGACGCTGTCTTTCCTGCTCCCTCTTCTGGTCTTCCTCCTCAGCTCGCTTCAAGCGCTCCTCACGTTCTTTCTTTTCTCGTTCTTGGCGCTGGAGGAGTGTTTCTGTGGCATCGCTCTGAGGTTTAAGACCGGCAGCTGCCATGCGCTCGGCGATTCGTCGCTGAGCGCGTTCCCTTGCAGCGGCAACACGGTCGTCATGCGTACCACCGGGAGTTGAACTAGTAGAGCCAACCGATTGTGGTGGAGAAGGCCGTACAGGAGCAGAGGCCTCGGTCTGTCGAGACCGTTGATCCAGACCGGATGAGGTTCTTGAGTCCCTGAAAAAAAAAAAAAAAAAGGGTTAGTTACTTCATCAGTATAAGTAAACCTTAAAAAAGGATATAAAGAAAGGGCAGGCCTACTCTTCCTTTCGGATATATGCAGTACGGCTATTGCGGTTCAAGTCGTAGATGAAATCACGAATCACATCTTCGACGCCCAGAGCGTCTTCCCAACGGCGCCGTTCATGCTCATGTGTAGAGCTCTCGCTTCCATCCTTGAGGCTGTCTTCCAGACTACGGGCAAATTCCTTCACACTTTCCTCCACATCACGTGTCATGTTATCGTTCTTCTCGCGCTCTGCCTTGACATTGGTGTTCTCGGCCTCAAACCGGCGAGTGGCAGCTCCCTCATCATCCGATGCAGGGACAGGTCTTCCAGCAAGTTCTGCGGCACGGGCTTGCATTCTCGCACGAGCACGCGCCTTGATTCGGTCAGCTTCGGTGACTGCGCCGCCCGGCCCAGTTCCAACTATGTTGAGTGCACTGTTAGGATGGGCTTTGGCATCTTTCATACGGAACAATTCGAGCTTGGCTTCGGCGATATCTTTTTCAACGCGACGGACGTCCGAAGCTACCTGCGGCACCTGATCCTCATAAGCCTGCAGCTGGCGGCGCAGAGTTCTCCGCTCGGCTCCCGTGTCAAGGTTACGGAGGGATGCATGTGGGTGAGTGTCAATATCATCCTGCACTCGTCGAATTCGATCCATGAGAGATTCTGCCTCTCGACGATCCCGTCGATCCAGAGCATCCTCTTCTTCAGCGCGATTCTCGTCCTGGAAATCAACTGCATCCAGCATGATTTGAGCTTCGTGGATCTTCTTCTTTAGTTGGTCAACCCCCAACTCCTCCTCGGATGCTTGGGAAGCAGCAGGCGAAGCACGGCCGTTGTTACCAACGCGACGGCGAGCACTAGAGCGGTATCCAGTGGCCGCTTCATCGTTATTCTTGAAGAGGGTAGCATCCTTACGGCCAACCCCAGGGGACACAGCGCCACCTCGGAAAGAGTGTTCCTTTAGGTAACTCACACCCGTCTTTTGCGGCTGCAAGAATGCGCCGGTAGCTTTTCGTGTTTCGGCATCCTGGGAGAGCATAGACTTGATGGTTCCAATCGAGTCATTCAGGTTCCTGGTCGATGGGGGGATAAGCTCTGGTGGCAGACGATTGGGAACGGGGTAGCCATTGAGTTTTCTGTAAATCAAGTGCATAGCCACAGCAAACTCATCCATGTTGAGACGGCCCCGGTTATGGGGATCCGCAAGGGTCCAGACAGCCTCGAGGTCCTTTCTATCGAGACCACTCTGCCCCATGATTTCGATGGCAGTATCACCGCCAATGAAACCCTTGTGGAGGCCATCCCACGCGCGGAAGAGATCATCATAGATCTTTTTCTCCTCCTTGGTAATAGCCCAAGGAATAGAAGCGTTGCCAGACAAGCCGACAGTAGAGAATCCGCCCTCTCGTCCAGGCTGAGGCATCAATTGCTGCTTCAGAGCCTCGATGTTAGGCAACCCTGACGACGGCGCATTGACGAACCCCCACTGACCAGGGATTCCAGTAGGTTGGGCGACTAGTCCCCCGGTCTGCGCAGGGCTGATGAGATTTGACGCGAATCCGGTTGGCATGGGTGGGAGTGGAGGGCGAGGGCCGGAATAGCCGGTGGGCTGAGGGTTGTTCAGGAACCCCATCTGGGGGCCCTGGAGATGCTGCTGCGGAGCCTGTCCCGGAAATCCGGTCGCCTGCGGTACTAGGCCCTGGCTTTGACCGGCGAACCCAGGCTGTAGGAACCCGGTGGGCTGTGCCGTGAGCTGCGTGAGGAGTTGTGCATTGCTTGGCTGTTGTGGCTGCGGCTGCTGGGGTGCGGGAGGTGCCGATTTATTCTCGAGCAGAGGGGCATCGAAGCTGGGAATGTTGGTTCTGGCGACCGGCTCCGGTCGCGTATCAGGAACCTGGAAAGAGATAATGTCCACCATGCTGGAGACTTCATTCACGACCTTTTCGGGCAGAGTGCTAGGTAGGTCCCTACCGGTGATTCGGATATTGCACAGGTACATAGCTAAAGCAAACTCGGGGAAAAGCAACTGCCCAGACTTCGTAGTATCCGACAACACCCTATATTGCGGTCAGTTCCACGTCCCGCGTCGATCAAGACACATCAATCCACTCACCAGATCTTCGACAGGTCGCTCCCCGAAAGCTTCGAGCGCAAAAGAAGCTCTTTAGCCTTTTCGCCTATAGAAACCATGTCAGAACCCCAGAATCAATCCCCAAGGGTGTTGTTCATTCGACTAACCCGTCATGGCCTGGCTATCCCCAACAGCAGATTTGAAGAGCTGCTCGAACTTGGCCTGATCCTGCGCCGTAATGAAAGAAAGCCGGATATTCGGAATCTTGTTCCCCGTCGACTTGGGTGGTGGCAGAGGAGCGGCGCCAGAGGCACTTTGGAAGGAGTCCGCGATTTGGGAGGAAGTCTGCGGTGCCGTTTGAAGAGGAAGCCCTGTGGCCGTCGGAAGTTGGATCTGCGGAGGAGACTGGACTTGGCCCTGAGACGCGAACCCGGCATACTGAGGCTGCGGAGCTTGGGGTGGGAACCCGGTTTGCTGTAGCTGTAGCTGCTGCGGTGCTGGGGCTGGTGCTCCGGGGAAACCGGTAAACTGAGGTGGAAGCTGTCCTCCGGGGAATCCTGTTGCTTGTGGTTGTAGTTGAGCGCCTCCAAAAGCGGACAATTGGGGAGCGTAGCCGGTAGGCTGGGGAGCGAGCCCTGTCTGTTGGTGCTGCGGCTGTTGCTGAGCTGGGAATTGCGAATATTGGGGTTGCTGTTGCATGTAAGGTTGCTGTCCGGGGCGGGCGCTGTTGGCGCTGCCCAGGAAGGAATTGGACGAGGAATACATTAGTTGAACAAGAAAGGCATCAAAATTGAACCCAAAAGCATAAAAGAAAAGAAAAAGAGAGAACCCAAAAGATTGGGAGAGGAATGAAAGAATAGATTAAGAAGAGAGAGAGAGAGAGAGAGAGAGAGAGAGAGGGAGGGGAGTTTAACAGGCAACGACGACGGCTCAGGAGCTTTCGTGACGCCGCCCAGCGAGACCGAGAGTGGAATCAGGGACAGGCACTGGCGCTAACCAGAATAGGAGGCTGAGTCAGCGCCATCATTCCCATACAGAAACTAACTAACTACTGCGAACTGAACTGGTAGGTATTGCAAGGATGAAATGAGTATCACTACTAGTTTACTATCTACGAGAAGACTACATCCCATGTGAACAAGAATCTTGTCATTAAAATCATGCCGGGTGCTCAATCATGTCATGGTGACATACATACATGCAGATGATGATGGTCGTGGAGGTCTAGCTCCTTGGATTACAAGAGGGGATAGGGAAAGGAACAAGAACAAGATCGGAAGAAACGCATGACCAGCTGCGTAGATCTAAATGAAAGTCACCTGCACCATACACCCAGCTAACAGAAGGCTGTTACATGAATACCGGCTAAATGCCATCGGTAGCGCCGTTCTGCTGCTGCTGAGTGGCCCCAACCATCTTGCGCAGCTCGTATTCCTTGGTGAATTCGCGAGAGAGGATACCCAGATCGCGGACAAGTTCGTGGCAGGCAGTAATGACAGCTTGTTTGGGGGTGATGTCACCATTGGTTTGGACACGGAGTTCAAACTTGGGAACGAGTGGGTGGGGGACCTAACACTGTTAGCTACCATGTTCAACCGAAGGGACGTCAACCAAACCTTGTAGGCAGCGAAGAGAACGTTAGAGCTCTGTAGAAGGCGAGAACGGATCAGGTTTCCCAGCGTGTGATCCTCCTTGTTGAAAGTGAATATAGCTGAGGAAGGAATACCTAAGAGGTGTCCACAGTTAATATTCATCTACATCGACGGAAAATGAAGAAGAAGATGAAGAAGAACGTACGAGTATCGATTTCCATTTCAACTTTATTCTCGCCATTCCCAAGAACGAACGACTCATATCTGAATTGCAGTGAGGTTAGCCGATGTCCCACGCAAGGATATAAATCATCAAAAAAAGGAAGAAAAGAAAAGAAAAGAAATATAATGCGCAGACCTAGGCTGCTCATCATTGGTAATATTGACAGAAGAAGAGGAATTCTTGTGGACATAAGGATTAGAGCTTATCCAACGGGCGTAGACCGTTTCCATGGGAAAGATATGCTCTTTATGTTCTTTATCCGACTGCATTGTGTCTGGAGCTCGAATCGAGCGGTAAAACTTGATACGAGACGAGGAAGTGAAAGATGAACAAAAGCAATGGGATTGGCTGAAGATGAAGACGAAGAAACAGAAAAACAGAGGGACGCAAAAATCAAGAGGTAAATAAAAGAGCAGAGGCGCTCTCTGTGGATTTCCCCCTCTTCCCCTCTCCCTCCTTCTCATATGGAAGGAGGGAAACGCCAATTCCACATGACAAGCGACAATTCGCGCAAAAAAAACCCCCAACGGTTCAAGGGAAGGTACAGCAAATATCTAAAGGTAGCCTTACCTGTCTGGAGCGTTCATATTGACTTGTAGATTTGGCCCACCGGGGTAGGGTCAATTTTATGTAAGATATCCAAGAAGCCCAAGCAGGGCAAGCAGGGCAAGACAACTGAATATCAAGAACGGGTTGGAGATATCCAAAAACGAGCGATGCCTTCACACCGTACACCGTTGGACCGGGTTCGATGGTGTAAAATAGTCCAAGGCAACAGTTGCTGGTAGACAATAGACCCAGAAATCAAAGGCTCCTTGGGCAGATCGAGTATGATTTAACTGTTGGTCCCAATAGAGATCAACGAGAGGAGAGAGTAGATGATGCTGTGATATAATTGGTACACAAGTCTCCTTATTTGGGTTCAATCAGTGGGTCAGAAAGGTTCTGTACAAAGTGATAAAAAAGCTAACACACCCACCCCAATAATGAAGATAGAAAGATAGAGTGAAAGACAATAATAAAGAAAGAAAGAGAGAGAGAGAGAGAGAGAGAGAGATCTGGAGGCATCTTCTGTCACTGCAGTCCCGTGACTCCATTCACGTGATGTGCACGGACTAACGGCTTCGGGAAAGTGGAGAAAGGGATGCCTTAGTATAAATCTATATACGGAGGGTGTAGAGTAGTTATAACGACACCCTAACCTCTCTACAGCTATAATCCCTCCTGAAGTCATCCCCAGAATACTCGGTTCTGAAACGACTTCCATACCTGAATGGGGATCCTTCCGATCAGTGTAGGATTCCTAACTGGGGCGCAGATATGGAGCAATCTCTAGTGGCGTTAGAAACCTACAAGCCCTGCGCAGCTTGGTTCCTGGGCCCATAGAATCAACCGTAGGGATCTTATCATTTGGGGTGCAGGATGATTAAGAAGAGCTATGTGGATGCAGTTCAAGGGGGTAAATGATGAGGAGGAGCTGAAGAAAGGTGGTGATAATAATAGTTGATTAACTACTGTACTTATGCTGGTATTGGCGTCGGACAGTCAGAGACATACTCCCGGCCGCCCATATTATAGCAAATGTCATCCAGAAAGCAAAGGACTGACTACTGCGGATCAACGTCTTAAGATGGATAATTGTATTGTCTAGAGAAGCGTACCTAGCTAGCCCTTGAAGATCCCCAACGCCTGGTTTGTTGTATATTATGCATGACCTTCATCGGCTATCTACTGAGTACAAGATAAGTATCACCGCTGATTGCTTAAATACAGAAAAATTAACAGCCATTATTATAAAAAAATGAGACAATAAATAGAAATATTGTTTGTACCATCGAAAGTGCCAGGCATAACTCCATGTCTGTCCAAGGATAAAAAAAAAAAAGGATGCAAAGGGAAACACAGAGAGGGGAAAAACAAAAAAAAAATAAAAAAAATAAAAAACAAAACAAAAACAACCCACATTCATAATGTGATTCCGAACTCTTCATGCTGGCTTGCCATATTAACGTTTTAGTGAGGAGCAGATCATGTCCAAGAAATATCGGGAAATCTTGAAATACAGATCTAGTCGTTTGGTATGTATGCATCGGGCCCCGACCCAAGGTCCTGTCGCACAGGGTTGACATATATTATAAACAGGGTATGCGTAAAACACGCAAAAAGAAATGTTAGAAGGTGCCTACTCCCGTAGGCGTGGGGTTTAATGTACCGCATTCAGTAAATCTCCGAAGCTCGAGGACTCCTTCTTGATTTTCCAGTTGTTTCGCTTCTTCTCTCGTTTCTTCATCATTTCAGCCCAACCTTCATCATCGTCCTCATCCTCGGCCTCCACATGGTGATCTAATTTGGAATGCGATCTGTTGTGGCTTGAGACCGGGCGTACAACCGGCTTTGCTAGATTGGAGCTCGTGGATGGGCTCAGCATGGAAGTTCGTCGGTTTTCGTCGTTCCAGGGCTTGGACAGAGCAGGATACGAAGCAGTTTCAGCCTCTACCGGCACCGTGGAGACGGGCCTGTATCGAGGAGCCAATCCGACGTTGCTCCGCTCTGATGGGGCGATCGACGGAGCATAGCCAGCCCCGCCAGGAGTGCCCGGTCGATTTCCTCCAGGAATGAATGGCATCGAAGGACTATTCAGCCTAGACGACATATTGGGGTCGAGCATGCTCAGGGTCCTCTGGTTACCTGCAAAGCTCGGGGGGCCGTTGGTAAATGGCCCAGGGGCTGACGGCATTGAGGACGGTCTCGAGTTGGTGTTGGCAACGAATCCAGGCGGCATGTTTCCAGGTGGTGGCATGAACTGCTGAGGGGGAACCTGCCCACCCTGTATTTGGATCATTTGCTGCATCCATTGCATCTGCATCTGCATCATGCTTGTCATTTGGTGTGACAGCTGGATCTGGGCCTGCTCCGTGGCGGAAACTGGTGGTGGAGCACCTAAGCCGTTGGCAGAATTCAGGTTGAGCATTGTGTAGGGTCGAGGAATACTTCCAGCGTGCCCTCCTGCTCCACCTAGCATTCCCGGTGAGAACTCATGCATGGCTTGAGTGTTGGGGCTACCCCGTCTCATAGCTCTTGCGCGCTCCTCGGTAGCGATCACCCCGACCAAACCTCCCGGGGGTAATGCAGGCGACGGGCTTCCGGTGGCCGTAGGTCCACCATAGACGGAACCTGCTCCTCCTCCTCCTAGGGCCAGGGACTCCCTATTCGAAGGGTTCACGAGGCTTGCACCAAAGTAGGGATCCCGCGGTAAATTCCGAGCGAAAACCGGGAGGCTATTACGATTGCCGACATCTTCTGCCGAGCCGGGGGCACCAACGTACGGCTGGTGAAATGACGCACGAAGGTTTTGCATAGAGTTCGAGGAAACTAAGCGGCTTGGCGGGCGGTTTCGGTTAGGGAATCCGTGGGCAGCTAATATGCCGAGGGGAATCTCGTCGTCATCATCACCCTCGCTGCTTTTCCCGCTTCCAGACCGGTGACCGGGTTGTAACGAGGGGGCCACCAGATTTGGCGTGCTGCTGGCCCTGTCTATCTCAGGGCGCAGAGATGGTGAGGGGGATTGCTGTCCGGTTACCTTCATCATCTGTTGACGATATACAGACAGATGAGCTTCTTGCTTCCGTCGCTGTCTCTCGGCCTCGCGGTTTTTCTCAGCTTCATCCTCCTCGTCGAAGTCGCTTTCGGCCGAATCTTCACTTTCGGACGCATCGCTGTTCGCCCTTTTCAACTCCTGCTGCTGTCGATAGTGCTCGAATTGGGATGGTGTCATGACCTTGTTCGAGGAAGAAGGCGGAATGGGTTTGCTTTCGTACTGCGCAGCCAGCCGTGCGTGATCAGCAATCGAAGCGTCAATATGATCGTCCGCTGGTTCTGGGGTTGACTGTGCGAGGGATTCCTGCGGTTGCGGTACCCCTTTTACCGTAGTTCCGTTACCAAAGAGAGGAACATCATCCGAATCCTGAGGGGAGGACGAGAACGGGAGTTGTGAAGTTCTCTTGCTGGAATAAAGAGACTCCATGACCAATTTCGCATCTTCATCCTCAACGGCCACGGTGTCTCGCTTCGTGGAGAACATGACGCTTCTCCTCAGACCCTTGTCCACCGCCATTTTGGGCTTCTCCAGAGAGCGATGGGACGTGGTGGTGGCAGGCACAGGGTTGGAGAGTGGCAACGATTTTCTTCGGTTACCAAGAGGGACAGGGATCGAATTAGCAGGGGTTGGTTGAAACGCAGGGCTGTCTTCCTGCGGTGAATCCACCGCGTTCAAAAGGCCCTCTTCCGAATGTCGGCTACTCCACGAGTATGGGGAAGGTTCAATTTCCCTGGATCGGTCGGTGCTGATCGGCGCAGGACGTGACGCTTTTTCTTCCTTCCTAAAAGGACTTCCCAAGGTATTTGGAACCGAAGCAAAACGCTAAGTAAACAATCAGCCTTTTTTTTTAGTTCAACCACAGGGTTAAATAGGGCAGCACGTACACACGGCTCGGACGACTGCTGGGCCCCGCGTTTGCCGATGTCATCGAACATGTTGCCAAAGTCGTCGTCGATTCGACCTATTTTTATTTCAGAATCTAAGATTTGTGGTGGAGTGGCCGTGCTCGTCGTGCTGGATGTCAAAGCCCGATGCCGAGCCGGATCCGGAGAGGAAGGTTGTGGGGGAGCGGGAGCCGTGGCTGCTTTCGAAAACCGCCCACCAAACGAGAAAGTTCGACCCGCTGCACGCAGAGCACCCGAGAAGGGCGGAAGAGGTATATCGTGGAGATTTCTGGAATGAGGGGATTGAGAGTCGAATTGGGTCGGCCCGTCGGTCGAGCGTCGGGCTGAAGAGCTGAACCGACCGTTCGGCGGTGGAGTTTCGTATGCACCTCCGATACTGTTGATGAGTTAGTTGCGATTTCCCTTTTATATTTATATAAGAAGGGTTGGGAGCAAAACAAAATCACGAGAAGTTCATACAGGTTTCTGACAGGAGGGCCGCCCGACGCAGCAAAAATATTGTCGTCGTCAGGAGGAGAGTGAGATTGGGGACCTTCCCCTAGCTTCTGGGATGCCAAGTTACCATCACTAAAGGATTTCCTTTCCACGGAAGGGCGTTCAAAGACGCGAAAGGATGGCTGAGGCGGGTTTTCAGATTCCTCGAGGGCATTTCCAGACGACTTTCGTCGGGCGAAGCCTTTGGGGAGCTTGATCGGCATCGGTGCAAGACGCAGCCGGCCACTAGCTAGGTCGGGGCCGCTTCCAAAAAAAGAAAGAGAAAGAGAAAGAAGAAAAAAAGGACGCTCTCGCAGCTCCTTGTGCCTACAATTAGCCCAGGGCCGGTGGATGGCCGCTACCAGTTTCGCATAAACAATATTGTGGATGACAACAGCCTGTGAGTGTGTTGTTGGGGCGATTCTGGGCGTTTGGCGAGACACGGGAATCCGATCGCGGTGGGGCTTGTGACGAGAGGAGAAGGCCGAGGAATGGAGCGAAAATCTCGAAGGGGAAATCAGCAGTTCGGAGAGAGCGAGGATCTGAAGACGGATTTGGTCAATAAGGGGAAGAAAGCAGAATGTGGTGTGGAATAATAATTGTTATGGTGATGGGCATCACAGGAATTCGAATCGACCAGGTGGTCAGAGAGTCGATAGTAGCCGGGGAGAGAGGGATCTTCACATACCAGCGGGGCTTTTTCAAAATTAATTATTAGATATCTTCAGTTCTGGATGAAGTCCAGCCAGGTTCTAAAAAAAAAAAAAGAAAGAAAGAAAGAAAGAAAGAACAGAGAAGAGAAGAGAAGAGAATAGGTAGGAGGGAGAGGAAGAAGAGAAAAGAGAGAGCGAGAGAGCGCGAGGTGGAGGCGAAAGAAGCAGGGGAAAAAAAAAAAAATAGAAAGCGGAGGACAACGCAGGGAACAGAGAAATAATGATAAAACACTAGACTACTAATAATCATAAATATATAGACTACATAGAGAGGAGAAGAAGAAGAAGAAGAGAAAGAGAAAGAGAAAGAAACCGAAGCAGAGAGAGAGAGACCCTGGAATTGGAGGAGGTGGAGCTGTTGGGGCTTCAGTAGTCCCAAATATAGATGCCACTATTTGCACTATTAATCGTAAATCAAATAACCTGTCAGGTTCCTGAAAGTGAAGAGATCCCGTCCTATGGTAGGTAGTAGTAGGTACAGATTCCGATTCCGATTCCAGGGATCCGGGGATTACAGGAACGAATGCTGACCTTAGACCTGGTATTTAGAATATTTCGTACACTCCGAAAAATCCAAATCAAATCATATGTTCACGCTGAATACTTACTCTACCTAGGTATATGTACCAGTAGGTACTACTAGTACCTAAGCTAAGGGCCTCATGTGGGAAACTCCTGTTCTTATTGGATCCAGAGGTTCCTCATTCCTTACCCTAGGGTATACTACTACTACTAGTAGTACCTTAGGTAGGAGGATTGTGTCCGATCAATCCAGATTATACTGAGGTATGTGCATAAGACGACCTTCACTATCTGGACTCTGTACTGTATATATCGGTGATATACTAAATCAATGATATAGTAATACCATTTCCCTGTCAGGGGTTACGAGCACTTTTACGATTCCTTTAACTATTAATATTAGGGTCGATGGATGCTAGTATAACTATAGCCCAACCTGCATCAGAGCATCAGGCACATACGGGTACGTGCATTCTCCACGTGTAATTTCTTGGAGATTGGATTTGGATTTGGATTTGGATTTGGATTTGGATTTGGATTTGGATTTGGATTTGCCCCCAGACTCGAAAAAGGAACCAGGTTGTCTTCAAAACTCACGTTCAACCACAATAAGCTCCTGCACTCGTAACCCCCCAATCAAGGCCACTCCACGCGGAACCCGCGCGTCTCGTACATTAAAACACGCAAATGCAACCAACTTCTGCATAGCTGGGCAGCACTGGAAGATACGACCCACCAGGTAATCGTCCAGGACTGTGTGGAAAGACACATCCAGCTCCTTCAAGTGGGGGTAGCTCTTGCCCTCGGAAAACACTGCGTCGAAGGCGGCATAGGAGATATGGCGACAGGAAGCAATGTTCAACTTTTGCATCAGGGAGCCCGAATGCTGCATGAGGGCAGTAAACCCATGGGATGCAAGACCAGTTGCATCAGTGGGACCGTCTGGACTTGAATTGTCCACGTCCCGTGTCGAGGATAGGTCGACAAACTCTAGTGGAGGGTTCGACCAGTTTTCGAAAAGCTTGACGAATCCCTGGTCGGTACAAACCGAGTTATTCGAAAACCTCAGCTTCGACAAAGCCTGGCATTTGTCATGAATAGTCTCGAGCAAGCCATCATCGGATTTTGGAAATCCATCCAAGGACAGGGTGCGAAGGTTCGGGCCGGCTTTGGAAACCAGCTCCCGAAGGTGCTCAGGGTTCGTATTTTGGACAAACTTCAAAGACACGTGCTCCAATAATGGCAAGTTCGCGATAGCCTCCAGCGAGCTATCGGATATCTTCCAGCAATGATCAAGTTTGACGCGCCGCAACCCCGTGCAGAATTTGCACAATGTCTGCACGGTCTCATCGTCGAGGGAAAAGTCCAGGTTTGATAATTTCAACGTTTCAAGCTGGCCGCCGAATTTCTCAAACAGCCGTCGCCAGCTCGAATCGGAGACCAGGTTGGCCGCGTCGAGTTGCAAATGTTTAATCTTAAGATCTCGGTCCAACATATACTCCACCACCCTATCCTTCAATTGTCCAGCAAAGCGGAGATTGACATGAGTCAGAGCTGGCATGAATGTAAAGATCTTTTGAAAGTCATCCGTCTCGAGTTCTAGGACAAGTTAGCCTTGGAAGCAATAGAAGAACCATATATTCAACACCAGACATACTAGCAGAGTCATAAATATCAATAAAGCCCAAATCCGGTCGAAGAAACAGATTTAGGGTCCGTGGTGTCATAACTCGCCTCTTCGATAAAATCTGGCTAAGACGGCGTAGCAACTGCCAGGGCAAGTCCCCGAATTCTTCAATGTCATTGATATTATCGGCAACTTTCTACCACCAAGTCAGTACATGAATGATAATCCTGGGGGGGGATGCACACACCTTAGTGCACATCTCTGCCAAACTCAGAGCGCCGTATTGGGAAATTCCATCGAGAAGATCACTTTGATTCTGGCGCCGGCCGGTTCTTGGCCCGCGTTTCTTGGGCTGCGCCTTCTTCTGCTTGTCGGTGAGCTCCTTGGAGCATTTTGCGCAGAGGAGGCCTCCGTTTGGTCCTGTTTTGCTGTACGGAGTCACTGTGAAACGCTTACTGCAGGCCTCGCAGTTTTCAAGTTGGCCAGGCATCGGCCGGGAACGCTCATACATCATCTCCCTTGCGATGAAGTCGTCATCGTCATCGGGCTCCCCTGTTCGGCGACCTTTACGGCGGGCGAACTCCTTGCTCTGCTTGATTTTCGCAAGGGCAGCGGTCTCCTTTCGCTTGCGTTTCTTCTTTTGCTCTGGAGTTTCTCCGGAATTGTCCTCGTATTCTTCATCGTCCGCAGCATTTTCCAGGGGCTCTTCTTCAGCGCGGGGTTCCGCCTCTCTTAACCTCCGTTGGTAATCATCATGGATTTGGGCTGCGGAGATGTTGTTGGACTAAAACGAAGGAAACATTTAATCAGTGAATAAATAGGAAAGATACCATCTGTAACTCACCGCCAGAAAGTCCGTAAGGGCGGAGTGTCTGCAAATTCATCAGTTATCTCTTTCACATGTGGTTGGGAAGACGACATACGGGCCCCTAATCTGGTTCCTGGTTTGCCTTCGATTCGCCCTACACGCGGTTAATTAAAGACTTGAGAAATTCAAAAATCCATCTACTTACATGGTATTAAGTGAACCACTTTTTGATGATTTAGGTAATCTCAAGATGAGTTGTTGGAGGTATCGCCCAAGCAACAAGGCCGAGTCATTCAAGTCACAGGACTCGTGATGCTTTCGCGTTCCACTTAACGCGAGGATCGAGTGGCTTGCTTGAGTTCGTGTTCTGAACGACGCACAACTCAACTCCCTCAACTCACAAAGCTGAAGCAGGCAGAATTAAAACAGGGTTTCGACGAATCACTTCCTGGTGGCTAATTCACATTCCTTGGCGGTAGCAACAAGGCAACCATTCCGTGGAAGAGTTTATCCTTATTCCAGACTTTGGTGCCTGCTCGCTCTCTGATTATTAACCGTATCAACTCAATGCCGGCGTCGAGCCCGGAAGAGGCGCTTTTTTTCCACCAAAACATTCATCACATTAGACCGTTCGCTTGCATGAAAAGCGTTAGGCTCAGTTTATAGCAGCATTCACGCTACAGATTCTGAGAGGGACTTGAGGGACTTGACAAGATGGGAAGAAAGTCGTCGGCTGGGCCTACCTCCTCTACGGGTGAGATACAACATTGTCATTCCTTTTCTTTCCCTAGCCCTTTCCGGGTTTAGTACAATAATTCTTGACATAATCGCTAATTGCATAAGAAGCAGCTCTAGATAATTCTTCTTCCCTCCCTAGACGTACTTCCTTGAGATTGGCCCAAACAGCTACCGCAACCAGGGGCAAACCGGATAATCAGTCAGAGGCGGCAGATAGCGAGGAGGAGCCCCCATTTTTGAGGACTACCAGGTCGCGGAGGAGTAGCAGGCTTCCAGTCCTTGAGGTTGCCATTCCATTCAAGAAACCTGCGCCTTATAATTCATCTTCTTCGTCTGTGGCGGCTGATGATACCTCAAGAGACGGAACGCTTGAATACAATACCCCGGCCACCAGCGTCGTCAATACCCCCGCCGAATCAGATGTTGGACAACCAAAGAAGAGAGTGAGCGCTTCTGCTCGAGCTCGGGAATTGCGTTCGAGTATGATGTCTCTGGGTACTCAAAAGGGGGTGAAGAGGCCTGCAGATGTAGTAATGGATGATGATTATTCTACACCTGAAAGCGCAGATGCAGCTCTAGCCCGCAGCCTTCAACTCGAAGAATATCAGGGCCTAAACACAAAGCGTCAGAAATTGACCGGAGATTTCGCCTTGGAAATTGGAAACTCTACAGATGATAGCGTTTTATCGGAACTCGATGATAATGAATACCTGGAACCGCAAGCACCTCCTCAGCGCAGCGGCAGGAATTCTCGCAGATTGACGGGGCGCTCTGTAATCCCGGATAGTGAAGACTTCATCGACTCTGAATTTGAGAAAGAAGAAGAACTATATCAGAGTGACGCCGAGTCAAGTGATTCGCCGTCTTCTTTAAGCGAAGAGGAACCCCTCATAGCGCAGAGAGCCGCACGTACCAGCAACACCAGCAATGCCAGAACCAATAATGCCAGAAACAACAGCTCCAGAACCACAGATATCAGACAAAATCGAGCTCAAGCCCGAAGGCAAGCAAGAGCCACTCTCGCCGCTCAACTCGCTTCGGGGATGAGTCGTCGTGTAGGTCTCTCAAACATTAGATTCATAACTGTGTCACTAATTTTTAGTTAGGCTATAAAAGAACGAAAGAAGTTGGAAACGCAGCATCCTTGCATTCTTTCAATGTGGGACGAATTGAGAAACAACCCTCCTATTACTCCCATACAGGCACAGCAGCCTGCGAGTATCTCCAGAACACTCAAGTCATTCCAGCTGGAGGGTCTAAATTGGATGATGCAGCAAGAAAAGTCTCAGTACAAGGGAGGCCTTCTTGGTGACGAGATGGGCATGGGCAAGACAATTCAGGCTGTGTCTTTGCTTATGTCTGATTATCCAGTCGGAAAACCATCCCTGGTGGTAGTTCCACCGGTTGCTTTGATGCAGTGGCAATCCGAGATCGGGGTTAGTGGTCTCTATCTATATAATGACGGTCTTTCCTAATTTGGCTACTGCAGGAATATACAAATGGACAACTCAAAGTTCTCGTCTATCATAACTCGAATTCGAAAGTCAAAACGCTTCGAAAAAAGGATCTCGAGAAGTACGATGTGATCATGATATCCTGTATGAAATATCAACTTGTGACTGTTTTGCGCTTGCTAATAGGCATTTAGACTCGGGCCTTGAGTCCATTCATCGAAAGGAATGGAAGGGGTGGAACCGCAATGATGGGATTGTGAAGGAAGACAGTAAGTAACTATGCTGTCAACATCAAGTCCATTCTTTGACATTTCCAGGTGTCATTCATTCAATTCATTACCACCGACTCATCCTAGACGAAGCTCATAGCATCAAGGTACTATGGATTTACCAACCCTGTCTAAGTGACAATAGCTGACGTTATTAGCAACGTACCACAAGTGTTGCCCGTGCCTGCTTTGCGCTTCAATCCAACTACAAATGGTGCCTCTCAGGTACTCCGGTTCAGAATCGAATCGGTGAATTCTTCTCTCTGCTACGGTTCCTGGAAGTCCGACCTTTTGCGTGCTATTTCTGTAAGCAGTGCAAGTGTCAGCAACTCCACTGGTCACAAGATGCGCAGAAGCGATGCACCGAGTGCCGACACAGTGGATTCAGTCATGTATCAATCTTCAACCAGGAGATTCTGAATCCGATCACTGAAAGAGATAATCCGGATGCGCGCAAGGGAGCCCTGGCAAAATTACGTCTTATCACAGATAGAATCATGCTGAGGCGAGTCAAGCGGGACCATACAGCTTCCATGGAGCTGCCACCAAAGCGGTCAGTGCTTTATTCTCACTTTGCTTCAAATAACCCCTGTTAATTTTACTCAGTGTGATTCTACATAATGAATTCTTCGGCGAGATTGAACGTGATTTCTCCAGGAGTATCATGACCAACTCTTCCAGGCAGTTTGATACTTATGTGAGCCGTGGTGTCATGTTGAACAATTACGCTAATATTTTCGGCCTAATCATGCAAATGCGGCAAGTTGCAAACCATCCGGATCTGATTCTGAAAAAGCATGCGCAAGGTGAGCAGAATGTCCTTGTCTGCTGTATTTGCGACGAGCCCGCGGAAGAGGCAATCAGATCTCGCTGCCGCCATGACTTTTGCCGTCGTTGTGTCAAGGATTATATTCGCTCATTTGAGATGGAATCCGTGGTTGATTGCCCTCGTTGCCACATTCCCCTCTCCATTGACTTGGAGCAGCCGGATATGGAACAGCACGAAGAACACATTAAAAAGAATTCAATCGTCAATCGGATTCGAATGGAGGACTGGACATCTTCCACGAAAATCGAGATGCTTGTCTACGAGCTTTACAAGCTGCGAAGCAAGAAGCAGACTCTCAAATCGATTGTTTTCTCCCAGTTTACCTCCATGCTTCAGCTGGTCGAATGGCGTCTCCGTCGAGCCGGTTTCAACACGGTCATGCTTGACGGAACCATGACACCCGCGCAACGGCAAAAGTCGATTGACTACTTCATGAACAATGTGAACGTTGAGGTTTTCCTTGTCTCCCTCAAAGCAGGCGGAGTGGCCCTGAATCTTACTGAGGCCTCACGGGTTTTCATCGTGGATCCGTAAGTTTTACCTACTCATTTCCAAAAAAAAAAACAATTGCCGGTCTATTTCCTCATACTAAAGCTTTCTCTTTCAACTAGTTGGTGGAATCCTGCGGCTGAATGGCAGAGTGCAGATCGATGCCACCGAATCGGACAACGGCGTCCGTGTGTGATCACACGGCTGTGTATCGAAGATTCCGTGGAGTCTCGCATTGTTCTGCTTCAGGAAAAGAAAGCGAACATGATCAACGGCACGATCAACAAGGACCAAGGAGAGGCACTAGAGAAGCTTACCCCCGAGGATATGCAGTTCTTGTTCCGGGGATCTTAATAATCTCGCTAATCTGTAGTTAGCTTCTTTGGCCCAGATTATGGAAACCCATGTCTCAGGCTGGAATTGAGTCTTGGTACATAGTCTTTGTCGTTGCTTTTGTTTTGTGACAAACCATACTGGGTATGTTTCGCAATAGGGATAACAGTGTGGGAGGCTGAGGAAGGAGTCTGTGAATAATTCATCCAAATCAAGAAAAACTACTGCCTATACTACTAGTACTATATTATGATGTCATCAGCAATAATGTCAAGATATTAAGTACACCACGTTATGCCAATCGAAGAAATTAATCAGACAACCCGATGTTTTCGCTTGGGCAGGATTGGCAAAAAAGCCTTTGGCCTGGCTAAGAGTTAATTAAGGCTGGCTGGGTGGAACGTTTTCGCTTCGAAATCAAGTTACACACGACTTCCAAGTTCCCGTCAACCCAAAAAGGGGTGCAAATCTCGAGGGAGCACGGAGTCTGCGTGAAGCTTTTCCCTAACTCCCTGCACTCCTTGAATTTTATTTTCATTCTTATAGAATTTCCCTTTGGGGCGACAGGTTCTCAAGTTGCTCTTCTTGCCCAACTAAACCCACTTGGTCCTGTGGCTGGGCCTGTTAACAACAGCAGGCAACCACATAAACGCGCTGAACCCCCCCCCCCCCCCCCCTCCTTCTCGCTCCCCTCCGCCCAGTGATGAGAGAAACACAGTCGCAAGGTCGCCCACAGCATTTATTCGATAGTGATGGGCCTAAGCTCGTCAGTAGGGCGGATCAGGTTCAGCAACAGGCTGTCGCGATGAAGTCTGGCTCCAAAAACGAGCCGCTCGAGCCGGCCGGGGGCTTTGATAGCACGCCTTTCCGCCCTCAGCCTCCCGGCTATACCCTTAAGTTTAGCTTTCATCGCGGGGTCAACCTCCCCTGCGGTGATTTTGGTACCTTCTCGTCGGATCCATATGTGCATGCCATACTGAACGTGGACGTTCCTCAGCGCCACAAGCAGGACCCATTCCTTACTTTCAGGACCCCGACAATACGCAAAAACAGAGACCCTGTATGGGAGAGTGAGTGGATTGTCGCGAATGTTCCTGCGTCGGGGTTTCGGCTGAAATGCCGCATCTTTGATGAGGATGCGGCAGACCATGACGACAAACTCGGGAATGTTTATGTTCAGGTCGACTCGATTAACAGCCAGTGGACTGGGTTTCGGGAGCAGACATTCAAATTGAAGAAGCGCACTAGCAGTAAGCGTGTTTATCTATTCGGGAACATCGCCTCCATTGCTTCGCGACGCTTCGATACCAGCGCGCATGTGGTTATTAGTGTGGAGTGTCTAGGGAGAACCCCCGGTGATAATGGAGCGCAAGTGTATACGGTGGGACCAAATTATTGGTTCAAGCATTTCTCGCCGCTCATTGGGAGATTAGTAGGGACGAAGGACGAGGTCCAAACCCAGGACGGGAAAAAGACGATCAGCCGCTACAAGTATGTGTGCCGTTGCCCCCCGGTTTCAGTTGTTCTTTGAACGCGATTTGAACTGACCCTGGTTCTTTTCCTCCAGCTTCCAGGCAATTCAGATACAGCTGAAAGGCCCTGTTCCTGCAGAGCTATATCACCGATATGTGGAGTTTAAGCCTTTTATTGCTGGAATGTTCACTTCCCACACTCTGCGGGGCCGTATACTCAACCGAGCCCTTCATCACCAGCATTACAGAATCTATCATTTTGACAGAATGACCCTGAATGGTCAATTTGAGTCTCCATGTGTGGAGCTGACGCAAAACTTCCTTGAGTTTGTCCATTACGCGCAAGGCGGGAGAATTTTCACCTATGTGCTCACTCTCGATGGACAGTTTCGATTCACGGAGACGGGGAAAGAATTTGGGATTGACTTATTAAGCAAGCATACAATGCACAGTAATGTGTCTGTCTATATCGCCTACTCTGGCGAGTTTTTCGTTCGCCGGCGCAAACGTCACCGTCGACTCCATTCTCTCGCTTCCAGCCATTCGGGATCAGAAGCCGTCATTGATGCATCAGAAGAGAACGAAGTACCAACCGACCCTGGTCATTACGAACTGTTTATCGACAATGACAGTGGCACCTATCGTCCAAATGCGAAATATCTTCCCCTCCTGAGGCAGTTCCTTTTGGGCAATTTCCCCGAACTTCATATCACGACTCTGGACTGCAGAGCCGACGAGGAGCGAATGGGGGAGCTGAAGCGGGAGCAGCGCGAGCTCAAGAAGAAAGAGGGCGGTCAGATGGCGTTCCTGCAACAACGAAGCACCACCTCTTCACTCTCCATCTCGAGTTCTGACGAGGACGAGCTCAATGAGCGCAGTGGTGCCGTGCCTAAGAGAGGAGAATTTTCCCAGAGGGTACATGACATGCGCGACGTGAGAGGACAGGTCATGAAATGGGCACAGGGAGACGATGAGAACCCTGCAGAGAACAAAAGCAGCCATCCCTAACCACCCAAAAGCATCACATCACACCCTGAATATACTGTTGATACCCCCCCGAAGAGCAAGGACCGCGGTGGTGATACCTAGGCCATTCGACCCTAGTCGGCTTTACCCGAGTGTCTATTCTTGGCTGGATTCCGTACTGTCTATAATCTTAATTAACTAGTTAACTATTCTTATAATTATTAGTAATGTTATTATTTTTAGCCGGGCAAAGAGAAGCATTAGAAGGCGCTGATATGCCGGGTTTGACTTTAGGCAAATCTGTTTCTGAATGACCTCGCATTAGATTCCACTGCGGCAAAAAAAAAAAAAAAAAAAAAAATGGGAATATAAATATCATCAATGAAAAGGTATGTATATATATAAATATATAAATATCCAGTTCTTTGAATATCAGACGACTAATCCAGCTGACGGTGGAGTTTTCTTGCGCCGTCTCTCACCAGGCAGACAAACGACAGTAAGACAAGGGAAAGGGTCAAGAAATGAAGCGCAAGTAACTTGAAAATCTCCTTGTTCTTGGGTTTCCCTTGTAGAGGAATGAGAAGTGAAAGAGATAGATAGACTCCTGTTGTATGGGAAAGGAGGCTTAATGAGGGATGGTACTATATATAAAGAAACAGCTGCACATACCTGCATTAGTACATCCATATATATATAGTTACATACTCTCTAACATACTCTCTATCTTCAACTCCCACTACCATTGCATATATATTATTGTATAAAAAGAAAAACATCACAATCATTTGTTAAGCCCCTTCTCACCTCACAACTGATCACATCGTTGTCGCTGACGCTAGAGATCAATCTATCCCACTTCAGGTATCTCGATCGAGGGGTAAAACGGCGAAGATTAATCAACCTCCGGCACGAGCAAGTCTAAGCCTCAGGTCGATCTCAACTTCTTCTTCTTCTTCTTTCTCTTCTTTCTCTTCCTCTTCGTCTTGTCAACTAATTTAAGACTTCCGACCTTCTCGCCATCACATCTACTCTCTCTCTCTCTCCCTACTTCTTCTCCAGGTCGTCGTCGCTCACTCGTTTTCCGTCCCTGCTCCTCTCCCTGCTCTTCTCCCTTCCATCCCCTAATTTCCATAACCGCCAGCCACCTCCCCCGCGCTGATCTCGTCTCGTGGTCGAATCTCATCACATCTCATCAGTCAGGATCGGGTTTCGGTTGGCGACAAATCAACGCGAAAAAAAAAAAAAAAAGAAATTAATCACCGAGGAAGGAGATTGTGGCTCCATATTCCCCACCCGAACCCGTTCTATCTCACCTTCCTCCTTTCCGACAGTGTTCGTCTGTCTACGGCGTACATCGCTCACTCGTTCTTCACGGCGTCCCGCCCTTGCCTTTTCATTAATCGCGGGTGCCCTGCTCGGGGGTCCAGTTACAGCTCGTTTGAGGTCCGACAACTAGCTTGCCGCATTGCCTTCAATCCAACCCTCCCTTCCTCCCACTGAGGCGCACAGACCGGCCGATGGTGACCTTTAACCGCCCCGGTTCCCTCTCCGGACTTTCTTTCTCGCGCGGTAACTTGGTAGCTTCAGCGCTTCCACTATGGGGATTGTCGGAAGCCGTCTGGAAGACTCAGGGAGTCTGTATTTTAAGGACCAGAACAAGTGTATGTATTGCTAGCCGTGGGGTGTTGTGGATTGCCTGTTTTTTTTTTTGTTACCACCCTAATTTCCCCAAATCCTTTTTTTTTTTTTTTTTTTTGAGGAGACATGATTTTGACTGACGCGATCTACCAGTTACAATTGCATCCGTGACGATATCGAATCCTCGTCGCGTGCTTTTGAACCTCGTCCCGAACTCCTTCCCCGCCACACGATATAATGCGAAGAGAGAGACAGGCGATGATGGCCCGATTGAGTATATACAGGTAACCAAACCTATCTTGCACCTAGGGAGTACTGCATGGGTCGTTTCGTTGGCTCACACTTCATTTCGGTCCAGGATCCGGATGTCCCTCCCTCCGCTACGGTTCCTACATTCCTTTTACGCTTAACCAACGATGACGAACTCAGCTTCAAATTCACTTTCATTCTCAGACAAACGAAGACAGGGAATGTCACCAATTCTACTGTCAACGGCGTTTCGACTTCCTTACCGGAGGTGGCAGATACAGTATTAACGGGGCTTACATTTGCGCACGCACCCAACTCCAAGGAGCTTGATAATTTGATCACGAGAGAATTTCACGCCAATCCGAACCTACAAAATAATTCTAATGTACAGTTTGTGGGAGATTATTCCACTGGGGGCAGCCCCTCCGTACAATTTGACTGGACCTGGAAATGGAAACCTCCCAAGGTCGCGGAAGACAAAGGTGGTGGTTGGAGGAACAGCTGCAGCTTTTTGGATTACGACCAGAGGGCAAACCGTCTCAACACACTGGCCTACTTCTCATTCTGGGTACAAAACACTTCGCGTTTAATCCTCTGCCCGCAGATTACTTCGCCAAATCTGGAGGTCAATGTTCCAACCCGGAATCGCATTCCTTCATCGCAGTCTATCCTTTCCCATTCTAGCGACGCAGATACGGCTTCAAATGCTCTGATTGCGCCAGAGACGCCCCCTGAATTGGTCGACGTGGCCCCAGTACTGACCCAGAGCTCTACAGCACCCCTTCCAGTGAAAGTCGACCTTCCTCATTCCCGTCCTGGGGAGGACATGAGTGCTGTTGAGGACGGTCCTCTGTTTCGAGCTACGATGAAAGCGTTAGAACAGAAGACTGGAAGCATGCGCGCTAAAATCAAGAAAGTGCTCAAGAAAGCCGAAGCTGCTCATCAAGCGCAAACCATCTGCAATGAAGCTGTAGAGGCCTTTTTATCGGCACTGAATGAAGCATCTACATCTAACACGAACGCCATCCAACCGGCCCTCGACCATTATTTCGAGAAAACTGCGCGCCAAATCTTGAATTACGAACGGCTCAACACTGTCCAACTCCAGAAGCTTGTAATCGAGCCATTAATAAAACTGTATAATAATGATATCAAACAAGCCGAATCGAAGAAGAAGGATTTCGAAGAAGAAAGCAGGGATTATTACGCCTATGTTGGCCGTTATCTGGGACAACGACAGGATTCGCTAAAGGAGAAGAAGCGAGCAGAAAGCGACTCGAAGTACCAAGTCAAGCGGCGAAATTTCGAGTTAAAACGGTTTGATTACTCTTCATTTATGCAGGATCTCCACGGTGGCCGCAAGGAACAGGAGGTTCTTTCCCATCTTACCAAATACGCCGATACACAAGCGAAGAGCTTCCTTGTCGCTGCTAAAAATGTTGGCGACATGGTCCCGCAGCTGGATGCCCTTATACATGAGGTCAACCAGGCAGATAAAGAGTTTAAATTTCAACGAACGGAAAGGGAGGAGAAGCGAAGAGCCCTGGAGAAGAACAGCAACACGTATATGGAACCTGATACTCTCGCCAACTCAAGCCTAACGTCAACGATAATTGGCAGTAGCAATGGGAATCCCAAAGCAGAGGTAGAATTGGGTCGTGCAGATAGTACCGGCTCCCAACTGCGCAGTGTCATTAGCAACAACTCAGCTACGTCTACACAGGTAAACGCACCGACCAATTCTTCGACCGGGCCATCCATTATCAGTTCGACTGTGAATTCAAGTGGTAAGCCAACCTGAAAGCGCTCATCAAGCCTCAAGACGTTACCTGAATGCTAATATGTAGCAGGCCAGCAAAGGAAGGAGGGACTACTCTGGGCTTTATCTCGACCAGGGTCCCATATCGATCCCAAGGGCATCAACAAGCAGGCCTGGCATAAGTGAGTCCTACTTTTCCTCTCTGAAACCTTGGGATTATGCGACTGACCCTACATTGCAGATTCTGGATTGTCCTCGACCAAGGAAAGCTCTCTGAATATAGCAACTGGAAACAAAAGCTTGATTTGCACATGGAGCCTATTGATTTACGAATGGCTTCGGTGAGAGAAGCTCGAAATGCAGAGCGGCGATTTTGCTTCGAGGTTATTACTCCACAGTTCAAGCGTATTTACCAAGCCACCTCGGAGGAAGATATGGCAAACTGGATCCGCGCCGTTAACAATGCTCTGCAGAGCGCCGTGGAAGGACGCAGTGTGTATCCTCCGCCGGTGTCACCCGACAATGATACCATATCCATCCGCCGTGACATTGGTTCGGTATTAACTGGGAAGAGTTCTTCATATTCCAGCCACTCCCAATCGGCCTCTAGCAACAATGTGACCCGCCGCACCACCGTGGGAGCAAGGCCAAGTTATGTACGCCCCGATGGACACGGTTTTGAAGAAAACCCCTCCAAGCTGCTACAAACGGTCCGTGATGCAGATCAAGGGAATAACTGGTGCGCGGACTGCAACTCTTCATCCAAGGTCGAGTGGGTGTCGATTAACCTCGGAATTGTCTTGTGCATTGAGTGCAGTGGTATCCACAGATCTCTTGGAACACACATCTCCAAGATTCGATCTCTGACACTCGACGTTAACTCCTTTTCGAACGACATAGTGGAAATTCTCCTCCAGATCGGTAATCGCGTGAGCAATATGGTGTGGGAAGCAACTTTGGACCAATCGCAAAAGCCACTCGCAACGTCAACTCGAGAACAACGGCTGAAGTTTATCACTGCCAAATATGCCGAAAGAGCTTTTGTGCAGCCACTGCCCTCTCCCCTATCTCGGTTCTCCGCGCCAGATGAGACCCTACTGGCTTCAATTAAGAGAAATGATATCCAGGGTGTTCTATACGGCATTGCCCTGCGGGCCAGTGTGAACATCGCTGATCGCTCTCGCAACACCCATGCTGTTTTCCTCGCTCTGGCGGCAGCTGACCCGGCATCGCCGGCATCGACCTCATCCAGCTTATCGATCCGTCCAAGCACTGCCTCGGTGAAGGCCATTCCATTCCCCATCGCTGAACTCCTGGTCCAGAATGGAGCCGAAATTCCTTCGCAACCGCCACCGATCCGTCTTTCCCCAGCCGCTCAACTCTATCTCAACCAACGAACTGCCAGAATATCCACCTTTAGCCCCCCTCCTTCAGCCCCTGGCCGTCCGTCAGGAGACACACTGGGCTCGCTGCCCACAATCCGGGGACCTGGGGCTGGAGGAGACCCTGCGATATCATCCTCACAGGCACCGAGCACGTTGGACAGCAAGGAACGCGAGAGATTGCACAAGCGAGGAAGTGCTGGAGCCAGGTTTGCCGGCAAGGTTGCTTCATTGGGGATTGATCGATAAAGCTGCCTCGATGACACTTTTCTTATTGTACCTATTTTATTCCTCCCTCCATACCCATTTCCTCTTTGTCTTGACTTTTCCGCCTTTGTTTCTCATGTGTTCGGCGGATGGACTCTCTATTAATTATACCTAATGAGGATCGAAGGACATGATGATGTGATGCGACGTGATGCGACGCGACGTGATGTTGAAGCATGGATTCTACCTAAGTGCATACCTACCTATCTACTTAACTTCCTTCCCTATGTTGAGCAACGAACAGACGACCAGAGGAGAAAAGGAAGACAACCCAAACAACTATCAATCATCAGACGCAATAGATGGATGAGTGTGGATGGTATAACAGATATGACATGACTTGTTTTTCTTCCCTCCTTCTCTTCTTCTTCTTTTTCTTCCTCTTCTTCTTTTCTTTTCTTTTTAATTTGAATATACATATATTTCCTTTCCCTCTCTTTTTGACCTGTGAATATTTCTTTTTTTCTGTTCTCCTCCGCCACCACCTCTCATGTTCATTTTGTGGGAGGAAATAATACCTACACCTATATATGATATGATATACTAGCTTTTCCGATGCTATATTTACCTTGTTTTCACATTTCGCATCACATTTCAACTATTTATACGGCTATAATCTAATGATACTCTTATATCTATCTGTCATGCAAGGCATTGATTTCTATGATTCTATAATCGGCTGGCTGGCCACATGTATGTATGTATGACTCTAGCAGAAAGTGGTAAGTAGTGTCTGTTGATCCGGCTGTTAAAAAATAGCTAGCAAACTAGATGGTAGCTCTCGAAGCCTAAACAAAGTCTACATACATCAGCACTCGTGGTTGGTTGCATTGTTAAAGGTAAGGAATGGCATGGGATATGTTAATTGCTTGCCAGACTCACGTCACTCGAACCTGTGTAGAATCAATGCATGTTGCTGCTTTAGGCTTTTGGAGGGGGGGGAAGTAGAATCGGTAGTTAGTTAGTTAGTTACTAAAGAGCACGTTTAATAATCCATTGACACGTAAGCTGGACTCTTGACTAGAAATAGAAATAGAGGGTTTTGATATTTGCGGCAGGAGGATATATGTACATACACACAACACCCTGCTGGTTGACCCGCTTGTGTTTTGTGTTCCCTTTGCCACAATTTCTTTTCTTGCTACGTATTTGCCGAATGAAACCGAGCCCAATCAATGTCTTGTGTTTAGGGGCCTCGTTTAGAGTCTCCAGAGAAGAAAGGAATTGGGGGGGGGGGGGGGTGTTAGAGAAGACGCCACATTCTGCGGTTTAGTCCGGCGATTGCAACGTATACGCCGAATTTCCGGCTGTATTTATACCCAGAATAGAGAGAGCCATTAGAGGGGACAAAAGCATGGTTCTGTTCCGCCACAGTCAGAATAGGGTAATGTGTGACTGGAGTTGGCACCTATGCTTCGTCTAGAGTGGAGATCATCCACGGACTTCATTCTATGTTGGGCATATTGAGATGCAACCGAAGTCCCATCGTACCTAGCTGTACCCGGGTCCAGGGCCCAAGTACGGAGTACGACGGAAAAGGGGCCTGTCTATGCAAACAGAGAGAAATCTTGAGAAAAGCGATTCAAGAACAAACCGCCAATGGTAAACTGCCATCTTCATCGGGTGTTGCGGTTTTGACGTACGATCCCGTGAGAGCCTCAGCCAATGACGTCATCGGTGCGCTTGGGTGGGAAAAAAAAAAAAAAAAAAAAAAGAGGCGCCGTCGAGGTCGATCCAAAAATGACCCATTTTCGGAGTGCGATTGGAGCTCTCTGGCTGATTCAACCACCATAGGCAAAAGTAAAAACCAAGACGGTCTAGGACTCAGCCACTGATCCTGGTCCCCATAAATTTCCCCCCTCTTGATGCAATGGCGGTGGAATGGGTCAACGAAGCGTGGCTTCAAGACGGATAATCCTACCCCTTCGAAGATCGGGATAGGAACCTGCCTCCTCTTACCTCAGTGGCTGTCCATCTCCTGATGGATGGGAGGGATTTGTGTCTCCAAAGGTGAATCTCCAATATGGTGGCAAGCCCTTGGTATCGCCGGAATTGATAATATGTCGACTGCATCGCGAGGTCTCAATTTTGGGGGAGGGGGGGGGGGGGGACTGCAGAGAGAAATCACACGGCTTGAGTGGCCTTTTCACATTGTCAAGAGGGTTCCCGTAGAATATGGAAAGGTACCTGGTATCATGATATTCATGTCCAATCAACCCGATGAGTTCGTCGAGTTTCTTTCCCCCAGAAAATTATGATCCACCGATGATAGGGATTAGTCATCCGGAACGAGGTCCCCACCAACTGAACTGGATGGATTCATGGAGAGAACACTTCCCTATACTATAATCTTCGGTAAATTCCTTTTGAATAGGGATCTCATCAGTTATTCACAGACAGAAGCTCAAAGGAATCCATGAGTGTCTCTTGCTGCCCAACAATCACAAGTCGAACTACGACTCCATGTCCCATCCATGAGCCGAACAGACGCTAGTTTTTCTCAGGTCATCATCGACAACGGTGGCCCCTGTACGGTATACACCCGTTTTGCCAATGAACCGAACCGGAATTTGCCTCCAAGAAGACTGTCTCTAGGTTCTCATGAAGGAGTGGTCTGTTCGAATACTTTCGAGAAAGTCCCCGAAGACCAATGCAGCGCCAATTTTGGTGGCTGAACTTGTTAACTACGAAGGTCAAGCAAGCCCTTACCTCGACTTTGTGACTATTTCCCTTGAGGAACTTGTACTCCGGAGTAGGTATTTCCACCGTCAGCCGCCTCCTGCACGTCTCATTTGTCCGGCTCCGGTTCCCTGTACTGAATAAAATGAAGGGGCGCTTCTAACCCCCTTCACCCATCCCATTGTTGTTCTTACTCTAGGAGCAAAGTGGGGATCCACTTTTGGTTCGTCTGGGATTTGAATCAAGAAATTACCGATTAAGGAAAAGATGAGGTCAAAGTAGTGACCCGGCCGATGGTTGGCTGGCATCCGAATCCGAAACCACCAATCAGAATTCAGATGAAGTAGTATTATCAACGCCGAAACCACCCGGATATATCCATCAACCTACTGGAAAGATCGAACCAATTTTCGACCTCGAGCCAATGGAGTTGATGTATACCTACTACTCATATCTGTACATGCATCCATCAGTCATCAGATGATTATATAATATATACACCTCCTCTCAGCATTCTAACGGATCAGCGCATTTCGTAATTCTGTTCTGACTTCTGACTGGGAGATCAGCCCTAGTGGGAATCCACTTTTGACTCTGATCCGATTGGAATTTATATGATGATGGGTTTTCTTTCAGGACCATCATCAAAGTAGTACCTTCTCTCTCCGTGCTACGTACTAGGACCTGTAGTGATCATCCTACTCCGTACTGTTGTGGATCATCTCTTCTTTCTCGCTGTATTTTGATTTGGGGAAAGATGATGCTACCCACAGTAATACCTTCTTTTCTAGTGGCAAACTGGGTGCTTTTCCTCTTTTCTCTTCTTTTCTTTTTTAATTACAATGGCTACCATGTCAATTGTCTATAACGATGGCAAATCGTATTGTTAGTAGTAAAGTACTACTACCTACAGAGTACTTCGGTAGGTATGTACTAGAGGGAACTACCAGGAGGTATCCCTACCTAGGTACCCTACCTACTTTAACATCACCCTATTTTTATGCAGAACTCAACTTATTTCCATTGATCAGCGGTTCCCCATCGAGATTGTGTGCATTGCATGGCTGGTGCTTCCTTTGCCACCAACTTTCTCCTCTTCGATTGTTATGATTGGAAGCCCTGACAGAAACTTCAAGCCCTCCCTTCCAGTGGACCTCGTCATAATCTTTGTTTCTCTTGACAACAACAATATGAAAAAAATCATAATCTGTCAAACTGAAGACCCCCCCGTGGACTCCAAGAGGGCAGGGACATGCTGCTGGTTACCCAATCACGACACTATGATCCAGCCATCTATGCCATCGTTTTGGTGCGTCCTGACTGCCCCCCGACAGCCACACTGTCAATGCCGCCTGTAGTACTCATAAGAACCAGACACTCGGCTCGGCCCTGGTGCACTCTTATCTTAAGCATCAGAGCAAACCTTTCTTAGACTTTGAAGGCTGCAAGGGTGTCATCGTGGTCTACTTAAGGACATAATTTGAACCTTCCCTTGGTATTGATATCTCCTGGTACCTACTACATCTCTCTCTCGGTATACTGCCCACTATAGCCTATACTTACTCGTCTTCTCTACCTTCTGACAAGGCCCATATCTACTGCCCCAGGATATATTCTGCCGCGGCTCCTGCCTCTTGGGCTCCGCTGACCTGCCGATAGGTATTCCTAGGAGGAGCCCAAGGGAACCGGAGCCCGTCCCACCTGGCTGCCAGACTAAATGAAGATTCTTTTTTCTCTTGCATCTGGATAACATTGTGTCAACAACTCCATGCTCCGTAAGTGAGCGTTCCGCCTCCTCCTGCTTTAGCATTGCCAGTAATAATTTCCGAGATAGTGTGGAGTTGATCTCAGTAAATCGAATCCCTCCTTTTCTTGACTCTCTCCTATCCAGATCTATTATTTCCCATTATTATTGTTTGCAATTAGAGAGGTAAGCTATTGGCACTGATTTGGTTTATTCTTTTTTTTCTCTCTTTGTTTTGGTTTCCCCCCCCCCCCCCTATATCTGAGTCTTGAACAAGAAAACTTATCTTGTAAAGCTCCTTTTGGGCTCCCAACCCCCAGGGATTAGATATCCCCCCCTCCCCCCCCCCCTTTTATGCCAACAACTCCCCATCCCCTCCTGCAGAGACTGGACCTCTGACAGGCAGCCCAATACCATCTTTCAGCGCGTGTGTTTCTGCCGTATCATGATTCATATCCCCCGGCTACACGATCGATGATCGTCCTCAATCATCTGATGGCCTAAGGACATGAAGATTTCCTAGTTCATGACTCAAGGAACCCAAGGGTAATAAATAATCAATCACCAATAACCGCTACCATATCCAACAGTGGCTGCTGCACACCCTTTCCTTTTGGGCAAGCTTCTGGAGTCAGTGGGTACATACCTTTTTTATGCCATATCCGGATACAATGGCCTTTATGATGAGTTATACACCAGTTATACACCCTCAGTTGCCACCATTATGTCTAGCAGGGAGCTTGCAAATTGATGTGTGACTTCATTCATTCATTCTTCCCTTCTCTGATTGCTTCCTCTGCTACTTTTCCCTCTGGCGTGGCTAGTCCTAGCCCCAGCCATCGATGATGCCCCTCTTAGTCCACTGGGATTCCCTTTTACTCAAGTGGCCACCACCATTCGTATATCTTTCCTTGTCGGATTCCTCTTGGTGTACAGCCTTTGCATTGCAGTTGAATTCGGTTTCGCTGCCATATAAGATTCTTGTCTTGATACTAATAACATATCCAGCTTTATATTTCTTCCTTCAGGGCAAGACAGAGAGACCTTATAAATATCCACACCAGAATTCTCTGTATTGTATTCTCGAATCGGTTTACATCCGAAATGACTCAATCCGTGGATAATAATCCCCCGGGCCAGCCCAAGCATCGGGAGTCGAAGGGGAAGAACAAGGAGCCGCCAGACTCAGAAAAGCCAAATGACCCCAGCAAGGCTGCCCCCCAATCCAGTAAGTTTATCATCTTCTACCGAACTCACTTGCGCTAAACGCATGCGTAGGATCGTCTTATCGTCAGAGGACTGGATCCGACAACATGCAATATTACCCCGGGCCACCCACTTACATGCCACAGCCCGGTAACTACGGACCTCCACAATCGGCATTAAGCATGGCCAATATGGCCTCTGTATTGCCAAACTACCAGTCCAGTCCGACCCGGTACGAGCAGCCATCGATGCAACAGCACCATTTCGTCGCCGCTACACCAGCACCAGGCTCCATGTACGGCCTGCACCCTTTCCAACCATATCCAGCGGCACCTACGAACGCCAACATGATGTTCAGTCCTTTACTCCGCGCGCAGATGTACGTGCCTTTTGTGCACCATGAAGATGCACGCTACGGACATCTCTCGCCAGCGGCCCATGGCGCTCTAGGGGGCCCGATGCCCGGTCCAGTGGGGGGATATGGTCAAAACTACTATAATCAAACCGTGTACGCAGCGACACCAGGGTATCACTCAAGGCCCTCCTCCAATATGTCATCGTCTGCTTTCATGCAGCGGCGTAGCCAACAGCACGATAGTACTCCCAAGGCATCGGAAGATCTTGAAAAAGAAACCCAAAGGAGGCTACTGAACCTAGACTACGATGTCTCGAAGACCATAGTTGACGGTTCGACTCACATGAGGCCGGCAGCGGCGCCGGGGCAATCGGATTCAACTCCCACACCGTCGAACCCAGCCAAGTCAGCCACGCCGAGAGGGCCACCGAGAAAACCCAAGCAATCCGGCCACGCCTTGTGGGTGGGCAATCTCGCCCCCGGGACGAGTATCGTCGAGCTAAAGGACTATTTTTCCCAAGGCGCGGCAACGGAGGTGGAAAGCGTATTTCTGATCTCGAAGAGCAATTGTGCGTTTGTGAACTATAAAACCGAGGCGGCGTGTCTGGCAGCGTTAGCCAGGTTCCACGATTCTCGGTTGCGTGGAGCTCGGCTAGTTTGTCGCGTGCGCCGGGGAAATACTGATCTGGCAGGACTTTCGGTGACCCCTCCTTCCCTTAAAGACGGGGACGGAGTTCTAGTATCGAGCCCTGGGGATGAGGATGGCGGGGGGGGAAGGGAGACCAATCCTACGCCAGGGCCGCACAGGTATTTTATCGTCAAGAGTTTAACGGTCGAGGATCTCGAAATGAGTCGGCAGAGCGGTATCTGGGCTACTCAAACGCATAACGAGGATCACTTGAACCAAGCCTACGAGGTGAGAAAAGATGATTATTATTATTATTACCTCTAGGGGAAAGAAAAGAAAAGGAAAGAAAAGCAGCTGACCGACAATGTTCCATCCAGACCGCCGATCATGTGTACTTGATCTTTTCTGCGAACAAGTCGGGCGAATACTACGGATACGCCCGGATGATGTCACCGATCAAGGACGACGAGGTTCTCGCGCGCGCGATGCCCCCACGGCCGGACCATCTATTTCTCGAACCTGACGACCTCAACGTCATCGCGACGCCCGCGACGTCGACGGCCCCGAACGGACGGATTATAAATGATACCGCCCGCGGAACTATCTTCTGGGAGGCGGATACATCAGAGGACGAGGACGAGGAGGAGGAGGAGGAGGAGGAGGAGGAGAGTCAGCAAGCAGCGCCCGCGGAGGAATGGGGGGGACTGCAGCTCATTGGGAAACCCTTTCGGATTCGGTGGCTTTCCACTGAACGAGTGCCGTTTCATCGTACCCGGGGGCTCCGCAATCCCTGGAATGCGAACCGGGAAGTGAAGATTGCGCGAGATGGGACAGAGCTCGCGCCGTCTGTCGGGGAGAAGCTCGTGTTGTTGTTCCACCCGGAGGAAGGCGGACCAGGGAATGCATCTTGATGGGTGTAATATACAGCATATATATATACAGCATATAGAGATGATTGGGGCAATTCTTCGTTGCATATGAAATGAAGTACAGCTTCTGTCGGTTGGAAGCTTGGACGGGACTAAGTTCGCTCGTCCTTTGGTAGCTTGTGAAGGAGTTGCTTGGCTTGCTTTTGCACGAGCTTATTAAGTTGTAATCTTCTGTTCGGTATGGTAGGGATTTGTATCTGGACAGGTGAGTTATTATGGAGACTTGGGGAATGGTATGATCTTTTCGTAGAGAAAAGTATTGACGTCGAGGATTTCCCTCCCCTTCCAATAATCATCCACCAGCCCTGTTCTGGCCCACGGTCAGCTCATCCCGCTTGCATTTTGTGGGGTAACGAAAGCAATCCTAGATTGAGCTTCTTCTTCTTCTTCTTCTTCTTCTTCTTCTTCTGCTTTTCATCAATTATTATCTTCTTTCCATCTTATCACAGTCTTCTTCTTCAGCTGCTGGTCCCCCCCCCCCAATTAATTCCTTTTCTCTACACCATTATTTGACCGCTACCAAGCTCCCCGGATTCTCTGTATGTTGCTTCGGCATCCAGCTTCTGCACCGTCACCTCTCATTTTCTGTCTTTCTGTGTGTGTGGTCTTGTCGATCTCCCTGCTCACTTCGTTTGCAGTTCTTCAACCTTACTAATTCTCGATTATTCAGTCGTCTGCCCCGCTTCCACCGATCTTATATCTTATTGCCTGGGTGGTTGACATTCCTTTCTGATAGTTATGTCTTGACCCCTTTCAACCGGCTGACTCAACATCTTTATTCACGATTGCCTGATTCCAACTACACACACTGCAACACGGCTTGTCTTCTATTATCTAGAAGCAAGCCGTACCTATAACTCCCCCCCCTTTCTCTATCTTTCTATCCCTACCATCATCATGTCCAACGAAGGTTGCTCTACCCCCCCAATTTCAGTCCCCCCCTCCGGCCGCCAGCGTCGAGCTTCCATAGCCTCTGGGCTTGGGTTCCCCGAATATCGATCTGGCAGCCAAGGCCTCACTGGCCCTCCGCCAAGCTCCATGGCCAACGCGATGGCAAATGCTCAGTCCAACCAAAGACGCCTGTCCATCACCACCTTGGGTCTCTCGGGCTCTCCCACTCAAACATCCCCCTTTAGCAACCGAAACTTCCGGCACGGTAGCATCTCGAGCTCCGTGGGGTCCAATCCTGCGAACCTGGAAGAGGCTGTGTCGGAAGAAGTTGAAAACATGCCTCCGACCGGCACTTCTCCTTTCGCACGCCGTGTCTCGTTTGGTGCGCAGGCTTTGCGCGAGGCTCGCGGAGGAAGCATTGGTACCGGTAGATACCCCCCCCCCTCCTTCCCGTGTTACCGGTGGCGAGTGGGCGGCGAAGTGCGTCGACCGCCGGCATCACCTCTCCGTCTGTTACCACTGGTACTTCAAATAAACTTCTCCCCCAGAACGATCAATCTAACGCATCTTGGCGGCCATTATTAGGCGAAGGCTTCAACTGGTCGGAAGCTCTTCGAGCCCGGGCCGAACGTGGGCCCGTCTCGCCCAATTCATCCTCGACCCAGCCTGCCACTAGTCTGGGCTCCTCACCTCACCACCAGCGGGCGGCGTCCATCGCGTCCATGGACCAGCCATCCCGCCAGCTCCCCAAGCAAAACAAGCAAAACAAGCCGGATTTCTTCCAGGAGAAGATTCTCCGGGGGGACTTTATGGATTAAAATGATCCGAGTTATTTATTTATTGTCTATACCAGCCGAAATCAGAAAAAGCATATTTATTGTAGCTTGTTTCGGGTTCATTCAACGGGATATATGGGCTGTGCTACAGCTTGGCTTGTTTTTTTTTTTTTTTTAATGATGATTTATGCATAGTTCATGGAATGGATAATGCTGTGAAGCAACAAGAACAAGGGATCAAGAACGGGGGAGTCTATACTATTTTTTTTACTTGCGCTTTGGAATACTGTATTACTTAACTGCTGGCCAGCGGTCGTGAGTGAGTGAGGTATGTACGGTTCATGGTTGTTACAGATTGCCATAGGAGGTATCAGATCTGCATGCATTGTTTTAACTTGGATTCTTGAGAGTATATGAGATGTTATGTTAAGAACTTGAATATTAGGTCAGAGTTAGGGTATGAATATCTGCCTATCTAGAATGTATCTATTCAAAGCACAAAAAGAAAGAAAACTAAGAAGAAGAAGAAGAAGACGCCATCCTGACCCCAACACCATGATCAATATAATGTGCAAATGCCCAGGCACTCCATCGTTGTCATCGCACCAGACTTCTTCCCTTTTCCCTTGCTCATATTCCCATTCCCATTCCTGTTGATGTTGATGTTGATGTTGATGTTCATATACGTATATATATATATATATATATTTATTTTGGTTAGGGTGATCGGTAATGAGGATTGTCGAAACGGGTTGTGAGGAAGGATGGTGGACAGTTTCTTCATTTTCTGAAGTGGGAATCTATTCTATTCTAGGATGTTGAAGTTTATACAACTCTTATAGATTGATTAAGGGTAAAAGCCAAACATGAGAATCATTACAAGAAAAGAATCCTTGGTATAATAATATATAATAGGTCCAAGGTTTAAAAAAAAACGATGAATGGATGAGAAAAAAAAAAAAAATAATTGACAAGAAAACTAAATGACCTTGTGTTTAGTATGGGATGCCGTTGGTCAGCAGCTGGAATTGATCGTATCCCTTCGTCGAGAAGCTCAAATAAGACTTGCGCACTAGCTCCCGCATATGCTCCGCAGCGTCTCTCTCATTCTTGTCCATGGCAAATCGATCATGGAAGTTTTTAAGCGTCTCCGGCTTGAAGCACGGCAGTCCGCTGTCGAGCATCAGCGAGACAATGTGTGACAGCTTGGCACTATACGGCCGTGATGCCAGGAACGCCTTCACAACTAAAGACTCGAACCAGCGGTAGGCTTGTGTGTTTGTAGGGTTATGAGAACCGCCAGGTAACAACAACCCCCCCGAGCCGCCATGGCTGCCGGTGTGGGAGTGATGATGGGTAGTACCACTCATCACGGCTACCATCTCCGATGTGAGCTTAAAGGGAGCCCGCTCAAAACGAACGCCACCAGGCGCGATATCAAAGCAGAACCCAAAGTCAATGTGAATAATATGGCCCGCATCATCGAACATGATGTTACCATTGTGTCGGTCCTTGAACTGCAAGAGATACGAGATGACGGAGTAAGCAGCCATACTCTTGACAAAGTTGGTTCGAGCTTCCTGGAACTGAATTGATTCCTCTCCCCCATACTTGGAGACGAAATAATCGTACAGTCCATTGACCGCTTCACGGCCGAGCATATCGCGGGAAATCGAATTCGGCAGCACATCAATGACGCCACATCCCGGGGCGGTGGAAGTGACCCGGTAGGGGTTAACCCACACATCAAGTCCAACACTGGAGAAAATACTCCGGAACGCCGCAATCATCTGGAGGGCAAGCATATCCTGCCGACAGTCATCTCCGACCTTGAAAATGGCTGACTGCCAGACCTCGTACGTCTCGAGGTGGCCCTTGGAATGATCGTGGGCCGATTTGACCAACTCGTTCTGTTTGGCAGCCTCTTCGCCCCACTGAGTCCTTGTTTTCTGAATCCTGAACGTCGCCATATACGGCGCCTTTGCGTGACTCTGGAGCGGTTTGCCAGATTTACGGTCAATTCCAACTACAACCCCATCGGGATTACTCGGAAGGTAGACGCCGACCTCAACCTTGATCTTGCGAAGCTCTTCTTCGATCTTCTCCTTCTTTTCCGGCTTGCTCTTCTTAATGTACGGCCGAAGCTTGCCCGAAATATCAGTGATTTCGTTGAAGAACGAGAATTCCCTCTGGTAGAAATCCCGCTCTTCTTCGGTGAAGCTCGCAATTAAGGTATCCATGAAACCATCCAAAGTTGGCTTGAGAGCGTCCGGCTGTGGTCAGGTTAGCGTTAACGAACGATCTACTACTCGAGGTTTCTGCTTACAATTTGAGAATCTTCGTCCTTGTATGAGTTGGCTTTCATATTCCAGATCACCTGATGTGCGAACAATTGGGACTGCTTAGCCGTTTCCATTATGTATCGGTCCACATAACCCAAGGCATCATATCGAAGAGCTTGCACCAACTGCGGGACGAAATAAAACCGAACTTCCATGGAATGACTCTCCAGTGCTTTCATGGCGTACTGTAAAATAAACGGATGGTTGCCATATGCCGGTAGGAAATATGTTAGAGCCTCAGTTGGATTCACAGCTGCCCAGTATAGCAAGTACTACACAAATTAGTGACAGGACAGAAAATGAATGTAAGTGAACTAACTAACCTTTAGCTGTGATGAAACATCAGCCGGTAGCGCAGAGCCAAACATAATTTCAAGGCTGCTAGGCTCGTCAATGACCTTCTCTGGGAAACTCAGCAGGAGCTTTCGAATGTCGTTGGTCATTTTTGGCGACGGAAACCGGGAGGCAAGTTGAATCGCCAATCCTGGGTTCTCAGCCCAGGAAATCCGCAGCATATTTTCCTAGCCGAAAAGATTAGAACCGGCTCGAAGCCATAAAAGTGCGGACAGAAACAAACCTCTGCTAAATTTTTGCCGAGGGGGGACACGTATTGCTTGCGATCCGATTCTAGCGGATACAGCCAGACCTTGAGGCGTGATCTCTCGTTCTCTAAAAGCACTTGGAGAAGGTCTTCTTTCGCCTGTAACGAGGTGTAGGGCCACCTGGTATTGCTGCCGATGTTAGCTACATTTGCGAGTGCAGCCACTACGTTGCTGAGTATCTTATCCTCGGCCTTGAGTTGTAATCTGTTACCACCAAAAGTCCATCTACATACCCACATATTAGCACCAGATCCCCGATAATAAAATAACAAAAACCTACCTTGGAGGGCTTTTGAACCAGCTAAGCGCAGCGGACAAGATTTGATGCTTCAGCTTCCACAAAGTGACATTATCAAACGATGTGCAGTGCTTCATCACGTTGAGACAGAAAAGGATAATACGGAAATGTAACTCTCGCGCTAGAGGATGGTTACTTGCTTGCAAAAGGCCCACGGCTGTCCGATCTAGGAAACGACAGAATAGCCGTTGAGTCTGGGAATTTGCCAGCCGAACAGCGTTGAAATGGCTTTCAAAGAACTGGATAATATGGAGATGCGGTGCAAGAATATTCTGAGCGTGCTTTTGTTGTTGAAGCATTAACGCTTTGTCAGTTGGCAAAAGCTCGATCTTGGCATACATTGGATCAATGTAACTATCATTGACCAGATCAGCATGGTTTTTTGGTTCTTAGAGCTGGAGCATACTCACTCGAATGAAGGATCAAAGAGACCCTGCTTCCGCAAGATCGAATTCTCCCAAGATCCAATTACTTCAACTAGAATTTTGGGCTCTAACTCGGGATTCTCGTGCATTACTCCTAGCCAAAGCGAGACTCCAACACTAATCGACTCCTTGGTGAATACGCGGAAAGGCAACGAAACCAAGTCTTGCGCAATAGCAGCATGAGGGCCACTGCCACTGCACAGAATAGCAGCGGCCTGACGCAGGACATCTCGTAACTCAACAAGAGAAACTTGGGTTCCTGATCTGATCTTATCGTGAACTAATGATAGGACGCTTTCTATACTTTTGATCGACCCAGATAAAGAGAGGGAGGCTGCTGGGGATTTGGAGTCTAATAGTCGGTTATATTAGCGCTAGGAGAACAAAGATTATAAAAGGCTTACCATCACTGCCAAAGAAATCCCACTCACTCCCATTTACGCCAACCCCATCTGGGCGGCGATATGTTTGACGTGCAGTATGTTGAGCAATAAAATCAGACGCGATATTAATTTTAGAACCCCCATAGCTGTCAACAGAGCCTGTGCAGACCGCAAATAAGCATTATGAAGAAATAATGTGCCTCGGGATAACAGAGTGAGTCTTACCTAGCCGGTGGTCACTTTGTGGTATAACGGACCCCATTTCAAGTGCGAATGAGCGGCCCATTGAAATACCGCCATGACCGTCATTTTCATCCGCAGCGGACAGGTAAGTCTACATCCAAATGAGAAGGCAATCCTGGACACTTCTGGGAAGGCAAATTACCTGGAGAAGACCCTTCACATCAAGAGGTGCGATGTCCATAACCGTGGTTACCCATGATCTTGCGCGCTCGAGAAACACATCCAGTGTCCTCTTTCTAAAGCTATAGCTATCCGGTAAATCAACCTTAACGATACCTGTAGGTGAGGTAAAGGAAGGCTTCCATTCAAATTCATCGAGCTCTTCTTCAAGGCAGGATCGCCACATGACAGTCAAGAGTTCAAGTAGAGCAAAAAGCGAATGTTTTTCACATAGAGCTGATGGACATTCTTTTATGATCTTGTTTGCGCAAATAATGGCGACCTTTTGCACCCTTTCAATACGGTGGCAGCAAGCCGTGAAGAAACCAGCCAATTCTTTCGATAAGAAGGGAACAGAGAAATTCTCATGCTTTCCAGAAAGAGTCAAGGTAAGGTAACAAGTGACAACCTTATCGGCGACGGCAGTCATGCAACTGGCCATCTCAGAAGTAGCCAAAGCCGGGTCACGGAAGTAACTAAGCGTTTTAGTACAGTTGCCCGACAGTGCACGAAGACTCTCAACAAGCAGAGCTGCATTAAGGAATACTGCTTTCGGGTAGCTCAAGCGCTTGATCTCAGACTCCCGATGAGGAATTTCAGTAACCAATGCCTTCTTTTGCTCTACAAGGCGTTGTGGGCCCATGCCGCGCCTGAGAATAGTGTTGAGCTCCAGATCACTCTCAATCATATCCATGCGATCCTCGGATACGAGGGAAGGAGAGTATTTCGCGAGCAACCGTAATTCTTCGAAGAAGCTTCGGCCAACAGTAGAACCGATCGATATCCCGTGGATGGCAATATTGAACCAGGCATCCCGGAATAGAATTGAAATATCTTGGTCATAGTGGGAAATTTCATTTCTAGACAGTGCCCCATTACTTTCACCAGGAGAAACCAGCAACGCTAGCGGTTTAAGGAGCGGACTAATATCATCTGGTGCGAGAACTATCTCCTTTTGTCGCTCATATTCCAGATCTGTGGCATCACCTTTATTGACAATGCTTTCTAGCAAATGGACGAGGTATAATCTGTATAGAGGGGAGTCTCTTTCCAAAGTCACGGAAAGGTATGTCATGGCGCTCAGCACAGCATTCACAGTATTCTCATATCCTTTTGCGACACCATCTCGGTAGACTCGATCATAAAACTTAAGCAGGAGTTGGAACTCAGCCTGTCCAGTGGTGGGGCCAAGTGCGGCCGTTTCCTTGATAATGCAGGCATCGACCAGAGCATTCAATTTTCCTATCTTTTGTATAAGCATCGATTGGGCCAAAGCACTTATCTTCTCATCATGACAGCTGGCGGCAATCGTTACAATAGCGTGAATAATGCTTCTGTATGGCATATTATCTTCCATGTCGCTGGCAGAAAGGGAGGCTATACTGCCGTTTTTCGCTTGTTGGAAGGGGCTGGGGGCAAGCCCGGTAGGCTCACCAACAGGCTGACCTTGATATTGTTTCTCGGTACCCGAGCCAGGGCTCAGGACATTTCCCAAGGAATACAGGGTCGTAATTACGGAATCCTGAGACAGAACACCAAGAACTTGGGAAAGGCATCGTGCTGCAACCAAGCCTGTATGCCCTGCAGGTATACCGCCCTCCACAATAAACCGCATAAGTGAGCGGCTTCCGGAGGATGCACTATTGACGGACATCCTGGAGATTATGGCGACGCATTTCAAAGTGATCGTTGCAAGCTCGCCACATGCCATCTGGCTCGGATCTATAAGCGTGTCCTCCAGCCACGAAAGAAGATCATCACTGTTCGCCGTATCCTCATTTAGAATCAAACAGTTAAGATACCCTACCAAAGCCAGAGCCTTGACAGAAAAGGCGAGGCGCTGTTGCCACGGTGAGCCAACCTGCAAGTAATCCGAACCATCCTCTAGAAGCTGAATCTCGTCGGTAATAATCCCCGTTAAGCGGCTAATCAAGGAGACCTCAGCATCATCGTGGCTCCTGGCAATACCTATACCGTCCATGTAGTCATCTAGAAGCTTCTCATCCGACATGTTTTGCGCCCCAGTAAGAGACGTGGCACATGACTTGATAAATCGCATGTACCCTTCCTGTAGAAGCATCGCCCCTAGTGGACGACCATCTGTCGTATAACGGCGAGCATATCTCCTCCAATCTCGGAGCATGCTGTCTGGGATATTGGCATTGCGTACCGTTGATGAAGCTGTTTCGATAGCGACCATGAAACTCTCAGAGAACATTAAGCGCATATGCTCGACCATGCGCAGCTTTTCCTTGGCAGTCCAAAAGGAAGTGAACTTGGCGGCCGCCTCCAAGAAGCCAACAATCGAGACGCTAATAGACAAAATGTTGACCGATTCACGTGCCGTACTGTATACATTCTCCCCACTGTCGGCACGTTGAGCTGGCCCGAGAACGTTGATGGCTTCCGCACAATTGTAAAGATACTCATCCACAGCACTGACGGCGGCCTCGCGTAATGATGGATACTCGGATGCGAGGTAGAGGAGAGCGTGGGTGAGGCTATATGAGAGGATTTCCCATGGGGAGGGCTTTATCTCGTGTAGGAACGGCGAATGGCGAAAAAGCTGGCCATGCGACTCCGGAAGATATTGAGACAGCTGTGAAACCAGTCGTGAGGCATGCTCTGCCTTGGTCACCGAGGGAGCAGCCTTGCACAAAGCGACTAGGACACCTAGCTCTCGGATATCCTTCAAAGAGTCAGTCCTTGTATTTCCACTTTTTTGTATAGCGAAAAAGAACAAAATCGGGAAAGCAAACCATAGGAACCCGAGACACCGGGGACTGGCTTTCTAAGATACCATTAAGGAGCCCATCTGAATGCTTTGTCAGATGCTGGCACTGCTGGGTGAGTTGAGCAATATCGGACTCCTCGTCGTACTCCGGTGTGCTGACGGCTAATGTCGCCAGTTTCTCCAGGGCGGAGGTTCGAATATTTGGATTGAAGCTGCGTTCGATCAGCACAGACTTACAAGAAAAGAAATATCAACCTGCACTCACTCATCCATGATAACCAAACGTCCCTCGTAGGGGTGTTTATTAAGCTAGCGACTCGTTTGTATGTTGTTTGATAGAATTCCCTGGACCCCTAAATGTTGAAAGGGTGACGACGTGTTAGAACTTGGGCCCCCAGGATACAAATCCATGTGGGTCTTCCGACCTAGTTTCCTTCCCCTGAAGTTACGCTGTACGTTCGTATATATTGCTGTTGTCTGGGTTTGGATATAGCAAAGTAACAGAGAAATCTTATAGGATCGTTTTAATCTACACTTTGGGCTTCCTTATTCCCGTCTCTACGTTGGGATTCCTGTGGGAGAGAACCTGCTTAGCAATGTCGTCATCCGCGAGAAACACCAGTGGGAAAATCAAGACATACACCCTTAATTATACGAACTCTTGAAAGGAGGGAAAAAATATTGTTCAGATTTTCAGATCCATCCTTCTCAGCCTTGCAGACAGTGACATAGACTTGATCTTCGCAGACAAGGTGCTGGAACTAGCCAGGTCCGAGTACGAGTCACGTCCCTCACTTGAGCCTCCCCCCTCTCCGTCTCGTTCGCCTTCGTCTTCTCTTTTTCCCCATAGCGCGCGTCACTTCCGAGCCGTTGGTTTGTGCGCTGAACAAGAAAGCTTTTGCTACCTTGACGTCTCTTTCTTACCCTTTCATTGTTTTCTTTACCTTTTTTCTTTCTTTCTTTTTGTTACATTAGTTGTTGCCTTGAAGGCATTGTTTTGGCGTCGCTGGCATCTCATTGTCCCTACAAGCTTTGTATGCTACCTAGAATGTGAAAAAAATTTTGAAAAACAATGGCCCCACGAAATGAGAAGAGCTCTCTAAAGCGCACCAGGGTATACAGTTATCTACCACTTTTTCAGTTTAGTTGCTGACAATAATGTTTCCTCTCAGGTCTCGGCGGATCAAGACCCCCAAGATCAGAAGAAACCCCGGCGGTCCCAGAGAATCAACTCGCAGCAACAGTTGCAAACTCCTGTCGTTCAGTCGTATCTACCTACCCCTCTCACAAACAACAATGACTCTACAGCAACGGACATTCGGTTGGAGGCAACGGCTACTCCTCCGGGCAATTACAGCCAAGCCCGTCACCAGACTCCGTTAAGTTCGGAGCCTCATCAGTCACTCTCATCTCCTCCTGGTGATACACAGGCTCTGTCGCAATTCGTATACCCTCCCAGAGCGTTTGCAGATGAGGTTGAGGATGAGGCTGTGGAAGGGGTCTGGGGGTATCTCATCCCACTTGACGACAAGGTCCGAAACGCTCTTGTGCTCCGAAAGCGCGATGGCTGTGAAAGCAAATCCAATAGCCCCAAGTCAAAGTCCAAAAAGATTTCACAAAAGCAGAGCAAAGACTCCACAACTAAACCGACTCCGGGTCGCACCCCTGGGGGTTATCTGGTTGGAAGACATCCAGAGTGTGGTAGGTAACCGCGATGTTGCTTTTTGATGGAGCATGAAGAGAAAGGTACTAAGATATTCCAGATCTGGGGATTGATATTCCCACCGTGTCTAACCGTCACTTTCTGTTATTTCCTGAAAATAGACGAGGTGACACCGTAGCAATTCTGGAAGACTTGTCCAGTAACGGCACCTTCGTGAACGATGCTCTTGTTGGTCGAAATAAACATCGCGAGCTTGAAGACGGCGACGAGGTGACGATCTTAGACGAGGTGCGGTTTGTTTTCAGGTACCCCCGAACAAGGGACACAAATGGCTTCCGTCAGCAGTATCGAATCTCGCGGCAACTCGGCAAAGGCCACTTTGCAACAGTCTACCTCTGTGTGGAGCGCGCCACTGGAACTCAGTATGCTGTGAAGGTGTTTGAAAAGCGCCCTGGCGACTCACAAAAATCCCAAAATGACTCTTTGATGCAAGAAGTTGGTCTTCTCATGGGAGTCAGCCACCCGAACTTGCTCTGTCTCAAAGACACCTTCGACGAAAGTGACGGTGTATATCTCGTGCTGGAGCTCGCTCCCGAGGGCGAACTCTTCAATCTGATTATTAGCAAACAGAAGTTTTCAGAAAACGAAACTCGCCATATTTTCCTCCAACTATTTGAAGGCTTGAAATATTTAGTAAGCGCATGGTTTCATCTCTTGGCTTTGGCAACAACCCACTAAAGAAAAAAAAAAAATGTAGCATGACCGTGGAATTGTTCACCGAGATATCAAACCCGAGAATATTCTCGTTGCCGATAATAAGTTGACTGTGAAGCTTGGTGACTTTGGATTGGCTAAAATTATCGGGGAAGATTCATTCACCACCACACTGTATGTTGCTATCAGGATGATATCTGCTTGTTTCCGAAAGAAGATGCTGACCGCGATATTCTCTGTAGCTGTGGCACACCAAGCTGTAAGTACCCAGCAGAACTCCCTTAGTAGCACTCATACTCATTCTACAGATGTTGCCCCCGAGATCCTTCAAGAATCCTGCCGACGCAAGTATACCAAAGCTGTCGATATTTGGTCACTTGGTGTTGTACTCTACATATGTCTCTGTGGATTCCCCCCTTTCTCGGACGAGCTCTACACGTCTGAGAACCCTTACACTTTAGCACAACAGATTAAAGCAGGGCGTTTTGACTATCCATCTCCCTATTGGGATTCCGTGGGCGATCCAGCCTTGGATCTCATTGACAGGATGCTTACAGTTGATGTCGATAAAAGAATCACAGTGGACGAGTGCCTTGAACACCCCTGGCTCACGGGCAATTACCCAAGTGTTGCTGACAGCACAGACGGCCTCACGGGCGCCTTGGGGAAGCTAGACTTCTCAAGGAGGAAGATTCCACGGGAACGCACACTTCTCAGCAGTATCAATGATGTCCCTTTTAGCGAGAACAAGAACCCAGCCACTAGTGGTGCTCCTGTGAAAGTCTTCCATAAGAATCCTGCCGCAAAGCGCATGCACAACAATCCCAACAAGGCCAGCCAACAGCAGGAAGACACCCCTAACCAAAACAGTGGCCCGAAGGAGTTTGTCAATCTCGGGGAGCGTGGTGATCCGGTCTTATTTGAGGAAGACCCGACTACCCGGTACAAGTAATGCCTCTTTCAGTGCCCTGTTGACTATTCTTATTCTTACCGCGGATTTCGTTCTCTGAGAAGCTGGGTCCATACATGGCATACATAACACGAGGTCTCGAAGCCAAGTTGCTGAGAGGCATTTCTCTCAATTGTAATTCGTTCTTAAATGTCGGCGTAGGGAAACCCCCATAAATTCCATCCTTTTGTTACCTATATAGATTATCATAATAAAGACGTGGATTCTATCGCACGCCCTCTACTTGTCCTCCCTTCCCCCTTTCATGCACCGTTTCATCCCCTCTTAAGACTCGCCTAATTTCCGCCTACCAGTTAGTTATCCTTCTCAATTTAATAAAGGAGCCGACCAGCACTTCTTACCCTTGATGAGTAAAGAAAATAATATGCGAAAGCCGTTCCGGTCTCCTTTTATGGCCTGATCCAAATCTCTGTGCTGCGATTCGCTCCCTATTTACTGGTGCTGGTACTCCATACCTTCTTAGGCTCTGTTCTGCTTCCAGGGGCAGTGGCGCGGGTGCCAATCCATTCATTCGTCACACAGGTATGTAATTGGCGGGGAGCGGGTCTCGACCTTCTATCGCGCGCCTTCTGCCTTTTTTTCCCACTTCAAGCATCCAGCACTGAGCAGCCTTCTTGTTGACAACCAAGAATCCACCCTGTCGACTGATTTCCTCCCTGGGCTTCCACTGTTTCAATCCCGGGTACCACGAGGGATCTAAGAGGGTGAGGTGCCTCTTTAACGAGACACTCTTTCGTTCATGAGCCTTTTTTCTTTTTCCCAGCCTTAACCTCCGCCGCCTGTTTCGCTCAATCAGCAGTCCCCCTGCTTCGTTCCAGTTATGGGTCTCGTCTCCGTTGTTCTCGAGAGCGTCTGTGAGCGCTGCTCGACATTGTCATCTTTAACACTTGTTGGTCTGGGTCTACTGTGCTTCGTTGCTCTTTCAGTCGTTGTGAACGTCCTGCGACAGGTTCTGTTCAAGAACCCCAACGAACCCCCTGTTGTCTTCCATTGGTTCCCCTTCATCGGTAGCACCATTAGCTATGGAATTGACCCATACAAGTTCTTCTTCACGTGTCGCGCAAAGGTATGTGAACCAGAGCGGATCTGAACGTCGGACCTTTTGTTCGCTAATTTTCGTGCTCTCCCACCATAGTATGGAGATATCTTCACCTTCATCCTCCTCGGCAAAAAGACAACAGTGTACCTTGGCACCAAGGGCAACGATTTTATCCTCAATGGAAAGCTGAAGGACGTCTGCGCTGAAGAGGTCTATTCACCTCTGACAACCCCTGTGTTTGGACGGCATGTCGTTTATGACTGCCCCAATGCGAAACTCATGGAGCAAAAGAAGGTGGGCTTGGTTTTATCCAGCGCCATCACCCAAGCCAGCTAACGGGTCCTAGTTTGTGAAATTTGGCCTTACATCCGAAGCTCTACGCTCATACGTCCGTCTCATCACCGATGAAGTGGAAGATTTCGTTAAGAAGTCACCAGCCTTCCAGGGACAAGAGGGTGTCTTTGACGTCGGCAAAACAATTGCTGAGATTACCATTTACACTGCCTCACGCTCTCTTCAAGGCAAGGAAGTTCGCAGCAAGTTCGACTCTACCTTCGCAGAATTGTATCACAATCTGGATATGGGCTTTGCTCCGATCAACTTCATGCTCCCATACGCTCCCCTTCCCCACAACCAGAAGCGTGACGCCGCCCAGAAAAAACTGACCGAGACTTACACGGAAATTATCAAAGCGCGCCGCGAGGCCGGTGGTGAGAAAGACTCTGAAGACATGGTCTGGAATCTTATGTCCTGCATTTACAAGAACGGCACTCCGATCCCTGATGAAGAAATTGCCCACATGATGATTGCTCTCCTGATGGCTGGCCAACACTCCTCTTCGTCCACCGAGTCATGGATTCTTCTGCACCTTGCGAGAAACCCTGAGATTGTCGAGGAGCTTTATCAGGAGCAGGTTCAGGTTCTCGGTGCTGATTTGCCCCCTCTGACCTATGAGACTCTCCAGAAGCTGGATCTCCAATCCAAAATTATCAAGGAGACTCTGCGCATCCATGCCCCTATTCACTCGATCATCAGAGCGGTCAAGAACCCAATGCCTGTAGCTGGTACCTCTTATGTGATTCCTACTTCGCATAATGTTCTTTCCTCGCCAGGTGTCACCGCAAGGTCCGAGGACTTCTTCCCCAACCCTCTCAAGTGGGATCCCCACCGCTGGGACGGAAACACCATTGCCAACACTGCGGATGATGACGAGAAGATTGACTACGGTTACGGTCTTGTCAGCAAGGGCACCAACAGTCCTTATCTTCCCTTCGGTGCTGGACGGCACAGGTGTATCGGTGAGCAATTTGCTTACGTCCAGCTCGGTGCAGTTACAGCAGCCCTCGTGAGACTTTTCAAGTTCAGCACTATCCCTGGCAGCGAGGAAGTTCCAGCCACAGACTACTCGGTATGTTGAAAGGACAAAACAATCCTCCCCTATTCCTCCCTCCCCCCACCCGCCAGAAAGGAATCTTAAACTAACCTTATGACAGTCTCTCTTCTCGAAGCCTGCCGGTAAATCTTTTGTGAAATTTGAGAAACGCCAGCGTGATACCAAAGCGTGATTTTTCTGTTCAAACCGCCCATACACCAAATAGAAGACGCCAAAGAAAAAAAAAATAATTACATAGCCAAAGCAGGGTGGTGGATGAAACGGGCTACGACCCATTAATAGTTGATGATCCCGAATTTTCCTATTTTTTTTTTCTTTTTCCTTTTACCATTTATCACTAGCTGTACATTATTCTAGAGTGACCTAATAGGGGGGGGGATAACTAGGTACATATTAATAATTGACAGGATATGTAACGATCGCAGAAAGGAATACTAGGGGCATCGCTCCTTGTAACATCGCAGTCTTAAAAAGCCTCCGCGAGCAACTTTGGTATCCAGTTTCTAGCTCTTCTACACATATAGAGGGAGAGAGGACGTTGTAGACAAATAAAGGATGTGACTTGAATTTACATTAGTACACCATTGAACCAAGATATAATAATACAAGATGAACCGGCTCTAACACACAAAACTCTCTCCAGAGAAAAAAAGATGCTCAGGTTCATGCTCATGCTCATGCTCATGCTCATGCTAGTCCCTTCCTTCGTTCCTCACTCCTCTTCTTAGCCCGGACCTCAGCACGCCTTCTCTCACCACCATCAACCTTTTGTCCCAGCTTGTCTTCCCACATGCCCTCCTCGACCTTGATCAAAGCAGCGCTACCATTGGAGCCCTTGATCGGTTGCAGGAATGGTCCCTTGATCATGAATCCGTTGTGGATCTTCATGTGTGCGAATTTCTTGACTTGTTTCGACGCCTCGTGCTGGTACCCCGTGGCGTCTGGTGCAAGGTTTACAATGACCCGTTTCATTCCCGGGGACAGAGTAGCCGTGGAGGTAAGGGAAGAGGAAGCGGAGGAAGAAGAAGAGGAGGAGGAGGAAGAGGAAGAGCCTGCAGAGGAAGACGATTCCAAAGGAAGCTCAGCGACTCGCAATTGCGCAACGCCATCCACAACCTTTTCAAGGTCTCCGCCGGGTCCGTAGATGCCCTGTCTGAACTTCTCCCGCTTCCGGAGCAGGTATCGGCGCTGGCGGGCAGGCTCAATGCCCAGTTCTCGGAGTTCGGGGGAGCTGAGCGTGAATAGTTGTTCCCAGGATGGTAGTTTGCTGGCGTGCTTGGACATGTCCCGGCCGATCAGGGTGAGGAAGGTTTCGACGTTCGGGACGAAAGGTGTGGGTTGGGGCACGGAGGCTGGGGCGGACTTTTTGTGGAAGCTTCGTCGGAGACATTGGCTGGGTAGTTGGAGGGACTTGAGTGTCCGCGAAGTGAGGAAGGGGTTGCGCATCGCCATGGTGTTGGTTTTGGGGTTTGTTCCTTTCGCTCTCGAGACAACTTCGAATTGGCGTTGGCAGTTCGTTGGAGCGTGCGAATAGAGGTGAGGATAGTATAGAGAGGGTACAAAGATGGCGATTGATAAAGGGTTGGCTAGAAAAATGAACGACGATTTAACAGACAAACCCCCACCCCGATCTGTTCTGTTGTTTCCTGAATATCGGTGGTGTTGCGGAGGGAAATTTCGGCGATGCTGGAAATCAACGTTCAGGATTAACTAAACTCCGAGATTTCGGGCTTCTGCATAACAATACCTATCATCTCCTCCATTAGATTCATGTCTACTTCACAATACTGAGCTTCAAACTTCATATAGGACCAACCACTTAATCACATACATTTGGAATATTGTCAAGTTTCGATCTACCTTCTCCCGCTAGTCTCGTTACCAGAAGCACCGCTCCTTGAGCATATCAGCCATATCTTAGCTCTCATGTGCTAGACTTACAATGGCAGTCTCGCCACTAGTTCCTCAATCACCCGCGGTCGTATCCTATAACAGTGCTGGAACAAACTTGAAAATTACTGCCGAGAGCTCAGCTGCTGGACAAAAAAATGCGCCGTCCCCTCAGCTCGTGCAACATGCCTCTGACCGCGAGATAACTGAGCAGATGAATGATGAGGTGAGGCACAAGTACATAAAAAGTATGCATTGCTTTCGTATACCCTTTTATTCTAGGTTTATATTTATTTACTGTTTCTCTTTTCTTTTCAGGTAAGAAGCTCGGTGAGGGTACGTACGCTGTTGTCTATCTCGGCCACCTCCGAACCGACCCAACATCATTCGTTGCTATCAAGAAGATTAAGGTCAATACCGAATACAGAGATGGGCTTTCGATGGATGCCATTCGCGAAGTAAAATATCTGCAGGAGCTTTCACATCCGAACATCATTGCCCTCCATGATGTCTTCTCTTCCAAGGATCAGAACCTCAATCTGGTTCTAGAATACTTGCCGCGCGGTGACCTGGAGATGTTAATTAAAGATACCAATATTCATTACGGTGTTGCTGATGTTAAGGCGTGGATGGGTATGCTTGCCAGAGGGGTCTGGTTTTGCCATGAAAACTTCGTGTTGCACCGCGATATCAAACCAAACAACTTGCTCATCGCCTCTGACGGGGAGGTCAAACTAGCGGATTTTGGCTTGGCTAGATCGTTTGCAGACCCTCATGGGAGAATGACGCATCAGGTTATTACCCGATGGTATAGGCCGCCCGAGCTTCTCTATGGAGCGCGTCATTACTCCGGTGCCGTTGATGTCTGGTCTATGGCCATGGTGTTTGCGGAGCTTCTTCTACGAGTTCCATTTGTCGCTGGAAATTCGGACGTTGACCAGATTACCAAAATCTGCGCTGCATTTGGCACCCCCTTGGAGGAAAATTGGCCGGGTGTCTCCAAGCTGCCAAACTATATCCCCGCGGATAAAAACAACACCGTACCTGTACAAGGCCGAGATTTCTTCATCAGGCAATTCCCAATAGCTGGCCCAGTCGGCGCAGATTTGCTCATGTCCATGTGTGCGTTAGATCCAAGAAAACGGGCCACCGCATACCAGATCCTTCGACACAGCTGGTGGGCCACGGAACCTAGACCAACGAACAAAGAAGACCTCCCCCGAAAGTCCGGTGGAACCAAGAAGATGGGTGACGATTTGACCCGACGCGGCGGAGAGTTAGACGATCCATTTAAGGGTGCTGCTCGACAATTAGATTTCGGGGCCATGAAGGATTAATGCGCTGCTATGTTTTCTTCTGCGTTTCTCAATTCAAAGCTGTCCAACAGGAATCGGGAGTAGAACGGTGGCGCCCAAGGAAAGCGGGCCAAATCAATGGGGGGGGAAACGGCCCAGGGCGATGTTCTACTCCGTATGCGGACTCGATAGTTACGGTTTAACTATCGGCAACACTTCACAGCTTAGCGATCTGAAAACAGAACGGATCAAAGGCTGTATTATGTCGTCCCTCCAAAGATGGCGCAACTCCTAAAACTTGACCTTCCGGTTCGGGGGGCAGTGTCACCACTTGGCAACTAGGTGCTCCTTCCTAGGTTCCTATGGGAGGGAGTTCCCCGGGCAGGGGAAGTCGAAATGTTAAATTACATGACGATCCCACTGACAAGATGGGGGGGGGGTTTCGGCACGTAAACAACCTTTTAAAACGCGAACGATAAAATTCCATGGTGACTCTCAACGATGATTGGTCCCCTTTTCGAACTTTACCTTACTTCCAAAGGTGTTAGGGGGGAAACCTAGGTCCTGCTTTATCTGAGGTATGAATATCCCAGTGGGTTACTATCAAATGAATATTATTATATTGGTAAATGCGGGTTTATTTATTATTCTTTGGGAGGGACAATTTGTATCCAAGCGAGTAGAGATGAGCAAGCCCGAAGAGGAGAAAATCCCACCATTCCCACTTCTTTGTTGGTTTTATGTATCCATGTACTCCGTAAGCTCTAACAGAAAGAGACGAAATCGGAATGAGATCTCTGTCCAACACGGAGTATAAATTAATAGTGACGATCGTGTTCAAGTGTCTCGACGACCACGCGGGCAGATTGCAGGTAGATTCGAATCAGAGTATCTATATACAAACGTAGGAAATGGGAATTTGTGAAGAAGTAATTGTGGAGTAACTTGCAAGACGCGCGCTCCTTACCTCCTCCTACTGAACCGGGACTAAAAAACCTCAGGGGATTCCTCTTTCTTCTTCCTTCTCCTCCTCCTCTTAGACTCTTCAAGATCGAGTCAGGGTGGGGTGACAAACTTTGCTGCAAGTGAATAGTTAGTTATATCACAGCAATGTCATATTTCCCCGCCAGCACCCTCCTTCACTTCTTCTGTCTTTTCACTTCTTCCTGCGTCTTACCCTTGAACAGGGGGATCTCCCTTCTCCTCCATCCCGCTCCAAATCTGCGCGCAACGAACCACACATCCCCCTTCTATTGGGCTCCAGGGGCATACCTCGCACGCGCCTTGACCAGCTCATCCACCGTCGCCTCTCGCCGTTAAATCTGCCCTCTCGTTCTTCTGCACCGTCACCTCCCTGCAGTTTTCCTCGTTTCGACTCGCTTGTCCGTCTCCCGTCGCAATCCTCCCCGAGCTGCGAACCGGCCGTTGAATGACCCCCCAAACCAAATCTTCGTAACCCAGAGAGAGCTCCTTACTTACCTTTCCCCGGGCGATTCGATTCTCTCAACAATCGAAAGATCTGCGAACTGGTTTTTTGGTAAGTTCTGCTTCCAGTCTTGCTTCCTATACATCCTTACCCGCTGTAAGCGCATCCATAGCGCTGCACCCCGTGCCTCTCTTTTTCGGGTTTGAAACGAGATCGAAAATTCCTTCCCCCCCCCCCCTCCCTCTCCCCCGCTTGGAATGCAGAAGTGAGGCAACAAGTTTGACAAACGTTACTGTTTGGTAATTCATTGGAGCACATTTTTCTGGCTTTCGGGCATCTTGGGCTGGCACTCCGGTTGGACTATCGTATGCTTGGATGTTATAGCGACATTGCCTGACGATATTTTGGTGCCCATGCTAAGCTAATGCCCGATACCACAGCTCACTACGCCTTCCATGTCTCTGGCCGCTGCCCGCTTTCTCTGATTTCGGTCCCTTGCGATCGATTGCCCCGCATACGTTGAAACGGGCGGATAATAGGCAGTGAGGAGGCCATCGCTCAGGCGAAACGAATTATCAAAATGCCTACATTACCACAATCCTCGCGACCGGTCACAAGCCCTCCACTGGGGGCGCTCCCCCAACTACCCGGCCCGAAGTCAAGAAAAAGCTTGCCTGCGCCATCCGAGCCTGCCAGGGCAGCGTCCCCATCGAAACTGCGCACCCCCTCCAGTCCAAGGCCATCCCTCAGCAGATCCCCGCTATCCCACTCATCCACCGATATCAATACTGCTAGATCAGCCTCTGGGAGTAGAGTCCCCAGCAGTCCCGATAAATCTTTGAGGAGGACAATCAGCATCGCAGCATTTCCCCAACCCCCACGACCAGGGAGCCGCCCTTCTACCGCCTCCTCAATTTCGGGCGTTTCCCTCCAACCATCGGCAAGTGTGAGATCAAAAAGAGGTTCTCGGCCCAGTCTTGGGGCTACATCCCAACGAAGTTCGAAGACCACTTCCTTACTGAGTGTCGGAGGGGAGGGCAGATCGGTTGCCAATGCGGATATTGAGGGCTCCCCTTCTCAAAGCAGGAGTTCTTCCGCTCAAGGCTCATATTCGACGAGCGCCACTACCTTTGATGACGGAGATGAAACAACCGGCGCGAAAGCAAATCAAAAACCCAAAGACGCCAAGGAATCCAAGGAATCCAAGGGCAATGTCATCGTTAGCGTTAGGGTCCGCCCAGATATGGGTGGAGAGGGTCCCGCCAACACCGACTGGATGGTCGATGCCAGAAGAGGCTTAATTGTCTACAATGGAAAGGAAGGTGGTGATTATTATTATGGTAAGGCGCCATGTGAAATAGGTCTCAGGAAAGATTCCCAGCTAATGAATGAACCTTTCTTCAGATAACGTTTTCGGGACTCATGAAAATAACGCTCGAGTTTACGACTCGGCCGCGAAGCGCCTGGTGCGAAGGGTTATGGAAGGATACCACGGCACAGTCTTTGCATATGGAATGACGGGAACAGGAAAGACGTTTTCTATGCAGGGTACTGCAACCTCTCCCGGAGTAATACCACTAGCAATCACGGATATATTCTCCTTCATTAGGGAGACACCACACAGAGAGTTCTTACTTCGTGTCAGCTACCTGGAAATTTACAACGAGAAGATTCATGACCTTCTCTCGGCGTCTGCGGGACCTGCAGCTGCTCAACAGGAGGAGATCAAGCTACGCGAGGACAGCAAACGAGGCGTGTATGCAACCCCTCTGAAGGAGGAAATCGTACAAAGCCCGACACAACTTCTTCGTGTTATTGCAAGAGGCGACCACGCGAGAAGAACTGGCAGTACTCAGTTTAACGCTCGCAGTTCTCGGAGTCACGCAGTTGTTCAAATCGTTGTGGAAAGTCGCGAGCGTGTACCCAGCGGGACGATTCAGGACAGAAGGTCAGGCCTGGCCCCCGGTGGGGTTCGAGTGTCGACACTCAGCCTGATCGATCTTGCTGGTTCAGAACGCGCCGCTGATGACAAAGAACGACGCACTGAAGGTGCCCATATCAACAAGAGTCTTCTCACCCTTGGAAACATCATCTCTAAACTTTCCGAAACGAAAGACAAGGCCGGCAATGCAGCTGATAAAGAGGGAAAACACCTTCCATATCGAGACAGTAAGCTTACCAGACTGTTGCAGGGAGCACTGTCCGGTAATTCACTTGTCAGTATTCTTTGCACCATCCAATTAGGTAGTGCAATCAACTCGCACGCAGGGGAAACTCTGAACACCTTGAAATTTGCTGCCCGGGCGAAAAACAGCATTGTCAGCCACGCCAAAAAGGCAGAGGAGGCATTTGGTGGCGGTGGCGGTGATTCGGGCAGTCGGGTTCTTCTGGAGCGCTATAGGGTGGAAATCCAGGCCCTTCGCGGCCAGTTGGAGAATCAGACCAAGGTCCAAGCGGAAAAGGAGCTTAAGTTGGAGGAACAACAGATGGAAAAGGAAGCCCACGTGCGACACGAGGAGCAGATGCTAGAAATCCAGCTTGCTCGGACAGCCCTAAAAGAACGTATAGAGCATCTGAATCGCCTTATTCTATGCTCAAAGTCAACGGGTGTCAACATGCAAGGTGCCATCTCTGCCCTTGGCCGACTATCCAGGATGTCGACGGGAACTCGTTCCTTGCGTTCTTCTGCAAGTCAATCCACCCTTGGAGCTTATGGCCATTCATCTATGCGACCACTTTCCTTCCTCTCTGTCAACAGCCATGACTTTTCACCCAACGGACCCCTAGGCAACGAGGACGAGGATGATATTATGGGCGAGTTCGCTGACGGGAAGGCAAGTGCCCAGAGGCAAATCGCCGCTCTTCAGGCGGACCTTACCGACAAAAACAGATACATCTCAACCCTGGAGAGACGTTTGCTCCAAGCCCGACGGTCGAGTCATTCTCGAATGTCTATGGGCATGAAAGCCACAACAACTACTACAACTGAAACACCTGATATCATGGCCTTGCTTCGGGAAAAGGATATGGAAATCAATGAACTTCGCCTTCAATTAGATGATAAAGACAGGATGCTCACTGCCCTTCGCTCCGCTGCCCGACATCGTGATCTGGCCCATATCACTACAGATACCTCATCTGCCGATGGCAAGGATAAGTCCGTGACTTCAAATCCGCATTCTCCGAGCGACAACACCCCAGCGGCTGGCTCGACAACCAATCTCCTTGCACCTCCAGCTGAAGTAGAATCGGGCGGAAGAAGAAAGAGTATGGACGAAGTTTCACGAATTCTGGATGAAATGATTCAAGATCGAGTTGAGAGTGGCCACCTAATCAAGGGCACCCGGGGAAGTGTCCGTCTTGCTCCTGAAAGCCGACGCACATCAGAATCAACACCAGTTGCTGTACCAGGTCTCAGCACAGGAAACCACCCACTTCCCACAACCCAAACCCAAACCCAATGTCAAGATGCTTAAGTCATTTTAAATGATGTGGCATTTTTTTTTTTCTTGCAATGAGATTCCAAAATTAGATAATGACCGGGTGCTTTTTTGTTTTTACTTTGGTTCCTTTTTCTCTCAATATTTTAAATGTGTTTTATATTGTTTTTCATCCCTTCTTCCTCCCAGATACCCAAATTGTCTTGTATTTCTTTTCTTTCTAATCTTGTGGTTTTACAGCCTTTTTTTTTTACTTCATTTCCTGTTTTTTTTTCTTTTTTTCTGCGCCGAGGTTACAGAAGCCAGCTTCACTTTTTTTGGAGGTCTTAGGTAGGGTCTTGAGGTTTTTGAGCTTATCATCATTGACGAAGCGAAGAACTGTGCATATATGAAGACAACGACAGCAATAATTACTCTCATCCAGCTCCTTGATTACAATAAACCTACGTTTCCCGATACTTGGGTTCTTTTTTTTTTTTTTTTTTTTTTTTTTTTTTTTGCTCACTGCCCTGGTTTCTGCTGTTGATCGTTGCGAAAGCGAAAGGCGTACGTACGTACGTACGTACATACATACATACATACATACATACATACATTAGTACATCCATCCAAGTACATCCAAGTATACACGTATATAGATTTAGATTTAGATATATATATATGAAAGGCAAGGTAATATTTCATGTTAATGGCACACACCAAACTCCGATTTCAAGACCCCTTTTTTAAGCGACGATTTCAATTTCCGAGGTCCTATCCTTGGCGTAAACATCCTTCCACTCATCCCACAACCTTTCGAGCTCCCGTACGTATTCATCATGAAGTTGGTTAATATAGGCATCGTCAATCTTGTTTCGATCTTGCTGCCGAACAACTTGAATAGGACGGCCCACTACAATGTTTAATGGGCGACGATATGGCATGAGTCCCACATCATAGTTGAACACACCACGAGCATGGAACAACGGAATAGTAAATCCGAGGGTATGCTTAATTAGCATCTGGAATTTGTGGATAAGAGGGTGGCTGTCGGAGCGCACTTGCTCATAGAGATCGTTCTCGCCAAATGCCAGAACTGGGACGAGGTCAGCACCCGTACGGATAGCAAGTTTTATGAAACCCTGGCGCCGTCTGAGAACAAGGCGGAGGGAGTGTGGCAAAGCATTCAGAGATTCACGAGCACCACCTATGACAATTGTGATGGCACGTCCCATTCCCTCGCCGTCCGTTCCGCCCTTTGTGAGGATGTTCTCACAGGATTCCCGGGAAACGCTGGCGAGTCCCATTGCAAGCGCATAGTCTCGGTAGAAAGGGAGACGGAAGTTGGAATCCAAGGTAAGGAGAGTGTTTGTTATGCCCGGAAAAAGCTTGGAGAATCCCAGCGCTTCGGTACAAAACGCCGCAAACGCGCCATGCGATATAATTCCATGTGGGTGGTAACCAAATATATACTTCCTTGTTGGTAAAAGAGGCTCGGATCGATGCAAACGCGCCGGGAAGTAAGAGGCGTAAAGAGACCATATGGGCAGTGAGCGCAGAAAATTACTCCGACTGCTCAAGGAACCCGACGTCGCTGCCGTTGAGAAGAGAGAGATGTAGATCATATATGGCAGCAGCAACGGCCATGACAAGGGTATGGCGCATGTGAAGAAAAAGGCTGTGAGAAATATAGCAATTGTCAGGGTATGCGACAAAACCACCAAGGTCTGCAGACGTCGTTTAAGGCTGATATTCAGCGGAGCCCAATGGATCCTGCGGGATAGCCGTTAGACACCCTAGATAGTGGATAGAAATAACGAAAGATGAAAGCAGCGTGATAACAAGAAAATCCATATACACATACCCATACATTTCGTAGCCCTGTGAGGAGCCCCCGGAGACACCAGGGTTCCTAGTCGGTTCAGACAGACGCCCCGGGCTCCTCTGCATGCCGTTCAAGCGAGTGGCACTATTTGGGGCAAGATTATGACCTCCTTTCCCAAATACTTTACTCCCGGATTCCCGGGTTCCCGAAGATGGCTTGCCATGGTTTAAATTCGAAGAGGGCGCTGCGGAATTGGTCTCCGCAGTGGCATGTTGGAATGCCGAATTCTCTTGGTCCAAAGGTGCAGTCTCCATGGCCATATTCAGTCACTGCAGTATTTATGGGTGATAGACAGGCCTGAGAATCCACTGGGGGTCAGGGATGTACTGGACCGAGCAGCGTGGAGTAGACAGCTCGGCCAGACAGACGTGGTGGTTGTTGTCTCCATGAAGATCCGAAACAGACAGGTGATGTGATGTAATTTCGTCATTCCTGCATTGGGGATGAGTATGTAATCAGCTTCGTGAAAACATGTGACATTTCCTTCATTACTTTACCCAAGTATTACTTGTCTCATCTTCTTCTCCTTTTAGTATATTTTAAAGATTCATTGGGGGTATTTATTCTATTTGACCTTTAAATGAAACCAAAAACACCATTGAGAAATGCGCGCCAAAAAAAAAATCATCCCAAAACAATGTATGGATACCTGGATCGACCAGGACTATTTCGAGTCTGCTGAGGTTTCGCCTATATAGCATCAAGATTGTCTAATCTTGAGATGAGATGAAATTCATACGTGCATATATCGCAGTCTCATCGATCTGTTTTATTTGACAAATAACAGGCCGTTGGAAGATCACCAAATATGAAATGAGCATTAGATTGTTGGGGTATCTGTCGAAGACTCATTAAAATCACGATTTGACCATAAAAATCTAAGTTGGTTAGTTTCCAATTCCAACGGTCTAGAGTGATGAAGAGAATTACCTCGTTCAGGGACTTTTCATCCATGACGGCCTTCCTCTTTTGAGCGATATATCGGCCCCTAAGCATATGCCTCCCAACAGGACGGCGCTCCTTCACTACTAGCGTTTTCACCTCTATAGCAACTGTTTCCTTGTCCTTGCTAGCCGATGTTGTCATTGTCAAATCATCCTCTGACTGCTTAGATGAAGAGGTGGTGTCGGATTCGTCTCGGTCCTCGGTGCGTTTCCTCTTCTTTTCCTTTTTCTCCTTCTTGTCCTTTTTGTCTTTCTTTTCTTTCTTGTCCTTCTTTTCCTTCTTTTTCTTATCCTTCTTCTCCTTTTTATCGCCCCGTCCGCTCGACTTGGAATCTTCGGATTGATCCACAATTAAGCTCTTTTCCTTCGGGCTATCCTTGCTGTCGTCACTCTCGTCGGTACTCTCCGCGTTGCTTTCCTCCTGCGTTGCACGACGGGAAGAGCTCTTTGTATCCTTCGGAGCGCTCTGGGATTCCTGAGCAGAAGATTCGTCGCTCTTTTCTTGGGACAATAAACCACCGCTTATAAATCTGACTTCTTGCCATTTTGTAGCGGCATATCGAGCAAGTTTTACGTCGTCTCGCTTCTTCTGGTCGGCTTGTAACTCAACATCAGATTTACCATTCAGTCGTCCAAGCAATCCTTTAAAGGCATCAAGTCCCGTCGGTTCGCCCAGAGGGTCATTTTTAGGTCGAGCTCCAAGACCAAGTGTGTCATCCTTCAGAGAAACCCTAATATGTGATGCACTCGCAGCGGTAAACATTTCAGCGTGTGCGGCATTGCGAGCGCCTAGAAAACTCCCTGGGGTCCATCCTTGGGAGCTGAGAATCTTGTGCCCAAAACCGCTCGTTGATCGCGCCCAGTTAGTATTATTAGGATCGGAAGAGATCTTTGTTTTTCTAGTTCATAATTCAGTCAGGATGTGATCAAGATACGCACAAGGCGGTACCTACTTGCGAGGCGCTGCCAAACCCATTTTAAAAGAGGACTCCTTAATAATAAAGATACGCACAAAACAAAATAAACGCAAGAATTCAAAAAACCGAAACGAAAATATGGTCCTTAAGAGGAAGAGATTGATAGCCCTACTAAGTCCTCAACTTGTCTCTCCAAGAAAAAAAAGTCACGAAACTTGGCGCTGAAAATTCCGGATTGACCGCCTTCCTGATATGGTAAATTCAGCTCCACTTTAACACTAGGCCTGGGGTCACATGATCCACTTCTCCAATCGCGCTGGATCTCAATAATTCGCATGATGCATACATACTCCATAGATGGTAACTATCTAACTAGGTATTTATTCCTTGGTCTTCATTGACACCACGCTTACCACTCACCTCTTAGAAATTCTCGAATCTCAACCCAATTGAAGCATGGCGTTTCTTATAATATAAAGCTCCTGCTTGCTGAAACCCTCAGTTCGAGTCCATCGGTTTACAGCATCACTAGTGATTGCGCTTGGGAACAATCTGGCTCCGCTTGTCCTATGGATTACCGTGTTCGAGACCCCATCCTCGCGCTATTTTCCCACGTTGACTTGGGTAATAACTGGAGAATCCATGATCTTGCCCGGATTTTACCTTGTTGATATATTGTTTAGACAGCAACCAAGGCCTGAAATTTTAAGAAACATTTCACCAGATCCCCGGCAATCTCTCGCTCGTGATCGAAATGCTGGGCTGCCTCGCTTCTTCAAATAATCGCTAGTAATAAACAATTAGCCCGCAAATTAACTTGATCGACGATATTTTTTTCCCTCCCCCCAAGTGTGTTGTTCTATCCGAGCTGTATCGCTTATCTTACATAGCTCAGCCCACTAATATCCCCTTAACTAGGGATTGCAGGCTGAACTATTTATTGGCGTATCACCGTGAGAAAGACATATATCTCGGTGTGGGTATCCTGCCGCGTGTCCTGTTACTCGCTATGATCGCTGCCGCACCATAAATTCCGAGCATAATGCCTAGTATCCGAGTTTTGAGCCGGGATCACCCCGAACGCTCTCTGGTGCTAGCCACCTCCGACGATGTCTTGATTTTCCGGTATAGCTTAGGGGAATCGGGGCCTGAAGAATACCGCTGTCTGGTCGAATTCGCAAGTTTATCCTCCACAGACTTGACGGGTTACAAAACTCTAGGTCACGGTTATGGCACTCTTGGATTGATTACTCTTGAGCAGGATATTTTTCTCTGCATTGTTTCTCGCTCCTTAGAGGCAGCCACAGTTAGACCAGGAGAAACTGTCCAGAGAATCGAAGATGTAGATTTCTGTAAGACTCCAATCATGCTCCGCACTCTGGTCTCGCCTAACATGTAAAGATTGCTTGAATCGTTCGGAATACGAATATCGACTGGACTATGAGCTCGAGTCTTCAACTGCTGTTGATGAATATAGCTCTGCTTCCGGTCTTGAGCCTAAATCCGGATCGGCTGAACATCCTTTTCTAGCTCTCAAGAAACTTCTCAGTGATGGGAGCTTCTATTACAGTCTCGATTTTAATCTCACTGATCGGCTGCAAGATCGGTGAGTCGACGAGCTCATTGCTGAAGAGTATCAATCAACTAATGTGCTATTAGTTCGGATAAGACGACTGCATTCGACATCGAATCTCTAGATAAGGATGTGTTATGGAACTCGTATATGATTGAACCACTCCTTGTCTTTAGATCCCAGCTATCCCCCCATGAGAAGCTGCATCTCGATTCTTGCCAGATCCTGACATGCGTGATCCGAGGATTCTGCGGCACATTAACTATTCCTGCATCTGTTCGCATCCTGAATTCACTGCAGACTAACTTACCGTCAATGTTGACATTGATTTCACGTCAGTCTTCGCGTCGTGCAGGCACGAGGTTCAATGCCCGTGGGATTGACGATGATGGCAATGTCGCGAATTTCGTCGAAACCGAAACAATCTTGTGGGTCTCTCCAGGTCTTGCGTTCTCCTATGTTCAGGTTCGAGGTTCAGTGCCAGTATTTTGGGAACAAGCCACCGGTTTCCTACCGGGGCAGCAGAAAATCGAAGTAACCCGATCTATCGAGGCCACCCAGCACGCCTTCGACAGACACTTTGAGGCTCTTGAGTTGGAATATGGCGCCGTCCACATAGTCAACCTTCTCAGCGAACTAAAGTCGGGCGAATTCGAACTCTCCACACGGTTCAGAGAGCATGTTAGAAGGAGCCCGCTGCGTCACAGGGGAGAATCCAAGAAGTCATCCGATCACGATTTGTTACGGATGACGGAATTTGACTTGAATGCTGAGGCTCGAGGACCGTTAGGATATGGAGCTGGCAGCGAGATCAAGCACGAGCTTGTGCATTCATTACATGGCTTCGCATATTTCCTTTCCGAAAAACTCAATGGAGGAAATAGAACCGCACCCGGAAGCTCTTCCGTGATTTTGCAACAGGAGGGTGTGTTTCGAACCAATTGTTTAGATTGCCTTGATCGCACAAATCTCGTGCAGACCATTATCAGCTCAATGGCCCTTGAGTCATTCTTACTGCAGGAAAGTGGAACTCTGAGCTCTGAAATTAATCTAAAGCATTCAACCCTCTGGGCTGATAATGGGGATGCTCTGTCCAAGATCTACGCTGGCACCGGTGCTCTTAGAAGCTCCTATACACGGCACGGAAAGATGTCTCTCGCTGGTGCGCTTGCAGATGCACGCAAAACTGCTGCAAGGCTTTACATCAACAACTTCTCGGACAAGGCTCGTCAAAAGACCATTGACTTGTTACTGGGCCGCCTACCAAGTCAAATACCGGTGGATCTGTACGACCCAGTCAATGATTTGGTATCCAGTGAACTTGGTCGTAGAGCATCGGAGTTCACCTCCAAGAAGTCAATCAACATTTGGGCCGGAACTTTCAATGTCAATGGACGCCTACAAGGCCCCGATATTGACCTCACTTCTTGGCTTTTCCCCGAAGCCAACGATCAATATCCGGATCCAGTCATTTTTGCGGTTGGATTTCAAGAAATTGTTGAATTAAGCCCACAACAAATCATGTCAACAGATCCTACGACCCGTCGATCGTGGGAGATTGCGGTTAGGGACTGTTTGAATTCACGTGCAACAGCAAAGGGTTCTGAGAAATATGTTCTCTTACGGACTGGTCAGCTTGTTGGGGCAGCATTGATGATATACGTGAGAGAAGATGCATTGAGAGATATAAAGAATGTGGAAGGCAGTGTTAAAAAGGTAAAGCTCCAAATAATATGCTGTCATTATGACTCTTTTTCCTAACAAAAGTCCTTGCAGACTGGGCTTTCTGGAATCGCTGGCAACAAAGGCGGTTGTGCCATTCGCTTTGAGTTTTCGAACACTAGACTTTGCTTTGTTACTGCTCATTTGGCAGCTGGGTTTGCAAATTATGATGAGCGAAATAATGACTACGAAACCATCGATCGGGGGCTTCGCTTTCAGCGGAACCGGGCCATCGAAGACCATGACACCATCGTATGGTTGGGTGATTTCAATTATCGGATTGGTCTCGGCAATCAGATCGTGAGAGATCTTGTGGCACAAAGCAATTACCAGAAGCTTTACGACAACGATCAGGTATGATACTTGTGTTATTTGTGGTATATGCACTCATAATAACATCTCTCTGTAGTTGAACTTGCAGATGCTAGCAGGGAGAGCCTTTCAGTTCTATAACGAAGGTCCCGTTACTTTCCCACCGACGTACAAGTACGATGTGGGCACCGACACCTATGATACATCGTAAGTTAGTTCACTCGTTCTTTACGCGTTGCATGAAACTCACCCTACTCTTCTTCTGAACCAGAGAGAAAGCACGTATACCCGCATGGTGTGACAGGGTTCTGTGGAAGGGATCCAACATTCGCCAACTAAACTATAATGTCACTGACCTACGACTCTCGGATCACCGCCCCGTCTGGGCTTTTTTCGCATGCATGATCAACATCGTTGACGAGGGCCGGAAGGAGATCCTTAGACAGAAAATTTATGCAGAGCGACGGTGTCCTCCGCATGACTTGCTGGCAGACCCGCCGCATCAGGCGGGTATAGGAGATGGAGATCTCATATCGTTTGAGTCGATCTCTCCAGGTCTCCCGCCCCCCAGCTCAGACCACCATAAATGGTGGTTGGATAACAGTACGTGCCTCATCACTGTTTCTTCTCTCTCCTCTTCCCACTATTTTGTCTAACCCATTGATTACCACCAGGTGCACCAGCAAAATCCCTAATACGGCCCCCCGCTGAGGGATATACCCTAAATCCCCACCGTGGATCGAACCCTTTCTCCCCCCGACCCAGTGCCGATTGGGTCCCTGCTCCCAACATGGCTAGCAGACCGAAACTTGCAGAATATGGCCGTGTGGGCCTCGATAGGCCCCCAGTTCCACCAAGAACAACGGGCCCCATCACAGCAGCGAAAACTGGAAGTGAGGTGTACAGCCACGCAAGAGTCAATGAAGGCATGAAGAAATTCTCACCGCCAATTCCTCCAAAGCCTACCTCTCTAGGTACAAAGCAGAATTCTGCGGCTCTCCGTAGAGCCCAAACTATGCCGCAGAATATCGACTCCACCAGCTCGAGGGGAGATACGAATCTTCGGCGTCGAGAAATAAAACCTACACCAAAGCTTCCGCCTGGGCACTCGGCCAGTAACTCCCCAGCGGCCCAGAATCTCAACGCTGGGTATGATCTTATGGATAGTTCAGTCAATCCTCCCAGTCAATCGACTTCTTCTTCATCAGGAGACAAACGGTGTGACCTTCTCGATGAAAACGTCAATGAGAACATTGGCTGGAAACCCCTTATTCCTCAATGATATTTTAAACTGGAACATATATCAAGGTGCTAGCAGCGTTCTTACAATTCTACATAGAATCTTATATAATACATTACGGTAATGAGGGAGAGAGAAAAAAATCATAATAAATACCACACCAAGTCAAGCCTTGTATTGTTCATCAGAGACATAATGCAGGCATTGGCAATCGAAGAAAAAAAGGTTATCTCTTCCCCTACCTAGCCAGCATTGGGCCAAGCAAAGAGAAAGAACAAAGAAGATGATTATATATATACACATATATATTGCCAAATGAATAAATAGGAAAAGGAAAGAAAGAACAGGAAAGGAAAGGAAAGAAAGAAAAAAGAAAAGGCTTTCAACGCTCTATGGGTATATCAGTAAATCATGACACATTGGATACATAGTTAAACCCCTCAGAACATTGCTTAAACACCGATGAAAGCTTTTTATACCCATTTACCCCAAACAGAAAAGATGCTCAGAACATACCATACCATCCTCCCCCGCGAGGCATGAGAAACCAATCCCGATGAGACGAGAGGAAAAGTCATGCCCCTCCAAAGCAGACCCGATAGAGTAGGCCCGGACTTCTTGGTGCTTGCCACAAATGCTGTAAGAATCGCCTGCAAGAGGGGCAACAAAGTGAAACTGGCCTCCAGTGTGTTTATGGAGATTCCAAATCCACCGATACCGCAGAAAATACATTGCAAGCGGCCCTCCCGCCTGTGGGCAGATGTTGCCCTCAAGTCAGTTGCTCCGAAAGCATCTAGGAGGGCAGAAACTACAGCTCGAGAGAGCTTTGACCAGAAGTTGTTGACTTGAACTCTATCAGAGAATACGGCCTATATCACCGTGCTGGGCTGCTTTAGGCTTTTTTTGCGCTTTTAAAGCCTTATTCACTCTAAAGCGGTTAGGGCCTCCAACCATCCACATGGCAAAGGCACTAGGATCGCCTGGTTTTGCCCGAGGCTTCTTTGGACCTATGTGACGTTAGTCTATATAAGCCAAATTACCATGGAAAAAAGGCGCGAGTTAGGCCCTGAATCTATAAACTTACCTGGTTCAGCCTTTTTCTTGGGTTCCTCGGGAGCGGGGGGGGCGGCATCTGCTGGAGGCTCGGGTGCCGCTTCCGCAGGGGCTTCCTCTACTGGAGCTGGATCGGGGTCTTTTGGCTTCTCGGGTATCGGCCACATGTGCATGGTTATAGTCCAATCGGGCTCAATAACGGTCTCCCAAATTTGTGGGAGAATAATATCGCCATTAGGGCCGATCAGATCATAATGACCCTCTGCAACATGAGGCCCGATTACCTCTATATGGAGAAAAGCTTGCTTTATAAGCTCCTCCATCCCCTTAATTCAAGTTCAAGCACGAGTTAGAATAAGTTGTCTCATTCATTATTGATAACTTGGGGGAACTGGTGACTTTACCTGCCATGTGCAGCACAAATCAAACGGAAAACTGAACTTTCTCCCAATGGCATCCTTGAACTTGATAGGCTTCTTTTTTTCCGGAGGTTTGTTCGCCGCCTCCGCAGCAGCAAGGGCTTCCGCGGTCTCCTTTTTAGCTGCCTCTGTAGCTGCTGCTGTCGCGACGGCTGTCGCCTCTGCTACAGCTTTCTCGGCGGCTTCTTCTGCCTCTTTTTTGGCCTTAGCAGCCTCTTCTGCAGCCTTTTGTTCTGCATCTGCCCTAGCAGCGGCAGCAGCTTCTTCAGTAATCTTCTTTTCATGCGCTGCACGTTCTTCTCTCGCATGTTGTTCCGCGGCTTCTCGTTCGATCATAGCTTGGTGAGCAGCGTCTCGAGCTTCCCGAGCTTCCCGTTCAGTTCTTTCCTCAAGGATCAATTTCTCAAGCCTCGCAATTGCCTCGTCTTTTGCAGTGTCGACAGGGTCAGGCGCAGGGGCAGGTGCAGGCGCAGGAGCAGGCGCAGGTGCAGGTGCAGGTGCAGGTGCAGGTGCAGGTGCAGGTGTAGGAACAGGAGAACCACCTGACTCGGCCTGACTAGGAGACGGTGGACGAGCATATGGGTTGAAATATGGCGGAATCATCCCCGGAACCATGTTGTAAGGTTCCCGGAAGGGATAATAAGCACCAGCTCCATAAGGGATCAAATCATGATGGTTCAATTGAGGGCCGCCGTATTGTGGACCGCCGTATTGTGGACCGCCATACTGTGGACCGCCGTACTGTGGACTGCCGTACTGTGGACCGCCATGTGGTAAGACGGGGTGTGAGAAAGGATGCTGGCCAGGGATAGGCCCTTCATTCCGATGCGAAGGAGCCCCAGCAGGATTGGGATGATTTCCCGCGTGACGTTCGTGAACATAGAAAGGAGGCATAGGACCATGAGGTTGTTGTAGTGGATGATTGTATCCGTAAACGGGATGGCCGTATGGGTTTTGCTGGCCGACTTGGCTGAGAGGCCCCACGCGGACCAACTGGTCCGATGGAGTATGTTGACCAGTTGAGGGTACGAATGCTCCATGGGGCACAGCTCCATTGGGGTAACCATAGGATGGGCCGGGAGATGAACTACGCGCATAACCTGAACCCTGTGCAGGCGGCGCCCAAAATTTCCGTTCCTGAGACGTTCGCGAGTAGGGTTCTCCATACTCCTCGGCTGAATCGGCACTTTCTGGCGACTCCGGTGAAGGCTGACGACGGGATCGTCGCGGTTGAGACTCTCGCTCTTGGACAATCTGGCGCCTTCCTGACCGCCGACGACTCGTGGATGAAGATGATGGGGCATGGACGGGGTTACGGCTGCGGGGGCGATAGGTTGGAGGTCGAGAGGCCGAGTCGGACGGCTTTATCTCATCAGGGTAGACCAAATGCGACCATTCTTCGTATGGATCGTGGTATCCATGACTTTCTGAGTCTGATGGCGGGGAAACCTGCACTCCAGAGGAATCTTCCTCGTCGGATAAAGAGGAATCGTCCGAGTCGTGATGCTTCGGGGCAATTCTGATGTTGAACCTATTTAGCCGTTAGTATCATGGGAGGAAGCTGACAAGACACGCAAGTGACGCACCCCATTGGATTGTCACGCGTGTATGCACTGGAAAATTTCGAGAGTAGAGTTGATTTGATATCAAGTGACTAGGTGGGTGTATAACCGGGGAGAATTGTTGGTTAAAGTTGAAATCAAAGGTCGCGCGCGATGTAACGAAGCAGTTTACCAACCCTCACAAATACTCGGAGATAAAAGTATCACGCATATTCAAGATTTTTGAAAGGAAAGCGGGAGGGGGGGGGGCCTATCGTAAGGCTTGCACCTTGTTGACTGCAGAGTAGGTGAGTCCCAAGGCAAAAATAATCGCACGAAGCAATTTGAGAAACAATAATAATGGAGGGGAGATCTAGAGGCAGTCCTGGGGAATTAAAGAAAGAGAGAAAAAACATGGGAAGCTTAGACCAGGATAGGAATGATGGATAATATACGACCTCAATAAGAGGGGAAACTAAAGTAAGCCAGACAAACTGATTGGGGGGGTTGCAAGGGGAGGAGAGAGGAGAGGAGAGGAAGAGGAAGAAGAAGAGGAAGAAAAGAAGACAGAGGAAGAGAGGGGAGGGGGGAAGAATGTCATCAGGTAGGAAAGTAAATAATTAATCGTGAGGGAGTTCACGGCCTGATCAGAAAATCATTCATTCCCACTTGGGCCCAGGAACAATAATTTTGGGCATATATAATATAATATTTATTACCTGTAACTAACAATCTTCAAGGCTGAGCCAATAACCTATAAAAATCTGCAGTTTTTCTCTTTTTTTCTCTCTCTCTTTTTTCTCTCTTTGTGTAACAAACCACCGGAGGCAAAAAAAAAAAAAAAAAAAAAAGACGCTGTACCTAAAGACCTAGTCCCAGTTACTAGGTAGATAGTAAGTACCTAAGTCTGCTGCCCAATGTCCAATCAAAATTCTATATCTGGGGGGTAGATGAGCAAAAGAAGAAAGGAAAGGAAAGGCAACAAAAATCTATATTATGAGTCTAGAGCGCTTGTTTTTCTCTTCGATATATATAGGTATATCTACCTACGTGACTCGGATTATATCACAATAGTACATGATTGACTATGGAGGCTCTGGATAAGGTATACATACATACATACTTCGGTTGTACTTAACAGAGTACTTCAATAATCCCCGTTGCTGATCCATGGTACAATATTCCTATATATTCTATTATTATAACTATTCTACCTAAGAATGATGATGATGACTCTTACTTTTTCTTTTCCAAGTCTGCATGGACGCCTCGTAATTTTATGTTTCTTTGGGCTGTAAAGAATAATATGGATAAATGGATCTCGTTATTGGTCTTCTCGCACTTTCGATGCTTTTCCTCAGCTTAGAGCCTTATCCTTCATTGAGAATCCAACTGAAATCTTGCAAAAGCTTCCGCTTGTTGAATCCATTTAAATCGAGAACTTCCGAGATCATTCCGTGTGTCAGTGGAGAGACTCGAGAGCTTGTCTGGCGGTGAGTCTAGGAGTGTCCCTCCCTAGATTTAGTATTCCTAAATCATCGCAATTGTTAGTTAATGATAGGGGTTGAGTAAAATGTTAATTTGCTATTAATCTATTGTTGTTTTTTGCGGGGAAATTTAGGGACTTTCTCAAGCCGGATCGTTGTAACTCTCAGGTACCTTACCTTACCTTGCTTCTTCTGCAATTTGACTACTGCGACGCATCTACGAACTAGCATTCCAACTGCCAACAAGAAACTAAGGAAGGGTATCTATCCAACCGAATCGACCTCGACCTTGTAACTCCCCCGGAGTTACCAGTAATCCCAAAACTCTGTAAGTTGAAATGCGATCGATTCCTACAGTTTGCTTTTCTAACCCAGTGGAAAAGTACCTTTACCGATATCGATACAACGTGGCCTTTAGTACAACTTGACAACTATAAGAAACCACATTTCCATCCTCTACATCCTCACCACACTCGTATTATCCCGTATTATCCAATCTCCCTGTCACCAACACAAAAAAGCCCGCCGGTGACCTTTTTTTTTTTTTTCCCACTATCCCTTCCTTATAGCTTCATTGCGACCTTTACTACCCGAGGGGAAAAAAAAAACCACTGTAGCAAACAATCATGGTAGGTTGGCCTGCTTCTTCTTGCCTTCCCCCCCCCCTCCCTACAAAAAAGAGGAGCGCTGACTTCTCCCCCCCCCCCTTTTACAGGCCCAGACACCACAGCAAAGGAGAGCAAATGAGAAATTCGCCAAGCATGAATCTGCAAAGCGTGGAAAGTCCAAGACAACAGTTTCTAAACAGTCCTCGAAGCCGTCGCTGCCAATAGGCTGGGTTGGTATGTCGTAACCCGTCCCGAAAAGAAAGACGGCGGAGGGATCAAGCTAATGCGATCGATCGAATAGCCCTCCTTGCGTTCGTTGTCTGCGGTGGACTTATCTTCGAGTTATTGAGAATAATTCCGGAATTGTGGTCCGCTACGGCCTCTCTGTTTAATCGCTTGATGGGCTAAGTAAGCCCTTGAACAAACATGGAGAAAGATGTCCGGCCTTTCTTTTGCTACTAAAGCTCTTCTTCCTCCTCCTCCTTCTCCTCCTCTTACAACAACAACAACAACAATTTCGTCTCCGGGAAAATATTTAATAATATGCTTTATATTCGCACACTCGCCTACGACCCTTGTCATAGCGCGAATGTGGAAATCCTATTTCCTGCAATTGCTCAGTATTGCCATGCAATGGGAGAATAGTGCACTACAGGTTCGGATGGGTTCATCCAAGCTGGCGCTGCTGATTCCCATTCAATAGTATCCCCGGTATAGGGGGGGGGGGGGGGGGGGCATTCACCACCAGATGGACGAGCACAAGTTTATGGAGCGTGTATTCAATAATGTTTGTCTTAACATGTATTATTATTATTACTTTTTTTTTTATTCTCAGTTATCACTACGCTTTTTTCGGCTGCCTTTGTAATGATGACTGGTCCTGCCCAAGCTCGCCCGCCTCATTGTTGGTTACCAATTGGTCATGACTGCTTTCCAAGGCCTTTGTTCCCCGAGACTTAGTATGTGTGGACTTCTTTGTCTTCCTCTTTTTCTTCACCAGGGTCCCCTCTGAAGGGATACCCTCGAGGTGGACGCGCTCTGAGGCTCTCTGCATTTTCAGCCGGATTTTCTCCACCTCTTTCATGGCTGTAATCATCTCTGCATCATCCTCGACCGCCTTTGCGCTGCTATTGTCAACACGGGCAGATCCCCTCTCTTCCTCCAGGGAAAAATCTCGGAGGCCACTAGAATCAACTTGAAGCAAAGATCGTCTCGCTTTCGCAGGCTCATCAAAGGCTCGGTGGCGTGCGGGCTCATCAACCCCAAGCATCTCATCGGAGATAACATCGTATTTTTTAGTTTGCGTGGAGATCTTGTCCTGACTATCGTAAGGCGCCGATAAAGCCACGTGATGACCCTCCATCCTACTAATTTTGAGGTCAACTATTGGAATAGCATCAAGATCAAGCTCATCTCCACCCATGCTACTCGGAGTTTTCTCAACTCGTCCGACTGTACCAGAGGATTCATCGGAACCAATGTAGAATGGGTCGTCTCTATTGCGTTGCCTTCGTTCCACTTTTTGCCTCAAAAGTGCGGCAGCCGCCTCTGCAGGCATATCAGAGTTCTGATATGAAAAGCTAGAGGGTATGCCAACGGGGCTGAAATCACCCTGCTGCTTATTGAACACAGGAACTTCTCGAACGTAGTAAAAGTCGTTGAAAGGTACCTGAGGCTGGACCTCAGAAACCTCCTCATCATAAAGCTCGAACAAACCGCGAAGGTTACCATTGAGCGGCAAATCCAAACGAAGCTGGCTAGGTAGGGGTACCTTTTTCTGGGCATTTGGCGCCACCGGATTCAATTCAAGGCCATGGAAAAGACCAGGGATGACCGAAGAAAACAAATAAGGGACCTGGGTGTCCTCTGACCCTGTCTGCATCACATCGGCAGCCAGCCGCATCATCTCTAAAAACTCAATAGACCTTTCCTGAACTTCTAAGTCAGGGTGAGCCGCTAGAAGTTCGAGAAACTCGATGATCCGTGCGAGGAAAAGAGAAATTTCGCTCTTTCGTGCTACGCTCCAACCCTCGCCATCAGTATGGACGATATGAACAAGGACCTTGGGAGCGGCCTGAATGAAAAGAGAGAGCGTTTTCGCAGATAGCGATACATTTGATACATCAATCAGCGATTGAAGTGTCTGACCAGGCGATGCAAGATATTCAGCGAATTCTCCAATCACCCATGCGAGAGGCCCAAGTATGCCACCGTCTGCGTGAGATACACTAGAGAAAAAAGATTGCCGATTATCAATAAGAATTAAAGACTCTGCAGCTCTGGTCGCTTCCATCCGAACGTCTTTAACACGAACAGCAACATTCCGCAGTTCTAATCCAATCCGACATGCGATATTATCTCTCGACTCGTTTTCAATTCCCTGATAAGCAACATGCTGCAAGCTGGAGCCTTCAACACTGGCAGGGAGAAGATTCACAAGCTGCATTAAAACATCAACATACCAGTCGAAATCTGCTAGCCTTGAATAATTGTCGGACGAACAAATATCAAGAATTCGATGTAAAACTTCCACACGGTAGTCGTTTGGAATGGAAAACCGTGACTTCTCTTTCCGCGAGTCCTTCCGTTCCGCGGAATCTGACCACTCCATATCTTCAACGTCTGAAATGCTCCCTTGTGGTGCAGTATGCCGGGAATCCTCTAGCTGAGTGACTAACCGATTAACGACTGACTGGAGACTATCCCTAGTAACCATGCGAGCTGCAAGTTCAAGGGCTTGAAGTCGAATCGAAATATCGGCATCATCTAGGCAATTCAATATAACATCCTGATGCGTCGATACCAGAAATGGATAAGAAACCACGATCCTGCTGAAAGCAAGCAATGCAACATACTTGACTATGGACCTGTCGTTAACGTTTTATAAACTACGGGATAGCACAGAAGCACTTACGATTGGGGTCAAAATCCGTAACCACCATGCCTCGTAGCTTCCCGACACAAAGATTTGCGATTTCATCCTTTTCTTCGAGATTTCCTTCCCCATCAAGGATTCCGCCTTGAATTATGCCATTAATGCATTCATAAAGTAATGACATTGCAGAGGTGGTCTCGATTATATTGATTAGTGGTCGAATAAGTTTTCGAACAAGCCGAGGTTCCAGTGAAGTCAGGGTTGCAAACTAGATGAATCAGAATGGAAAGTGCGGCAACAGCAAGGAGTATACGCACGAGTTTTATTATTTTAATAGCCATCCAATTGTTACCTCCGTCCACTAGCAACTCAAAAAATCTCGGCGCAAGTGGGAGAAAGTCGTGAGGCCGTCGCCATCCAAGCTCGCATATAACATTGAGAACAGCAGTTGTGACACTGGTATCCTCATCATCATCCATCAGGCGATCCTTTAATTTGGGCCACGCCAGTTTAAGGGCCTCGGGATAGACCAAGGCAAGCCGGTACAGGCACACTACCGCCTTCTTTCGAATCAGGGCATGAGAGTGTGATATACGGGGAACGACGTCAGGGAGAAGCGACATGGCGAGAGATGGTGTGATTATATTTGGCAGCGTGATCAGGGGAAGGGAGATGTTTTGTATGCTTGACGATATTAGATCCTGAGAAAGAACTATTAGTAGGTGTTAAGCGGAGTGGAGGGCTCTTGCAAACCTTTTTTAGTAAATTTGTCGCAAGCATAAGAACTTCAGTTTCCGGTCTGAAGCTTTGCAGTGCCCCAAGATATCCAGCCCTTTTTTGAAGATATTTCGCCGATGACATGACTTCGAGGACATGGAAAGAGGCCCAAGACATATCGTATCCGAACATCTCCAAATAAATTAGTTTTAAGAGAGCCGTGGCTTTCTTATCTGATGGCATTTTAACATGAGGCGCGCCAGGTTTGAAGGATATATTGTAAGGTACGTACCCATATCTGGAGAACGGATTTCGGTCCTGCATTCTCGAAGACTGTTTTGTATATAGTCCTCTTCGGCACCTTTATGGTTTCTTAGACCTTTAATAAGGTCATAGAGAGATTTTTCAAACCTAGTGCATATTAAATTCCGGTCGAAAAACGATCAAATCACACCGCGCACACTCACATTGTCGCCTGGTATTCATCGACTTTCCAAGAACCAAACCGCTGGCGTCTGCTAACTTATGATGTCAAAATCACCACTGGTTTTGTATCACAAGCACACTAATCAATCTAATAAGCATACCGAAACAGCCACCTTCGCATGGGGTTACCAGCACTTACTGACAGAAACCTTAGAAATTTACTCGGGATATACAGGTTTGAAGCACTACCAGCGAAAATAGTGGAGGTTTGTATTAACTTGGTTGATAACGCGGAGTTGAATGGTCACGGGAACAGATGCGGTCAATCAGCAAGCCAGGCAGGTAACTAGCTCCGCGGCTTTCGCCAGACTATCAGTTACCACGTCCACGCCAGCTATCAACATTAACGTTTATATTTCTTTCAGTCTCCCGCTGCTGTTTCTCCTTTGCATCAGATATCAAATAAAATCCAAAGGACTCGTCTCCCAATGGCTGGTGTTTCCTGGAGCCCATCGGCCAGCCATGGGTCAAACCTAACCACCACTCTCCATATTGCACAACAAGCGCCCCCCATTCTGAACCGGCAATCGCTAGGAAAAACCGCCATTCGGTCATCTATTCTAAGTCATGAGGGCCCCGATACCTTTGACGTATTAGAGAAGCTCTTTTTATCCTGCATGCAATCGGCCGATGATAAATCAGCTTTGTTATGTCTTGAACGCCTGACACAGCGCTTTGGGGTGTCTAATGAAAGAATAATGGCCCTGCGTGGTATGTACGAGGAGGCAGTTTCGGACAACAGCGCTGGCCTGGAGCGGTGCCTTGACAAATACGATGCGATTCTCTCGGAAAATCCGGTTAATTTGGTTTGTGTTTGAACACCTCCTTCGGGCTTGGATACTGATTAATTTGGTTAGCCAATCTTAAAGCGCCGTATTGCTCTTTTGCGATCGCTATCCAAGCCTACGGATGCGATATCTAGTCTAGTCCAATTGCTTGATGCCTCGCCAACAGATGCCGAGGCTTGGTGTGAACTTGCGGATCTATACCAATCCCAGGGCATGAGCCCGCAAGCAATCTTCAGCCTGGAAGAGGCTCTTTTGATTGTACCGCATGCATGGAATGTATGATTGGCCCTAAAGTAACTTCCTGCGAAGCTTAATTGACTCCATCACAGGTCCATGCCCGCTTAGGGGAAGTTTTATATATCTACGCCTGCTCCTTGGATTCAGATGCTATGCAGCGACCATTAGAGAGGTCCATTCACTACTTTTGCAGAAGTGTTGAACTTTGCGACGATTACCTTAGAGGTTTCTATGGCTTAGCTATGGTAAGATTGGTTTTTCGCGGCTTTAGGGTTTTCGTGTTGAATTGTCTCAAAAATTGGGTTAACATATTTCGCAGGCTACCTCACTATCCTTGGATAATGTAACCCCAGAAGTCTCCCAAGAAACTATCAGGCGCCTGCGTGAATTAGCCCGGAGGAGACTTAGGGATATCATAACAAAACAGTATTCTCTGGATCCACATTTCCGTGGATATGGAGAAGATGAACTGTCAGCTGTAAAAGAGTTCCTCGGTAGCTCTACGGATTGACACTCATAGGTATGATTGATTGGACTGGCCCTTTATGTTTTAACCCTGCTAACACCGTACTAGCACTATTAACATTTCCTTTTTACCTGGGATAGGCTATCGCACCGTGTTGCGGATATAACTTGAATGATCAAAACAACTTCCACTAGCCAATTTCAAGGACCCATAACATTCCCCTGAAATAATAATTTCACCTTCACACGAATCTTAAAGGAACAAATATAATAATATTTTGATCTGAAATTTCTCTGGTAAATGCCACGCAGCATGGACCTAGGTAGTATGTAAAGTATTCCTTATTAGTTCTAGCGTCGATCTAAAAGAATCCCCGGCGATCCGCTAGTTTGAACTTAGTATTTTACTATTTATTCACTTTGTACTTCTGTATAATTCCTACAGAGTAAGCTCTAGCCACAGTCCTTGTTCGCAAAAACTAACTGGTTCAGCTATCTTTCAGATCCAAACACTGTAATATAATATATTAGTTGAGGTGTATTTGTTTTTACAAATACATTTCTGCTGGTTGTGAGAATTGTCAAAATTTTTACTTGCAGTACCCAATAACCCCACGATTATTTGCGGTGCTAGAAAAATGGGTATACTACGCCTTCGGCACCACCTTCTTCCTTTTTCGCAAACTGTCTACCTCGAAGGGAAAGCAGATAATAGCCAGGAAGATGCATCATGTATTCGGGTTCCATCTGTTATCATCGATGGGCCCAGCCTTGTTTATAATATCTTTTCACGCCTCCTGTCATGGTTTTCATTGCATAGCGCCACCCCAATCGATGCATTGCCGACTTCTGATGAAATAAGCAAAGGGGTTATGCTATACCTTCTGCAACTGAAACTGCTCGGTGTGAAGATGTATTTGCTTATGATGAAGGCCTTGAATCTACAAATGGCTAATGGATTCCAGTGAAAAGATTTATTTTGACGGTGCGTTGCCTGCCGAGAAGCATGAAACTCGCGTCTTACGGCTCGAGAACTCAAGAAGGAGGCTTCAATTATTTTGCACTGAGACTCGACATGGTTTCAAAAGTCCAAAGCACTACCGTGGCTACCGTGCTATACATTTAGAGAGCATTTTATGCAGCCGGCCCTTATTGGCTAGATACAAAAATCTGCCCAACGACCCCTTCATGGTTCCCACGGTGTTCGAAGATCTCAAACTCCGTTGGAATAAGGAGGCGATTTGCCAGATCGCCCGGGATATTTTGCCAGTCAACTCACTTGACTTGGAAGACTTTCCCTGGGCAACGATTACGACAATGGTGTCCGGTGAAGCCGACTCTTATTGTGGCTCTACTGCAAAACTTACAGGCTCTGCAGTACTCACAAATGATTCGGATCTTCTTCTTTATGATCTCGGGACCGATGGCTCTGTTATTTTTCTTGATTCCATCGAGCTCACAGCGCCAGATCCCAGGCAATCGACACAATGTCAATTAAGGGCCTCAATGCTGCGTCCTTCCCTGGTCGCTCTCCGTTTAGGGATACCTAATCTGTTATCCTTTGCCTATGTATTAAAGACCAATCCTGAGCTCGGAATTGCAGAATTACTCCAGCGATCAAAGAACACCCAGGAGGCGATGGAAGCATCGTTAAATTATCAGCGATTCGCTAGAGAGTACCAAGGTGACGCCCACTCCCGCCAAGTAATGAACAGTACGCAACAAATTCAATTTCTGGACACCAGAATCTCGGAGTTATTTTGGCAATATGAGCTTCCGTTCGCTTACATGCCTTGGGACTCCCCACGCATGTACCTTCCTATCTTGAACGAAGATCATACAAGACAGTGTGCATGGATCCAAGGCCGCTCATATAGGAATCTTGGCTATTCTCTTCTAAACATATCCCGCCTGCCCAATGAAAGGCATACACGTGTGACTGAGTTTATCCGTCGTGGCCAACGCATTGTGGAGGACACATTACTGCTTAGCAACGAAGAATCAATCGCAGCGTATACAAAAATACTCTGTGATCGCTTAACATCTATACAGGTCGAATTCGGAATATCTAATAATTCTCCCCAGTTTTGGAGGATTTTCGCATTATTCGATCTATATATCTCAGGGGCCGAGTCTACGTCGCGTGGAATACAAGGATTGGCTCGGTTTCTCTCGCTTGGTTACATGGGAGAGCGGCTGGAATGGACAGATCTCCATCTAGCCGCGCAAGTTCAGTCAATCCTGTATTCTTTGCGAATTCTAAGACAACTTATCAGATTTTCAGAGCTTTCTAATGGTCTGGCTATGAGGTTGGACTCACTCCTGGAAACCCTCCCACCATTGCATATCATGATGGCTCCAGTTTGTTTGGAGACAAGGGAGTATATATTTAGTATCCGCATTGATCAATTTTCGGAAATTTTTATGCAGCTCCTAGCAAGAAATCGGTCAGATTACAGGGGTGCAGCCGAGCAAACAATGGAGATAGAGCTTTCAAGGGAAGAAGATGTCTCAGGGGACCATGTGGGCACAAATGTGGTGCGATCATATAAACAGTCTTCAAATATCTATGAACTCCTTCAGGAACAATAAATTGATTTCAAATTTCTGGAACGACACATTTATTATATCAAGGGGGCTGGAGAGAGCATAACGTTTTTGCATGGACTCCTGTGGGTATTTGGAACTAATCAACTTCTATCATCGAGAGGATCTTAGGAATCCAGCAACCCCTCGGCAGTATCCTACTAGACTAGACAAGCGCTGTATTTCTGCTCGCTGTACCCGACTCCAGACGGCAAGAGCTTCCCTTAGTCTATCTTCTGCATCTGACTCGGAGCATAGCGCGACAATGTCAGAGTGAATTCTTAAAAACACTGCCATCCAGGCGTTGACAAGCTCAAAATCCCTCTTCGATGCGAGGCGATTAGACAATGCCAGGACAAAAGACGATAATTCAGAATGACCTTCGCACACTTTGGGATCCAAGGATCTGATTTCAAGCTCCAGTTTTGCTGGAGCCATAAGCTTCAACTCGCTGATAAAGGGGTCGAAATTTCCAGATGAACAGCCTGCCTTGAGAAGCATCGTAAACCTAGATTCCGAGAGCCCTGCGCCGCTGCTTACATTCGTTCTAGTAATGCGAGAAGCATCCAGAGCCGTTCTTCCTTCTGTAATATTTAGGTTTGCATCATCCCTAGATGCGACTTGCGTAGAGGGCGCTGGAAGGAAGAACGGTGCTTTTGGGGGGGCCTTGGGGGGTTCTTTAGGCATGTTTCGTCCCTGTAATATCGTTAGAATGAAGCTTATAAGGAAATTCGAGTTCAAAAAACCAAAGACATGGTACGGGTATAGGAGATACCTTTATCAAATCTAAGTGGAGCAGAGTCTGCCACTTATTCTTCGGGACCACACTGAGTGTCAGCATTCCTTGACTAAGTTGCTCGGTGGATGGCACCGGACCATCATCGTCATGTTCCTCATGGGTGTGCGAAAATGCAGCTTCAATGAATCCTACACCACCTTCTCCAGAGGTAGTTGGAAGAGAAGCGTCAACGAGACTATCTTCAGTGAGATTTCGAGTAGATACGGGCACAAATAGAGACCTATTTGACCAGAGGTTAACTCCCACCCCATCTGCGTGAGCGGTAGCCAGAAAATCCCCGGTATTCGACATCGCTAGGGCGGTGCATGTACTAGACACACGGAAAATGTCAATGAGATGACCGGTTGGTAGATCCCAAACTCTAATAATAGAGTCCATGGAAGCTCCAATTATCCACCGGCCATCATTAGAAAAGGCGAAATCGTTGATTTGCCCTACGCAGCCCCATAGCTCACGCACAATTTTCCTCGTTTCCATATCGACAACTCGTATGGAGAGATCGTCACAGCTAAATGCGACAAGTTCGCTCGCGCTATTATAGCGAAGCCCGGTAATGGCCGTCATTGGGTGCCAGTCAAGCTCATCAACTAGGAACCCAGATGCGAAATCCCAAAACTAAAACGAGAAGGTCATTCGATCAGTAATGAGATTTGAGGCTATTTGGTTTTGGGGGGGTGTTCTCTTCGGCTGCCTACCTTGACTTTTCCATCGAGCCCACAACTCACAACTGTCTGGTTCAACACGTCGATTGCCAAACCAGTTACTGCCTTCGTATGTTCCGCCAAACTATTGATTTGTTGTGTCAGACCCTTATTATCACTTGCCGTGGTACGCTTCAACTTTTGGGAAGGGAAGCTCTGTCTTTGTAAACCCGATTGCATGTTGAACATGTTAATGCTACCTCCGGCTGATCCAACTAAAGCGAAGGTTCCACATTGCGAGATGGCAACACTCTGTTATAGTTTCAGATTTAGAAACTGTCCTTGATTAACAAAGGGATTCCTTACCTTAACCTCGGTGCCATCGCCGGTTTCAAATACCCAACGTCCAGCCTTTTTTTTACCCCAAAACCAAGTCCGAGCATACTTGTCTCCGCGGTGACCAGTGACTACACTCTCCCATCCTGTTTTGTTAGAAATGCCCGTGTCAGTCGCTTTAGGGTTCGCCCAGACTGGTCCTGACGTGGTAACCCCCATTCCGCCATCACGATTGAGTGAGCATGCGATACAGGTGACCTCGGGTGCTTTAAAATTTGCCTGGCCGATAGAAATGCTATTCCCAACGGCTAATTGCGGCTCCCCCTTCTTTGCCGCTTTGCGCTCCACAGAGCCTTGGGATAGCTCCGTGCTTTGACTATCCTTCCGTGCGCTGAACCCCCAAAGACTGCAGTCTTTGCTGGCGCTAAGTAACCATTTCCCATTGGACTCGGAGCCATCAGATGAGGACGGGAGGAACGACACTTTAGTTAACGCAGCTGAATGACCCCGCCTTGAGTGAAGTGGTCGAGGGATAGGCGAAAAAGGTGTCTGGTCAAATATCCATGTTCGGAGAGAGTTGTCCCTTCCAGACGATACAATAACGGGCTGCCCGTCCAGGAATTCGATGTGATTTACGCCCAGACCTAAATCAACTTGTGATAATTTATGAGCCCCTCGAAGGACGCCAATAATGCGACCGGTCCCGTTCAAATCCCACATCGTAATGTCACCGCTACCCATACACGCTGTTGCCATAACACCAGCACAATGGCCATCTTCCCCGGCGCCAAGGCCATCCGTTCGGAAAGTGAGCGATGTGATGGTCTGCCTTTGTGATGAATTCGGTGAAGAAGAAAAAAGTATCTGGCCAGTCTCCACGTTCTGGATAGCTATGGCCCCATTCCTGTAGGCGATAGCAATAACAGACAGCACAGGACTTGGCTGAAGAACAGTTACCGGACCTGATCCTGGAAACGCTGGCTGAATGGAGTGAATCAGTTTTCCTGTTTTCACATTCCATATTTCAACGCTGCCATCATATTTTCCAACAAATATTTTGTTCAGGTAGGTTGGCATGTTACAAATATGACCCGTGTATATTTTGTCCTCGGAAGAGTCCCCAGGGCGTATAGGGCTGAGAGATGTGTAGTATTCATAAGATCCATTTTTCCACACACAAATAGACTTGCCACTGCAGCCCACAATCCATGAACCAAAAACAAGCACACGATCGATAGGTTCAGTGAAGTCAGCAGGCAGTACGAGAGACGCCACTTTTTTCCCACGCTTGAAGACCCAGACACCTCCAGACGCCCCTGTCTGCAGGTTTCCCCATGCTGCAAAAATTTTATCCTGCCAAGCGAAGGTAGCAGTAATAGTTTCCGGGGTTTGGGGTCGACTGATAAAAACGAGGTTAAGCCCACGGCGAAGATCGTACGTTTGTAGGCAACGGCCAACAGATGTTGTTATTTGGAATGTAGATTTTCCCAACCGAACGCAGGTAAATGGGACCGCTGTAGGTGAGACCAGTCCGAGTGTCTATCAAAATTAAGGCATAAACATGTGCTACGAATGGTTCAGGAAGTGAGGGAGAAAAAACATACGCGAAATGGAGAAAAAATCCTTGACCCAGGTACTTGCGGATGATTTCGAATCTCCGTATCATTCGCTATTTTCTGTCTCTTCGCAAGCGGTATGCGAAAGCCATCATTGTCGAGGGACGGCATTTTTTTATGTACGTTACCGATATATTTGGGTGAAGCAGGCTGATTCTGCCGAAGCTCTCGGCTTTTTTTTTTTTTTTTATGGTAGTGAGTTAGTTGGGCTTTGTTAGTTAGTAAGTTAAGTTAACTAACTAATAACTAGCTTTATGTAAATCATGACTAAGCTTGTACGCTTAACTAGTTAACTCTATGGAGTAGGGAGTAGTTAACTAACTTACCTTGGAAAGTATGTCGTACAGGCCCGAGTAGTAATGTTGCCCTAGTTTAACTATGGGTCAAATGAAAGTAAGTCCAGGCCATTTCATAAGTCATTCCAGCTCTAGCGACCACATTATGACTATTTATTCCCTTCCTACCTCTCACGCTCTTCTACATCTCATCCCTCCCTAGGAACATGAAAATCTTCCCGGAGTCTAGCTTCTTTAAGGAGAGACGAGCCGCTGCACTCCCTACACCAGCCGAGATCAGAGCCATCAACGAAAAGTCGGGCAGTCTGGATGCCACAAACTTCAACCGCCCGGCTCTGTCATTATACCGTCTTTGGGACTATTGGTTAAGTACGGAGCTGATGTGACCGTGACCGAGGCTCAGACTCAATTGAGAATCCGCGAGCAACTACAAGGCCAAGTGCCTACTCCGGAGATTTTTGGCTGGACCGAGGATGGACGCCAGATATTTATTTACATGTCCTTAATTGAGGGCGAGTCCTTACAAGAGAGATGGAGTGGCATGAGTGAGGGTGAGAAACGAGCTGTCTGCGAAGAACTTAAAAACATCGTGAAGATGTGGAGGTCCTTGAAACAGGGCAAGCAAGACTATTATATTGGTATGTGCGTTCTCTCGGAGATAATATGTAAGTAGCCATAATCTAAAACCAATTTAATAGGCAGCTTTGATAAGCAACCACTAAATGAAGTCTTTCTCGAGTCCCATCCAAAACTCGCCGGGCCATTTCAAGGTGCGAACGCTACCCAACAATTTCAAAATGCTTGCGGAATCGAGATCGATCATGAAGTGCCTATTGTCTTCACTCATAACGACTTTGTCCCTCCCAACATCCTTTTATCGCCTGGGTCCAATCCGAAGGTAGCAGCGATCATTGACTGGGGTCAAGCTGGGTGGTATCCCGCGTACTGGGAGTATTGCAAGGCACGACGAGTTAATCTGGTTTCGGAGTCCTTCGATGATGCTCTTCAAGAAGAATGGCGCAAAAAATATCTGCCAATGATCCTGGATCCTGTTGATGATGAGGAGTACTACAACCCTTGGCTTTGGTTTGTGTTATCTGATAAAGGTCGTCAAATTATGACGTTGAAATGTTTTGACCAAATCGAATTGAATTTAGGTCTAACTAGAAAGGAGATAGATGCTTGGAGGAAGCATAAAGGTCTAGAAAGGAAATGGTGGCCTAAATACATTGGACCACTTGTCGCTATCCTCGCTTAGTGGTGATGTTGGCATTCACTGAATCCAGCACTCCAACATTATCTAAGGGCATCTAATTCTGTAACCAGATGGGCCATGTGAGCCGCAATATAGGGATATTGCGGTATGAGGGGATATAAGGGAGAATAAGGGTCAGATTATATAGTGTTGGAGTGCTAGATTCAGTCACTGTCACTATCACCACTAAGCAAAGGTTTAGCGGCACATGACTCAGTGTATTTTATTGAAGTGAGTTATTGATTAGATCACTATCTAAGCTACTCTACCTCTATTCAGGGGTATCATGTATGGTTATATAACCCTGGATCATAGTTAATCTACTCTGGTGGAGATCCTTGGTTATATCATGTTAGCACTCACACTTGACTAGGATCTCTTACTAACTAAGGGTCAGGATCCTCCTACTAGATTATAAGTAAGATAAAGAAAGTTATTTATTTTATAATAATATATATATAAGCAGCTTGTCATGGTGTGAAGCTATAGTACCCATCCAGTTAGATTCTGCCCTGACTATCTACCTCTATCCCTGTATTTAAGCCATATTGCTCCTAATCTTATTATAGCTCTTTAAGCTATATCCTATCTATTATCTAGTATTTACTATTTTACTATTTTATCTAGTTAGCTCTTAATTAATAAATATCTAAATCTAATTCTATATCTTAATATTATATAGCTCTTCTTTACTAGGAATTAATTATTATTATTATACCTATTTTACTATCTATATTACTTAAAAATATAAAAATCTTCCTATATAATACTTCTAATAAATTAAGATAATATATTATTAAAATATACTAGTTCTTTATTATTATTATAAAAAAATTCTATAAATTATTTACTTTATATTTTACTATTACTAATTTTTTTAATTATATTTAATAAAAAATAGTATAATTAAGTACTAGAAAATATAAGTTAAAAAAATTTAATAAAAGCTATTTAAAGTACTTACTTAAAATAATATATTTTTTTAATTATTATCTTTTTTTAAAAAAGATATTAATATTATTTTTTTTTTTATTATTATTATTTTTATTATATTTATTTTTATTACTTAAATTTTTAAATAATTTCTTAATCTTAATAAATTTAATAATTAATAAAGTAACTTAAGATACTTTATTTTTTAAATTTATTAGAAAATAATTATAAATCTTAATTATTTTTTAATTCTAAATAATTAAATAATTTATATAACTAGTTACTTTAAAGAAACTTTATATACTTAAATTTTATTATATATTTAAAATAAAATCTATAAATTAAATAATTATATTAAAATTTTAAAAATCTTAAAGAAAATTTTAAAAATCTTAAAGAAAATTTTTAAAAATTTAAATTTAGAAATTAATATTTATATTAATTTATTTTATTTTTAATAAATTTATTATAAATTTAATATTTTTTTTACTAAATTTTAATATTTTATATTAAAAAGAAATATAAATAAAGATATTTTATTTATAATCTTAAAATAAATTATTAATTAAGAATTTTAAAAATTATTAATATATTTTAAAATCTTATTATAAGATTATTATATTTTTATTAATTATTTATAAAATTTAAAAAATTATTATTATTATTATATAAGTATTATCTTATTTTTATTTATAAAAAATTTCTAACTTCTTTAACTTATTTTAAAATTAATTCTTACTATTTAAATTTCTATAAGCCTTATTAATCCTATTATTACTATTACTCTTACTAAAGATCTAATAAACCTATTTATTATTTATTATCTTAATTACTAAACTTAATACCTATATTACTACTATAGTAATATTAATTATCTAGTAGGTAACTATCTATACTCTAATTAAAGATTAATTAATTATATTTTTATATTTATTACTAAACTAGATTTATATTCTTTATTAATTAGATTCTTACCTATTAAATACCTCTTATTTTCTAAATTAGAAAATAAAGTATCTCTAACCTAAATTATAATTAAGAATACTCTTAATACTCTCTTTATTTATTAAAAGTTATAATAATTAGAATAATAATAGAGGAAAAAAATTACTAATTTAAATTAATAAATTTACTTATTAATCTAGAAATCTTTAATAAAATTTTACTAATTTTTACTATAATTAACTCTAGAGTTAAGAATAAATATTTTATAAATTATAATTAGATTATAAATAATTAATTAAAAATATTATTATTAAGAAATTTTATTTTATTAAGAAGAATTAATAATATTTTAATAAAGTTTAATTATATTATTTATTTTATTTATTTAACTTAAAAAATCTATAATTATATTAAAAAAATTATTATTTTTTTTATAATTTAATTTATATATTTTTTTATTATTTTTAATTTATTTTAGTTAAAGATTTATAATCTTTAAATTAAATTTACTAATTATATTATTTTATTTAAAAATTTTTATTATAAAAAATATTATAATATATTTTTAAAATTTATAAAAATTTTAATATTATATAATATATTACTAAAAGTTTTTTCTTAATATCTTAATTTCTATCCTAAATTTCTAAAGAATTAAAATATTATTAGAGTTTTAGTTATTATTTATACTATATATACTTATTATAGATACTAGATATTTATTATTATTATTATAAATATTAAAATTACTTTAAATCTTATTATTATTATTAAATATAAATTATAAGAGTAACTACTCTCTAAATTTATTAAATTTTATAATATATTTTTATTAAAGAAGGCTAAATATCTACTATTTTATTAATTTAATAATTATAAAATTAAATTACTATTTAAAAAAATCTTATTATTTAAGAGCTTATATAATATATCTTAAGATAAATTAAAAACTTTAAAGAAATAAATTAAAAAAAATTTAAAAAAAGATTTTATTTATTCTAGTTTTTTTCCTATTATATCCCTTATTTTATTTATAAAAAAATTTAAAAAAGGCTTATAATTCTATATAAATTATTAAGTTCTAAATATAATTATTATAAAAGATTATTACTTATTATTATTAATAAAAGAGATACTAAATAATTTAAAAGAAATAAAATATTTCTTAAAAATTAATATTATTTTTATTTTTAATAATCTATAAATTAAAAAAAGATAAGAATATTTTATTACTTTTTAAATTTAATTAAGTTTATTTAAATTCTTAATAATATTATTTAAATTTACTAAAATTCTAATATTATTCTAGAGATTTATTAATAAAGTCTTATATAATTATTTAGATATTTTTTATACTATATATTTAAATAATATTTTAATTTATAACTAAATTTATACTAAGTATATTTATTATATTTAATAAATATTAAAATATCTATAAATAATAAAACTTTATACTAAATTTAGTAAATATAAATTTTTTATATATAAAATAAAATTTCTAAAATTAATTATAAATAAAAATAGCTTTTAAATAGATTTTAATAAGGTAAAAATAATTATTAAGTAAGAAATATTAATCTATCTAACTAATATTTAAGTCTTTATTAATTTTAGGAACTTTTACTACTAATTTATCTATAATTTTTTAAAAATTATTAGACTATTAATTAACCTAATTAAGAAAAATATTAACTTTAATTAAATATTTACTTATTAAAAAATATTTAAATAATTAAAAATTACTTTTATAAATATTTTAATATTAAAATTTTTTAACTAGTTAAAAAATATAATTTTAGAAATTAATATCTTTAATTATATATTTATTAAAGTATTATTATAATATAATAATAAAAATATATTATATTTTATTATATTTTTTTTTAAGAAATATTTTATAATAAAATATAATTATAAGATTTATAATAAAGAATTACTAGTTATTATTTATTATTTTAAAGAATAATATCTTAAATTAGAAAAAATTTTATTACCTATAAAAATTATTATAAATTACTAGAATCTAGAGTATTTTATATTAATTAAGTTATTAAATTATTAATAAATTTACTAGTCTAAATTTTTATTAAAATTTAATTTTTAAATATATTATTATTTTAAGAAGTTAAATATTAAGTTTAATATATTAATTAGGAGATTAGAAAATTTATTTAAAGAAAAAGATAAATAATTTTTTTACTAGAATTAAATTATTCTAAAATTTAAAAATCTACTATTTAAAATTACTATTAATTTAAGATTAAATATTAATAATTAATATTAAGTATATTTTATTAAATAACTTATTACTAATAAATTAATCTTCTTACTATTAATATTATAATTATTATTTAATAAAACTTATTTTTAAGATAAGAAATTCTAATCTATTTTAAATATTTTAAAAAATAATCTATTAAAATATTCTAATATTATACTAGTTAATTATAAATATACTAAATTATATTTAAGATATTAAGATTAACTCTATATATTTAATTATAATAAGATAAAAATCAAAATATTAAGATTCTATTATAAAAGCCCTATTATTAGATATTCTAGAAAAATTAAAATATATAAATTAATATTATATAAATATTTCTAGCCTGAAATTTATAAGTATATAAATTAATAAATCTAGAATTATTATCTCTATTACTAGATTACTCCTTCTTAAGAAGTAAAATAAGAAATATTAAGATTTTTACTAATTTCTAAATATACTTAATAAGATATAAATATAGACTTTATTATATATTTATTATTAAATAATAATTATAATACTATTTTAATTATAATTAATTATTTAATAAAAATAAAATACTTCCTCTCTTATACTAGAATAATTAATACTAAAAATATAGCTAATCTATATCTTAAGTATATCTAGAAATTCTATAATATCTTTAAAATAATTATATTAGATTATAGAATTTAATTTATTATTATTTTTTAAAAATATTTAATATCTTATCTAAAGATTTATAATCTATTATTTATTATTTATTATTTTAAAATTAATAATTAAATTTATTATTAATTTTATTTATTCTAAATTTATAAGAGTATTATTATTTATAATTAATTATAGATTTTATCTAATATTAAGATTTAAATTA